AGTGCGACAGGCCAACGCGAAGAGAGAAAAAACTAATGTACCCGAGATACTTGCGCGAGGTGTAACTCGTTGCGTGACTGCGGAGAGGGGAAAAAACCGCTTGGCTGGCACCTGTCTGTAGTCCCTTTCTCGCGGGGATCTCACCTACCGTCGCTCCGCTTTCGTGTCGCTCGGGCGCGCGTGCCAGATCTCGACCGATCGTTATATATTCGTCACTCGTCGCACGTCGTGCACGTGATTTTACGCGCCGAAATGCACTCCGCGCCACGGTTCGCTCGTCTTTTATTTCCGGATGGCGACTCGGTGTCTCGCTTGTGGTCACTGCTGCCTAGAAACGTTCGCTGGCTTTGCGGGCATTCGTGTTTTGAGCGCCGAGGCAATGATTAACGACCAAGCAAGCTCAGCCAAATTCGTAATGAAATTTTGGCGTAACGACAACGGCATTGTATTTTTGCGAAGCACTACTCGTGGAAGTGCGCTCAATGACTATCGTTAAGCGGAAAAAACGGCTAGACAGCGGGAGGCAGTTCAATCGAAATCAAACAAGACAAATTGTTCCGACGGGACAAAGCGACGGACAAGTCAGTTCTATCCAGCGAAGTGCTATCTGTCCGCTCTCGCGCCCGAAATAACGAGCTCGTTCTAATCGCACTTTTATCGTCGTCGGAATCAGTTTGCCCGAAAATGGCCATCAATCTGCACTCGCGAACAAAACTGATCCTAGAGAGGTCCGCGCGCAAAGCACTTTGCCCGTACAGTTGCGAAAGCAACAAAGCGCCGTCGCCGATTGAAAAAGAAAAAGCAGCAGCTAGAGAGAAAGGATGTGGGTTAATTGGCGTGCAGCGAACGGACGACGACAGCGAGATGAAAGCTGGCCGTACGGCAGCAGCCACTCGATCGTGCACAGGTGTATAGCCAACTCGATTCTCGAGCGGAGATCAAAGCCTCTCGATCATGTCGTCGCCGTCACTGCTGCCGCTGCCGCTGCTGCTGGCATTGACAAGCGTGAATTTCGTCTCTGTCGTGCGCGTCGCACGCAACATTTTTGAGGCATTGCCGTAAATCCAAAGATTGACGGGCTCTCCCCTCTCCCCACCCTGTCCGTCTCTCTAACTATACTGTCACGCACACGCTTGACAAATATTCATTGTTCTCGCCAACTGGGAACGAGGAGCTCGCGCGAGGCCTCGATTCGATTGCCGCGCGCTCGTTCGCTGCAAAGACACTGCAATGAAACGGCATTGCGCGCAGAGTTTCTTTTTTGTCGCCTAACAAAGCGGCAATTGTTCCGTCATGGATTCGGTCAGTCGCGAAAATCCCACCTCTCTTTCGCCAGTCCATTTGGAATTGACCGTAGATTTAACATGTATGGCAGGAGTTTACGAGTCGCGCGCGCTTGCCTGCGTTTATTGAAAGGAAGGATTCGTCCTCGTGACGTTCCGTTGCTTTCTTTCGTTGTTGCTTCATCCTAGCTTATGTTGGCTTTCCGGTTGCTCGTTTTCGTTGTCCCTTGAAAAACTACAGGGAATTAAAGTAAAGCTTTGAGTAATTACTGAAAGCATCGTTCATCGCTCAAGAAAAGCCGTCGAAAACCCACTGGAGGAAGTCCACTTTCCTTGGGCTTTTACGAATGCATTCTTTTTAACGTTATTAAATTAAATAAGTGGAAATAATGCGCGCGATGATTCTAATACGTGCCTTGTCAGTACGTTGTTTGCAATGCGTAGACTTGGTATCACAATAAATATTTTAACATTGAAACTTACAAGGTAACAATAGAAAATAGTTCAACTGTCAAGTACACGTCATTATTTCTATCATTTATTTGATATCGTATAAAAAAATCACACAAAATCAACACGTACTGAAGTAAAATTTGTGAATGTGCAATCCACACTGCAAACATTTATATAGTTCTCGTGAACCATTTAAATAAACCACTGCAGCATTGTTAAATCTATTTCAATTTGCTCAACAACGACTACTACATGAGATTTATTCGGAAATTTTCTCTAAAATTGATATTCCCATGTATGATTGTACACCACGCAAGTTATGCAATGATAAAACACGTCGGTAAAAATTGACGTGTTCTTAAAAATAACTAAAATATATGAAGTTAAATTGTATTAGTATAGCGAGAAACAAGCTTACTCAAGGCAATATAATATTCGATCTAAATCTAGCTTTCTTTCGTCGAAGCTTTAACCGTATCCATCAATTTCGAAATACTTTTCTTATTCGTCGACGTGTATTCCATGCTGTCAATGAATGCCACTCGGCGCCAGTCAATCGATAATATTCGTTCTTATTAACAGACGGCCCCGACAATTGTTCCGCCGTAACCTGCAAATATGTACAGGTCAGCGAGCGAAAATGCAAGTAGAGAATCAATTTTTAACCAAATAATAAACATTTTCGGTCTCGCGACGTCCGCTGAATGGGATGCAACGGAATCTCTTCGATTTCCGTCGGCGATATGCGATGCTTTTGAGCGATTATCGCCTCTTTTATCCGATCCACTATCATTATCTCGCCCTTTTTCTGGTAGTGACCCAAGTCTCCGTGGTATGCAGCCAACCTGAAATCGTCGAGGCGTTTCATTTTTGTTTGTTTCTTCGGGATTCGCCGTGGTATCGACGTTGAAACACAGCTCGCCTTGCTAATTTGAGTCAAGCACTCGATTCGTATCTAGATCTATGACTTTTTTTATGACTTCGTCAACGACGAATCCAATATAGAGTCGCAAGTTGCCCGTTCGTCAATTGCCGCATTCACAGACCGATCAATCCGTCGCGCCTGTAAATGTTTGACGCGTTAGTTTACGACTGAATTTACTTTCGATGCCATCAACTCACCATAGCTATTTCTAACGGACCGCTCAAGGTGAAAGTTTCTGGTAGACTTTAGTTTTGTTGACTTTGGAACCGTCGGAGTCGATAGATTTGACACGCGAACAACCATTTCGTTTGCAGGAGCAATGATCGTCAAAGCGTAACAGCGCAGAAACTCGGTACTGCCCATACCTTGTAGTTTTCAACGACTCTGTTGGTGTTCTCGAGCTCGAAATCGTTTTGGAGAACACGCGTACAATGCGAACGTAGGTAAGTGGTTATAAACATTGTACCAGTTGTCCAGGACAGCGAGGAATGCCATGGCAAATTAAGTCCCTCGGCGATGTCGCAGTAAAAGCGGCGGTTAACGATGGAGTCATAAGACGGCATTGTTCCCTTGGGTATCTCGGTTGTCCCTGACGAGAAGAATATCGTCCCGACCTGCTTCTTCGGATTTTCTGGCTCCACGTGTCTGAAGTTGTCTGCTTCCTCTTCGGTCGGCCCTGACATTATGTCCGACAATGGTTGATACTTGGGGTGCTTCTCGCAAACTACGAGCTTACAGGTTATACCCACTTGTTCAAGCGAACATTATCTTCGTTTGGTATGCGTCGAAGAAAAAACGAGCTGACGTACGTGCCACGTCGTTTTCGGCGATTCTTTACTTCTTTGGCCTGAAGGCCAAACGAATACCACGAACCTAAATATCGAAAAATGTAGTTTGCCTCTCAGTCTCAACATCAGTCTACAAAAGGACAGAAAAATTATACGATGCTTTTGAGTATGGATAACAGAGCACACATACAAGTTTGATAAATATCGAAGATTAGTCGTTTCAAGATAAGAGCTCGCAAGTTCCATTGTACTTTTCTTATGTACAATGGCATAACAAGAAATGCCTTGTAATAGTTGCCGACTATTTTTTAAACACTTATCAGATCGTAACCATTCCTCTGACTTTGAAATTCAAATAACAATACTCAACTCACTGATAAACCAAAAATTACTCAAGCAGACGTATTTTCAAAATCCAAAGAGTCGTTATTAAAAAGCCATAAGCCCTTCCTAACTTTTCGAATAATCTCAAATAATTTTTCTATTTTTTACTCTAAATTACTCTAAATTAATTAAGCCATTCAATTGTTATTTACGCCTGGCAACTGAAGAAAATACCATAGTACTGTAAAAATATTAGTATTTAAATTATATTATATCATGTTACGCCGTTAAAAAAGTAAAGTTTCGTTATTTTTCTGACTATGTTCCTAATTAAGCAATTCTATTTGAAATTAAATAAATGAATGTTATCTAAGCAATAAAATTAGGATAGTTACTTGATAGAGAATCCAAAATCAATTAAACAATACCTTGAGTTTTTTTCTTTTTTTTGCAATAATTATACTATACTTTATTGTGAACTCCGAAGTATTCTGAGTAATAACAACGTGATTATCGAATTAACAAATTATAAAAAATTGTCTGATAATATAAAAATTGAAACAATAGATTCCAACCTCACTACAACTACTTTCCGCAATAAATTTTGTTAGTGATGTTGTTGACTGCTGTAATTCTAACGGTTACTGGGATCCAGTTACGGTAAATTCCACTGTTCTACAAAATAGATATATCGATAAACATGTTTCTGATATAGCATTTATCTTGCCACGTTACCTTTTAATGTTTAATCAATTTCCATTATAAGATATTTGGCAAAGTAATGATTAAGGGTAGATAATATATATCTTACGCGTGACATCTGCTTTCTCTACACCGATATTGATAGGTGTAGCTTTCTCCGCGTTGATATGTAAAAATCCACCAAACTGATAAGATAAAGTAAAAGAAACTTTTTAATTATGAAAACAAAGTTACCTTTCTAAGAAAGTAATATTTCAATGATTGGAAATATAAGTATTTCTTAATAAAAAAAATATAGGTTTAGGAACAATACTATACAATAAAATATTTAGTATAAAGGATATCTCAACTAAGTAAAACGCGTTATATTTTATTTTCCTTATTGACTGGCGTAATACTGTCGAATAAACGTATAATTACTGATTCAAATAAAATTTATGAAATAACCGCTTGGAATATTATACGCATTAGAAATTTACTTTAGTAAAGATTTTATTAATGGATTTTTTTCAAAATGTGAGATTTTATAGTTTATGGTAGATTAGGTGTGTCGTATACATTAGATGTTCAATTATATTATGAAGCAAATTTTTATTATGCCTCTTACATATATAATATTAACTTGAACACATACGTATATGCAAATATGCTATAAAAAAATGTATTGAAAAATCGAAAAGTATATTTAAAAGTATATCATAAAATATGAAAGTATAATTGTGAACAAGCCTATAAAATTGTTTGAGCTCCTACGTCATATATAAATCGTCAGTCGGGAAAGTTTTGCTATGAAATTGGAAAATCATCTGCCAACCAGATATTCTTTAGCTTTTTCTTTCAGTACTTGAAAACTCTTCTTTCCAGTAGACGTGTAAACCAAATGATCAACAAAAGCTATCCCACCAGTAAGTCGATAGTACTCGTCGATAGCTGCCGGCATCTCTATCAATTCTTCTGTCGTCACCTGTTGAATAAAAGAAATCGCTCAAGTTCATATTGAAGCTTTCGATAGGTATGACGAGTGATGCCTCACCGTAGCTCCGGGTTGCTTAACGACGAAAGCAAACGGTCGTTCAATGTCAACGTCGTGCGGTACAGGTATCACCGCGCAGTCCTTGACTCCGGGGTGTCTCAATAAAATATCTTCGATTTCCGAAGGTGCAACGTGATAATTTTTTGTAATGATCAACACCTTTATACGATCTGTGAGCATGATCTCACCGTCTTCGTCGTAGTAACCCAAATCGCCAGTGTGTACCCAGCCTGAATGATATGCAGGGACAAATGGCAATCACACGAACAATTCAAAGACTGCTACGATAGAAGGAACTCACCTTCTTTGTCCAAAGTTTTAGCCGTCTCCTCCGGATTGTTATAGTAGCCAAGAAAGGCGGTAGGCTTGTGCACGCAGATTTCGCCTTGTTGATTCGGTCCAAGTGTACGACCAGTGTCGCTGTCGATGATCTTGAGCTTGACGCCCCGAATAGCGTAGCCAATAGCGTCGATTTTCTTCCGATCGTGAGTTTGCAGTACAGCCAATCCAGACAACTCCGTCATACCTACGCTCGGATATGATCGATCGAAAAATGCCCGACGCACTTGATCGAGATGTGCAGCGGCAATGCTTTACCGTAGCCGTTTTTAACGAAGCAATGGGGTAGAGCTCGTTGAGCTTCCTCGAGAATGGTTTCGCCGAGCTTGGATCCACCGGTGCACAGGATCTCTAACGAGGAGTAGTCGTAGCGCGCGAACACCTTTGCTTTGCAACATTGAATCAGCACGGACGGTGTCCACAATACCCTTTTCACCTGCATCAATGACATTCCCTTGAATCATCAAGTACAAGATCCAGTGAGAAGTGACTGCCGAAAAATGAACCTTGTACTTCTCGATGACTCTGCTCGACTTGTCAGGATCGAACTCGCCGTGTATAATCCTCGTGGTGCGCATGACGATGCAGTTCAGGAGGAGGAAAGCGCCGGTGACCCATGACAGCGACGAGTACCAGAGATAATTTTGTTGCTGCAGGCTCATAGAGTCGTCCAGCATGTCGAAACTCCCGATCGCTTTGTAAGAGAGCATAGCGCCTTTCGGCGTACCGGTGGTACCCGAGGAGAACAATATGATGCCGCACTGTGTCCAGGGATCAACTGGCTCGGCGTATTCGAAACTCGCCACTTCCTCTTGGCTTCGCTCGGCCAACAAGTCTCTCAAAGACGGATACTCGGCGTGCTTGCCGTAAACTACAAAGCTACAGGACATGCCCTCGCTGTTGGCAATGCGAGCCAGTTGATCGATCGACTGCTCGCAAGCGAACATTACCTTGGGTTGATACGTTTGGAAGAAGCGCCGCGCGTTCGCTGCAACCGTTCGCTCAGTCGTATGATTTCAATGACTTCAAGCGGAGAATTCGACGTAGACGGATTTACCTTCGGTCAAGTCGTGGTACCACGGGTTCACTATTGCCCCGACGAATAGCGTTGCTATGTACGGCACGAGGTCGTCTGTCTGGTTGGGCGTGGAGATCGAGATCACGTCGTCTTTACCTATACCCTGCTCTCTTAACCACAGAGCGCAACGCGCGCTGCGATCTTTCAGCTCCGCGAACGTCGTGTTTTCTCCCGTATCCGCGTTCGTCTGCGGGAGACAACAACGTTTGTACTTTCTAGGAGATGCTGGCGCGCGCGAGGCTAAAAGAGAACCTGCCTGAGCAACAAAGTCCGGCGCCTCGCTGAACGACTCCCATAGAATCCGCGCGACGCCACGGCTGTCCGTGGATTTGCGCGGGTGGCCAACGATAACGTTATCCTCGATCGAGAACTCCTTTGGTTCCTGCAATCCATGCGGATCTTCAGTTAGCTACCGAGCCTCGCGTCTTATAACCAACCTTGCGAATCAACTTTTCGGCTACCATCTTCGCTCGTTCGAGATCTAAATCACACTGACGTATGCTTTCCTAACCGACTATAGACTTTTGAGTGGCAGATAACGATCTCGTTACGCGATAAGAGACAACTACATTGCCGGTTCGAGTGGAAAACTGGCACTCCGTGCGCGGGCAATCGCTGCGAACGGCGCCTCGGAAATCCCGTGAAAAGTATGTACGATGAGCCGCCCGTGGAAAAGTCCCTTTGATCAATCGAGAGATAGGCGATAAGCGAGACCTCGGCGGCGTCTGCAGAGTCAAATTGGAATCGCCGCGGAAAGGCTGGAAAGTGCGCTAAAGCACTTGGCCGGAGTGCAGGCGTAACGGGGTCTTACGTGTACTTATGTGCATTGCCGCGAAGATTGCGGGGCGCCGGGCCAAGCTTAGTAATGAAATTGGTTTGCTTTGTGTGCGTTGCAGTTTGAGGACGGAAAATCCGAGCGGACTGGAGACTGGCAGCGTGAGACGCGAGTTAAGCCGCGCCCTCAAGTTGTGGCAGAAGAACTCCAAGCTCGCCTTTCAAGAAATCAACAGCGACTCCGCCGACATCTTGATCTACTTCCATCGGTAAAGCTTCTCCCTTCTTCCTACCTCCCCCCCCCCCCTTTTTTTAGCCGCTCACCACTTCGCTCTTCTAATAATCTCACGACCATTCCATCGATCCGCTGATATCGCGACATCCTCATCGGACACGCTCAATTTTATCTCGTTTCTCCTGGTGCATTCCCACTGTTTTCGTCGTCTTTCATTAGCTGTTATTTTTCAATTCTTACTGCATGCCCTCATTTTCACCGATCTCCGTAAAAGACTATACGTAATTGCACTGACATATTGCACTCGCTAATTAACGTTCAAAACGAAGCGTCGCTGACAGTAAAACCAGTAGGTTTTCTACGTAGCGTGTACTTTTTTTCTTGTGCAGGGGCTATCACGGGGACGGATATCCGTTCGATGGCAGAGGACAGATACTGGCGCACGCCTTCTTCCCGGGCAGCGATCGTGGTGGCGATGCCCATTTCGACGAGGAAGAGCAATGGACCCTCAGCGACAGTAGCCTCGACGATGGTTTGTATGCGTGCGCATCTCTGGGGTTAGGGGATTAGAAGTCTGCGCTATCGGATTGATGGACAGTACCGTGTATTCCGCCGCGAGCTTGGCAATCGCAAATTCAGCTTGGATAGTGTTTTTGCAGCGTCGCGTATTAATTCGCCAAGAGCCGCTCAACTCTCGCCACCGTTCTCTGCTAATATCGACGAAAGCGGTCAAAAGGCTCTCGATCGGGCTCGCGAATCAGCCGCGCTAGCTCGAAGAAAAGGGGGAGAGAGCAAGGACGTTTCATCGAGACGAATTTCTAGTGCGTGCGCTGACGAAAGCAATCAAGAGAAAAAAAGAAGGAAGAGAGCGCGAGAGTTTGGTTTTGCTTTGCAGCCTCGTAAATTCGGCTGGATTTGTGGACGACGTTGCGAGGGAGGAGGAGGAGCAGCAGACGCGATTCAATTAGTCGAACTGCGCGTTCCTACGCCAATGTCGATCGCACGCTCTCGCGCATATATACTCGATTAGCGCGGGCCAAACGCGCGTGATCGCATTTCCGAGACGCTCGCGTCGTTTAATTACTCGCTGATTAATGCGCCCCGGCGGCGCCTCCCGGTAATTTTGAAGCTCGGCAATGCCAATGTTTTTCATTTGCGCGCTGGCTGTTGACCGATCGCTCGTCGCACTTGTTGCGCGTCCGTTTCGCGCCGCGCAATCTCCGAAGATATCGAAAGGAACGCAACAATATTTATTCGGGCGCATCCGCGCTTAACCCCTTTGGCGCGCCGAGCGTCGCTTTCGCCGTCGGCGATAGCGTCGCGCGGCGTTATCGACGCGCTCGATCGGCCAATATTTAATTCCAGTGAAAGTTCCACTCGAGATTGGCGATCGCGCGCCCGATACGCGCTTTTTTTTTGTCCGCGGCGAAACAAGCCGAGGAATCAATCGGGCTCGCGATATCATTGGCGTGCGGTTGTACGCGCGCGCGCGCGGCTCCTTTTTTATCAAGCTGAAAGCTCGCGCGCGGTTATCCTGATTAAGCTCGCCTCGCGCACGGACACGGAAAGAGAGAAAGAGAAATAGAGATGGAAAAAAGTTCGCCTTTTAGCCTGATTTGCGGCTTGCTTGTGTGGCTTGATAAAAGCCTCTCATTATACGGCTCGCATTTATTTACTCGATTGAGACGTCCGGACCAAAAGCTTCATCTTTCTTTCCGACGGACAATCTTCTTGATTTCGGCTCAGTTCAAATTGCGATCGATCACGCGAGATACGTGTATGCATACACACGCACACACACATACACACATCTCGATCCAGCGCATCGCACGCATCACGAGAGACATTCGCCAATTTATTAATCGTAAAGTGCACGTATCGATCGCGCGAGTAAAAGTAGCGCTCTCCTGCGAGCCGCTGCTATATACGGCTTTGTGTAGCTTTTGCACGATCATAAAATTTCGGCGGACGAAGAGGGCGACATCGTGCTGAGCGCGCGCGACAGTTGGCAAGCGATCGGGATCCTCGAGCGACTTTGCCAGTCACGTACTCGTACGTACAGCGAGCCAAATTCAATTTTTCATATCTGATTTTCCATTGACAAACTGATTGCAGCTGCGCCATGTACGCTGATTGTTCGCGCCATAAAAGTCATCCATTCTCGCGGTACAGGCGTCGCGCGACGCCCGCTCTCGCCGAAGACACGATGAGCTTTCGATCAATCGGTCGCTCTTGCGAAGAGGGCCTCGACCGGCCGTCGAGCCCGCGACCACTCGCCACACGCTTAGCATCGTCGAGCAAACGGACACCAGGCATGAAATTCGCTCGTACAGAGATTTGCGCATTGGCGAACGCGCTCTTTGACGTCACGCCTCGCGTTCCGTGGGCGCGCGCGTGCGCTCCACACGCGGTGCATCATCGTATACACCGCGACGGACGTTTTTCACACACGCGCGCGCGCGCTCGGGCTCGCTTTCCAATTCCCGCACGCGCGCGTTCATCCCGGCCGAGCAAGGAAGACAAAAGAAAACGGCTCGCACGAGGAATTCGGCATAATGGAAACTCGCGACCGTCCCGTCGTGATTCGTTCCGCGCTTTGCGCCCTTCGCGGCGATCGATAAAGCTCCACGGCGAGAGAGAGAGAGAGAGAGAGAGAGAGAGAGAGAGAGAGAACAGCCGCGCGTAAACCATAGAAACAAAGAAGCCACGTGGAAATGAATAAAAAATGTCGGGCGCCGCGCTCGCGGCGAATAATACGCGCTTTCGGCTGCCGGGGCACTTTGCAGCTGTTGTCGCGCCTCCGAGCCACCGAGTCCAATATGAATAAGACAGGCGCGCGCGAGCTGTTCGGTCGCGTAAACAATTCACGCGAGAGCATATAGTAGGTTTTGCAGGCCTGGCAAGCTGGCCGCGAGTCGCGGGATGCTGCAGCGCAGCCGGAAAACTGCAACTCGGAACTGCCTTCGCCCTGTCCCGAAGGGGAACGGCCGAGTTTCGCGCTCGGTTTCATTAACAATCCGTTTGCGCGGTCGCGAGCAACGCGAGAGAGAGAGGCCGGGAAAGTTGCTTTGCGAGTTTCGCTCGAGTGGCGCCTTGGCTTGCAAACGGTCGCGCGCTCGTTTGCGGCTCTTCTACACCTCGACTGTCGCCGAGGACAGTTGATTTGCGCACAAACGGTCACGGCACTAATCGAGTGCAAGCACACGTACACGTCGAAGCCGTGAACGGATGGAAGACTGAGCCGGAGCCACGCAGCCAAGGGAGTCGAGCGCCATTTACATCCGTCTTAATGAACGCGCGAGGCGCTTGTTTCGACGGCGAACCGACAGAGCCGTCGCGTCGATTTCGTTCCTCCTCTGCCGCGGAGACGCGTACTCTCCTTCGCGCTCTATTCCGCACAAATTAACTCTATCCTTTTTTATACTACGTCTTTATGCTCGGCTTGCTTGATGTACTCGTACGCGTGTGGAAAAGCGGCGAATAAACGTCGCTTTGGCATTTATAAATGTGCCGTAGATATTTTCAATTTTTAAATTGACGTACGCGAGCGACCAACTTGCTCTTATCATCGGAACTGCATGTCCTTCGAGCGAACGTCGATTATCGTTCGAGGACATTGTTCGTTGACACGGCGCTCTAGTTTTATATTTTAGTCAACCATTCGCGGCATTTAGAAAAGTCGAATGAAAACAGAACTGAGCTTGTTGCGTGAAAATTTCACGCAAAGTCTGATACAAATCTCGTAAGATGCATTTTATCACTGAGTCACAGTATCGAATCAAATTAAAGGTTTTCGTAGCCAATTAAAAATAAATGCCATGAACTTATTTATAAGGAACTGCGCAGAAAATCCTTGCGCGTCTCTCATCAACATTCAAGTGTATTTATAAGATCTTCTCGTAGTCAGAAATGTTCGTTGCTCTATAATAAACAGTATACCGTGAGAATACGCAATGTCAAACGAAAAGATGAGCGGGAGCTTTTAGTACCGTATGACTAATTACTTGCAAGTTAATCAAGCAAGTGTATCCGTCGACTGATCGTCGGTGAGAATAAGTCAGTGGCAGAGAGTTCCAGAAAGAGCGATGAAAATAGTCAAGAACTCTGTAAGTGTATTGACAAGCCAAACGATCAACAAAATTAATCTCCACTTACGATCACGACTGATAATAATTATTATTACGATAAACGCATCAACACTGATAAAAACTTGGATAGAATGGCCGATGACAATTCTGTTATCGCTGTTATTCCGTGTAAACAGTGGAGACACACCTCCTGTACTAGCGCCAATGTAACGTATCCATCTATGCGCAATTGCAATGTCCCAATAAAATATCTCTGACGTTGATCAAACTCGTACTATAAGTGGCTTGTTGCGAGAGCGAAAAATTTTTTAACGCTTTTACATACTCTCGTGAACATTTTACTTTAGATAAACGGTAAAGTTAATCAGCCGATAGCAAACTCCACGAAAATAACGGTGATACGCTTTGTTTTATGAATAATATAATTAATAAAACGATTGTCGGTCCTACAACTAGACAAATCTGGATAATCAATATGCGTTATTATTGTTATTGTTACTTCGAGGACTCGGAGCAATCTGTATACACATTAGTCTTGGTTTCTCATAGCCGTCCCCGTCAGACTCGCAAGACCGCGCGAAACGAACCTTTTCTCTCACTCCGCATCGTATTCCGCCTCGGCGGATCAAGAGAGCGATTGAAAATCACGGTGGAAACGGCGTCACCGACCGATTCATAAAACAGGAAAAAAACGAACGACGAGCGAAACAATTGCGCCGTAAACAGGTCTCCCGCTACGATTATTGTAGTTGCGGCGCACGACAAACGCAGCGAGTCAAGGAAATATACATAGAATACGCGCGCGAGCAAGCCTGTGACAAACGAACGTTTGGCTTTCGGAGCGAGCTGCTCGCGCGCTTTGTTCGTGGCGATCCTTATCGCGGGACACGCCGGATTATCGTTTGTCACGATGAAACGCGCTCACTTTCCGAATCGCTTGAAAATATACAACTTATCGATCACAAACGAAAGCTCTTATCGATGTAAATGTCGTAGCGTCGAGGCTCGATTCGCGGCAAGAAAAAAAATATTTCACTGGAGACCGTTCGCATGGTCGACGATCTTTTCGCACGGGCACGGATCCAGCAGCAGGCCATTATCGGGACTCCCCATTAGAGATGAGGGGATATCTGGCTATCCTCTAGCGTAGACGTAGGCTATTTGATGAAAAAAAAAGAGAGAAAGCGTCCGAGCAATTGTCTGCTCTATCCTATTTCGTCGTTGAAAAATCCAGGAACGGCGATCCGATACCGGGCAGGAGAAGGAGGGCGGGTGCAACGATGCCTCTTCGCTCTTATTTTTATTCGGCGCAACGCGGACGCCGATCGAAGCGAGAGAGAGAGAGAGAGAGAGAGAGAGACGGAAGCTCGCCCGCGAGGAAGAGAAAGATCCAGGCGAGTCAAAGTTTTTCATTAGAAGCGCGGGTGCACGCGCAGCCGTTTCTCGTCGACAGCCTGCGCTTAACGTCTTTCTCGCGTGGACGTCGCGCACGCCAGCGGAATGCAATTAGCGTACGGCGAAGGTGGCGCGCGCAGGCCAGCCGATTACCAATTAGCCGATGCGGACTCGATGTTTGCTCGGTCGCAGACGCGACGGTCAATATTGAGCTCGTCACCGGCGTGCGCGGGGGCCGCGCGACTTCTCGGCGTCGGCGACTGAAATTTCGCCGGCGACTGCCAACTGGCGCGCGACCGAGGTTAATGAAGCGGATTTGACGACGCGGGAGAGAAGGAACGGAGGACCCTGGTCGATTAAGGGCGACGACGCGTCCCTGATGCACTCGCTTTCGGATGCTCGCTTACACGCTTCACGGTCCTTTATCGCTCGCGACGCCGAGGTATCCGGTCTGAAGGCTCGAGTGCAAAAAAGCCAAGCTTGCTCTCCGCCCGTCCGCGTCAAGCTGGCGACGGCGTCTCGTCGAGCCAGAGTCGGGAAACGAAAGGAAAGGGACGCTCGGCCGCCGAGGGAGCCAACACAGCTAAAAGGTGTGCGCATTCACGTGTTGCAGGTACCAGTCTATTCGCAGTGGCAGCGCACGAATTCGGCCATTCGTTGGGCTTGGCGCACAGTTCGGTGCGAGGCGCCCTCATGTATCCTTGGTACCAAGGGATAACCGAGGATTACGAATTGCCGGAGGACGATAAGCACGGCATACAGCAGATGTACGGTGAGTGGCCAACCGTGTACTACCGGATTACTCTCTATCGGCCTCCGCCGTCTCTACACTCCCCATTCCTTTTTACATTTGCTTTCGCATTATCGAACGGTCGTTTAGAATTGCCCCGACAATCCAATTGGCGCGTCGGCAGACTTTGCGAAGCAAGGCAACGGCGGCAGTCGCGCGGGCATTTCATTAGCTCCTGACAGCGCGGGAAATGAAAGAATCCAGCGAGTAATATCCTTGTTTACGTGCAGCTGCGCCTGGAGGAGAAACAGAGAAAAGGACTGCGAGCTCTGTAATCCAAATGAAACTCAACTATTGCACGGTCGAACGAGAACATTCTTTTCCCTCGGCTTCGGAACAATTAACCCGAAAAATTCGCGCGCACGCCGACAAGCTATTTCCAAATTGAAAAGAAACTGGATAGCCCTTGAGAGCATGCAATTGCGAGAAATACCAACGAGCCGAGCGAGCCAACAAATTAGAGAGGCTCGCCGAGCGTTGCAGTTTCCAATGAAGAATAAAAGAAGAAGAAGCTCGGTTAAGTCGCGGATAAATAAGCACTACAATATACGACGCCGAGCACAAAGAACAATAGCTATATACGGGCGAAAAGAAAAGCCGCTGTTATACGATGTCCTCGTCGCGGTCGTTATATCGTCCTCTCTCCAAATTGGTATCGCTCTCCGCTTTCCCGAGCTTTTCTCCCTTTTCGGGATATCTTTTCTCGCTCTCGAATCTCTCCTGCAGGCTGTACCCCCCCCCCCCCCCCCCCCCGCCCGGCAAAACAGAGAAAGTACGAGGATTGGCTTATGAATAAAAACGTTACACCAACCCTCCATCGCCCGGAGATTGCTTTCATTATTCGAGAGTCGATCGCGCCGTTGTTTCTCTTGCTTTTTGCCCTTGCGAAAACGCGTGAGTCGGTTATGGGTGCGCCAAGTTTTTCCATCGCAATCCAAATTTGCGTATTTTTTCACGTGTATGCGTGTGTTTTGTTTTTATTTTTGTTGACATTCCAGGCGCGCTTCGAATTTGCAAAACTGAAATATCGTCACGACTCTTCTCCAGGGAGAAATATCAGTTTTTTTTTTCGATTTCTCCGCTACTGTGAGGAGAAAGTAGATATTAGTTCAACAAGATATAAATTCAACAAAAATATCGATTTTCAATAACAATATCAGCGGCATATTCACGGATCGCGACTGCCACAGCTACCGTAATACGTCAAGCGAATTGAAAACGCAGGAGAACAAGTTCACGATAATAACCACAAGATGGTGCAAAAGGATCGCGGCTTAAAATCCATATCGCGCGGTAAATCATTCGCGTTCTTTCTCTCGTGGAAAATGGCCCATTAGAGGCGGACGAATCCGAAACAAACGCTCGTGCGCGAGCCGTTCAATGGGAGTTTTATCGTTGGGAAAATAGACAGGCGAGCGGGAGAGAGAGAGAGAGAGCAAAAGAGACGAAAGGCAAATAAAACGAGTGCCAGAGGGTCGGCCGGCAATGCATTGTCCGTGTACACATACGGGTGGAATGATTTATCGCTGTGCATTGCCATGCGCTCGCTCGTCGCACGCTAAAAATCCATCGAAAAATGCACGCGCCAAGTCTCCAAGGAGTACACAGGGTCCTTCATTTCCTACGGGGACGCCTGCTCCTCATCGCTGCTGTAGCTGCTGCTGTTCCTTTCGTCCCAGCTTCTTTCTTTGTCTTTTATCCGCCTTGGGTTCGCGAGGCAAACTTGTGCTCGCTCGTATTCGACATTTTTCCAGCGCGCAACGTAGTTGGCTACGTTAATTCGACGCAACTTCGGCGGGGTGTAACAGCGACGCTGAAACAGCCGTCGGTTTCAAGTGGAATAGCTGGAGTTTGGTCAGCCGCGGAATGATATTCCAGCCGGAGACATTTGCCGCGCGTAATAATAAGCTTGTGAATTGCCATTGTTCTCGAGTGTGTATATGCCTGATTATAGCCGGCGTGTGCTCGCGATGACCCAGCATGAAAATCGCGCGCGCGAGTGAGAGAGAGAAGGGGGGGGGGGGAGGGGGCGTCGCCCGTGCTATATCGTAAACAATTTTCCGAGTGCGCGCGTGATTATGCCGCGACGAGATACCGCTGCGCCTAATAATAACAGTAATAATAATGACAGAACTGTTGATTACAGTTTCAGCGAAGCGCTGCTTGAACAAGCCATTACAGTGGTCCTTAAATCATGCAGCGAGCATTCCGAAAGAAGCAAATAAATTATCGCGAACAATGACACGAGTACAGGCGCATTCGGCCGAGAAAATCACAAAATGTTCAACTGATTATTCGCTCGTAAAACCACTGCACCGGGCATCGATAATGGATTACGAAAATGACGATTTCTCTCTCTCTCTCTCACTCTCTCTCTCTCTTTCACTCTCCTTCTCGCGATCATTAGTAAATGCAGAGCGAGAAGCGTGTGGCCGAGCGGGGAGTGGGAATTCAATTAAAAGTGATTTAAGAGCTCTCCCTACGACTCCGTACGCGTTTTTAATCAGGCACGGTCAAACTTATTGGCGTTTGCCCTTCCTTCTTATTCTTCATCGTCGGCCTCGGCTACCAGCTGCAGTCTGATTGATCGACGACGACTGGGACAATGCAAGCACAACGACGCAGCCCGTTGATCGCCTTCGTTTACGTAAGGGTCTCGTGCTGTCGCGGCGATCGCCGGCTTTCCGGCTCATTTTCATGACCGACCTCGCTGCAAATAAAAACAAAGCAGCTGCTGCCAGTCGACTTTAATTGGGTCTTTTAATTGGCTCGCGGTTTCGCCGACCGCGAGCCTCCTTTTCGGCCGCGCTCCCCGTGAACGGCTGAATAATGAATCTATCGCGACCGGCAAGCTCGTTGGACCGTCGTTCTCTTCGGCCAGCGAGTTATAAAGCTTATATAGGCGAGCCGGGTCAGCGGGCAAAAGGAGAACGAGATCGCAGTTACTCGCGATGAAAATTCACGACAACTGTCTCGGAGGTGCACTGCAACGGCGAGAAAATCCTCTTAGCCCGTTTAAAAGGCAGAAGGAGAGAGACTGAGAGAGCAGTTTTGAAGTTGGCTCCACGGCGGATTGGAACGGGAAAGCGCGCCCCTCGAAAATCGACTTAAAACCGGCGGAGTATCGCTTATGTATGTGCAAGAGCGGCAGCCTCTTTTAACGAAGGCTCGGGCGAAGGCGCAGAGAGCGCGGCTCGCCTGCGGAATCACGCGAGAGCTACTTTGGCATGCGGCGAGCGCGTCCCCGTGTCTACCTTTTTCTCTCCTCTGTCTCGACGGCGCGGCCCCCCTTCGGAATTTCGTCGACTGTGTAATAGCTGGGCCGCTGGACGTAGTCGACGACGCGTGCGGTGGCGCGCCGGCGTGAAACGGAGGCTGAAAGAGAAAGAAGTTTGACGGGACGCGCGTCCTCCTGGAATTTTCATCAACTGCGACTCGCGCCGCTACGTAAAGCTGGATAACGAGCCAAGTTGCGCGCGAGTGTACGAACTCGTTATAAGAGCGGATTAGTCGATGTTCGAGGCTTTCCCCTTTCTTCTCTCCTTATTTTTCCGCGCACAGATTTGTGCAAGTTGCTCCGAGCAGGAAACTCTCGCGGCGGCGAGGACAGAAGAGGCAGACCAGACGTGGGTATGAAATTCATTTCGCGGGGGAAAGTTGGTCTCGAGGAAACTTGGCGCGCGCTCCTCTTGCCCGGCTCCACTTCATTTTTCATGCCTCGTCTAATTAAATTCTGTTCGGCTTATTCCCCTCCGCTGGCCTTGGCGCTTTTGCATTCGAGCGCTTCCCCCCGGCGATTCATCGCTGCCAGTGTCGAGCTGGTGTCCCTGTGCATTTGCATTATCGATGCGACGTCAACGGGACGTCGGCGTGCTCTCGAGCGCCAGGTTGCGTCCGACAAACGGCAAACGCTGCCGGTTAGTCGCACCTCGACGGATCTCGTGGCTAGCAGCGGGCTTCGTTATTGCGATCTACGAAAGCGTCCACCTTCGAACTCCGAAGAAACCGTCGCGTCGACGCGTCGTTAGCCGGAGGCAGAGTTCCCGCAGACACCAGTGATTAGGTGTAGAGTCAGCCGGGAATATCGGGCGTCTCGGTGGGCTCCTGCAGCATCTTGATGAATAGCCGCGGCGTGCTCGGCGCCACGGATATGCTCGCGCGAGACGGCTCCGTTATTGCCGCTCGCCCGCACACGTGTACACGCCGACGAGGCGATTCCCAGGACCAAAAGCGAGCGAGCCCTCGAATATTTGCCGAGAGTGCGAATTCCCGTCGCGTCGATGATGTCCATCCATACGCGTACGTGCTGCTGTGCGCCTCTTTTGTTCTTGACGCTCGTCGCTCGAACAACCTGTTTTTGTTTTTTTTTTTTTTGTTTCTTTTCGACGACAACGGCGCGAACCGAACGGTTAACGATTCGTAGGAGAATCGGCGAATGGGCAGTTGGCTCCGGTGCTGCCCCCTGCGACGCGCCAAGGCCGCGTCGCCAACGCGCACACGTTCCACTTTCCGCCGAGGGCAGAGACGCGCGCACGCGTGAAGGTTCGCGCGCGGCTCTCTCGGCTGAAGAGCGCTCGTGCCCGCAACAGCGGCAACAATCGATTCCGTTTGTTTGCGCTTTCCGGCCGGGCGCTGCCGTTGCGAATCGCGCTCGCGATTTTTGCCCTCGTTACGGACACCAGCGCCGACTCGCGCCCCGATAATACCCCCTCAAGTATACACACGCACTCGCGCGTTTAACAATGAATCGGTCGATAGTTGGAGTCGCCCGGGAAAATTAATGATTTATCGAGCGATGCTCCTCTCCTCTCGCGCGCGCATTATTGTTTGCTCGAAAGGGCGGCAGCCCCGATATCGCTCGCGCGCATATACTTTGGCCGGATAACCACTCGGGCCGCGTGCGCGCACGTCTCTCGCGGTAAACGCCCCGATAACGGCTGCCTGGGGGGAGGAGTGGGGGGCTCCAATTAAGGGTCCCACCGCGAGCAACCGATTTACGAGCCGCTGATCTCCGGGCGCAATCGACTGCGTCGCCTTCGTTGCTCGTCCCTTCCCAGCCATTTCGCATCGCTCGCACGATTACGCTCATGACAAATCACTCCGAGCATTCTTTCGCGCTTAGTTCACTAGCCGCGCACTTTTCATTCGACGCTCGGCCGAAAGATAATGCGAAACGCCAATAGGTACAAATGTACGTGAAAGACAGATCCGCAATCATCGACAGGTACGTGCGCAATATCGATAAACGATAACTTCCGCCGTTTCGATGAAACCTCTAAAAAGAGTCCATGGGCTCGAGCGCCGGAGGAGAGAGAGAGAGAGAGAGAGGCCCGAGGGGAAGAGTCTCAAACTGCGTTCTTCGTAAACATAAAACGCAAGGCGGCTCAGAAGTGCGCGCGACGCGCGGCTTTACGGGCAGAGCTCCGGAGCCGGCACGTACGAAACGGCGCACCGAGCTAGATTGCGAACGACGAGGCATCGAGCGTTGCGATCGGAGGTCCTACCGTGGACGTGCCACAGCGACTTGGCTTGTCAGCCTCGATCTCGGAGCTTCGTGCGCGCGCGCAGACCTCCCAAAGGATCCTCTCGTCTGTTTTTCGCTGGCTCGCGGCGCGGCCGATCGAGCAGCAGCAGCAGCAGCAGCAGCAGCAGCCGCCGCCACTGAGTCACTACGGAAATGCGCTCTGCGACGTTCAGGCCAGTCGCGAAACATTTTCAAAATGAAAACATTCCCGTCCAGTCGACGCTCGACGCGGAGAGGCCTCGAGCGTCTTGGATAGGAGGCGGAGGAGGATCTTAGAGAGGAGTAATGGACAAAGTTGAGGCTCACGCGTACCACGAGAGAGCGTTGCGCAAAGACGGCCCCCCGCACCTAAAGCCGATTGGCAATCCTCTCGGGCGGCGCGCTCTCGCCTAAGATATGCAGCTCCGCCGCGGCAAAGCAACGAGGTCGCGAGAAGGCTTCGGGCGAGGCCCATCCCCACCGAGACGCATTCAATTTTCAGCGGAGTTATGGGGAATCGGTGTGCGCTCGGTAGCCTCGGCGGTCAGGCGCAGTCCGCAAATCAATTCTCATTGAAAGGGCGTTTGCAGCGCGAGAGCTAGGAGCCGCGGCGGCAGCGTCGGCGCCAGTTGCCAATGCGTATTTGCCAATTCCCCGTGTGGCGTTGCCAGTGGCTGCAGACGGCCCGGTCGAATCGAATCAGCGGCGCCGCAGAGCACCTCGGGCACGCGCGTTATTTCGACCGGTAATCCGATTAGGGCTCGCGCGCGAGCCTCCCGATTCGCCGCCACTCGCGCCCAATTTTCGCGCACGTACGCGCGGCGCGCTGCTGTTTGCCCAGCTGCTCGAATAGCAATTAGCCGCCAACGCCATCCGCGGCTCTTGCTCGTTTGTCCTTTCTTTCTTCGCTTGTCGCCCAAGTGGATGCGCGGAATCGCGCCTGTCTGGCTTCCTCCCGAGTGTTCGAATGCCTCGTCGATGGCACGTTGCAGCGAGTGCCGCTGCGCTTGAGAATCGTTGAAAACAAAGAGAACATCTCGGAGGCAATCGGCAGCTTCTATAACTGGCGGTGCAACTGTTGAAGGCTTAATTTTCGTCAATGGGATTGGAAGCGGCTTCGAATATTGACAAGGTGTCTCTCTTCGGAGCTACAGATTGCGAACGGAAAGAACAAAGAGGTGCTCCTTTAATTCAGCCTATTTTCGTGAAATTGCAGGTGCGCCGGACAGATTGTGGGGCAAGAATCCCGACTATCCTTACTACCGTCCGCATCTACGTCCACCATCGACGACGGCGAGGACGACGGCGAGGACGACGGCGAGGACGACGGCGAGGACGACGGCGAAGACGACGACGACGACGACCACCACCACCACCACCACCACCACCACCACCACGGAGCGACCATGGCGGACGCGACCGTACACTCCGAGGGAACCGTCGTACACGCCTCGCGAGCATCCCTACAGACCGAATCATTATCCACCGGAGGAGCGACCGCGATACCCCGACGAAAGACCGCCGCGCCGACCCGAGTATCCGGGCGCCGAGCGACCACGTCAACCCTATTACCCAACGAGTAGAGCCGACTGGCCGGCAGCGAGCACGCCAAGGAGGCCGCCTTATCACAGGCCGCACCATCATCATCCCAACACCGTTGGCACGACGTCCAGTCCGAGGTACAGACCTGCCGTGAAGAAGGACGCGCCCGACAAGTGCGACACGGACTACGACGCCATCAGTCTCATCAGGAGAGAGCTCTTCATCTTCAAAGGACGAGTGAGTTGATCGTCGACACTCGCGTGCGCGGTCAAACGCGCAGCAGCGGCTCTTCTAAATCTTGCACGGCTGGATGCCGCGTCCTAACGCAGCCGAGGGCCGAGGGAGGGGAATTAACTCCGCGTAAGCCTCGCAAGCGACGACCAGAGGCTACGGCTGTTTCCCTCGGTAGAGGCCAACTTTGGTTGCGCGCCTTCGCAGGCTTCGCGCTAATTTGCAGACGCGCGTTTGTCTGCGCATCGAGAGTGTTCGCGAAAAATAGGAAATCGATGGACCGTCGCCAAATTGCCAAAGATTAATCCGCGTGTGCACTCTTGCTTTTTACCAAGTTTCGCAGCAAAGTGCAACCTAATGATAGATTTTGTCGCTCAATAGTATGTATGGCGGCTGAACGATCGTGGACTGGTGGAAGGTTTCCCAGCCGAGATAACCCAGCTGTTCAAGTTTCCAATGGAGGTGGATCACGTGGATGCGGTTTACGAACGTACGGATAACAACGGCATCGTCTTCTTCGTCGGTCGCAATTACTACGTCTTCAACGCGTTCTATCTCGAACCCGGCTATCCTAAACCTATTACCGAGTTGGGTCTACCACCTGATCTCAAGAAAATCGATGCCGCCATGGTTTGGGGTTACAACAAAATGACCTACTTCTTCAGTGGCAACATGTATTGGAGGTGATTGGACAATAAATATATTACTTTATGTTGTATATGAGTATTTCTTATATTTTTCTGATATCGTTTGAAGGTTCGACGAGAACGTGAACTATGTGGAACTGGACTATCCGAGAGATATCAGTATGTTCGCCGGTATTGGCACGGATATCGATGCGGCTTTCCAATGGAAAAACGGTAAAAACTAGCAAACAGTACGCTGTCGCGCTTCAGCCTATGAGCAGTCGCATTGACGGTCATTCTGATCAATTTTAGGTACGACGTACTTCTTTAAAGGCAGGCACTTTTGGCAGTTCGACGACATGCGCATGAGGGTGGCTCACAAAAGACCCAAGCTCTCGGCGCAGTACTGGATGAATTGTCCACGAGGAATTGAAACCAATGACGTCGACTTTGAATACCCTACCAAGCCGCGAATCCACAGTATATCTGCGAGCGCTGCAACCCCGATGAGCTCGTGTCACGCCATTGTCGCTGTGACATTGCTGTTACCTTTGTTTAGACGAGTGTATGCGTAGGCAAATTTTATATCATCATGTTTCTTGCTGTCTCTGGTTTGAAAGAAGTGAAACTTGAGCATTTCTTTATCTGGAAATTCGATTGATGTTAATGTTTTTTCAGTACTTAACGCAATGCAATTAGTTAGCCAAATTTTTCTTTATTTATAGGGACGTTTGATCTTACAGAAGAGAACAAATTTCGGAGAAAATAGTAGTCGCTAAATCAGGACCGAGCATTATTTGTGAAATATTGCCATGGACGAAATAAACACCTATTAATGAAGGTTTTTCGATCAATTTTCAGGCTTTTAATAATGTCTATATTTATGCACACACGCGTTGCCTCTATTTTGTACTGAATAAGCATTTCAAAGTATCAAATATTTTGTAATTCATTCATTCGGTCGATTGCAACTTAATATGAATGTTTCGCAAGTTGTGTGAGAAACGATTAGAGAGAGTTGTGAAAAGTATGAATAGATGAAGTTCGTATGGAATGGGAACTAATAATGCAAGTGATTTTCACGAATGTTTGTTAAACCGTAGAACTATTGCGAAATTTTATAATTAACCAATGTTAATTTCTATATAAAACCAGTTGACCGTTTATGTATATATTTTTTTTTACAAAATTTAAGCAAATTTTATAGATTTTGAGTTTTAAGTTATTTTATAGCTTTAAATTTTGTGATGACTTTTTATTTTTATATAAATAAAACGTCGTATTCTTTGAAAATTCGATTTTAATTGAGCTTCAAATTAAGAAATGCGCATTATTTCATTCTTGAACATCACGATAAAGATATTATTTTAAACAAGGGCAATGCAAGTATAAGCATTTCTTTTTTAATAAAAAAAACGTAATTTTAAGTATTATACTTTTTTTCTATTAAGCATCGAAGGCGTCAAATCAATCAATGATGTAATCCCAAAACTGTAGACCTTCAACTGCCTTTATCGTGAGGAACGATTTACATTCCTTCACGCCAATACTTTTATACTGTATTACGTAGTATATTTAATTGTTCACTTTATATGTACTATACCTATATAATATGATTCTTGAGTTTTTCCATAACTCAATTTTGTTACTTCATTCGATCAAGAAAAGTAAACGAATGTTTTTAATGTTACAATTTGTACGAGATCGTTAATCTCGATTCAATGGTGCACTTTTAGATTTTTTTATTAATAATTGATTAGCATCGTACTAGAAATGAAAAATAACGATAACTTTTATATATGAATGTTATGTAAGAAGCGTGCAGTCAGTTTTATGAACTGTGATATTTATACTGAGAAGTATCGCTAGTCTGAAAACATGCTATATCTTACAAGTACGTATATACAATAAAACGAAATACTAAAGCTCATTTGAGCTGGAATGGTTGTCTTAAGTGTCTTATTCAAAATCATAATATCGAAGCTGTTAACGTTTTCCTTAACTACGAGTCAGACTAGCGTACCGAATTCTATTACTCAAATAGAAGCTATATTTTGTAAGCTCACGCTTTCTATGTGTACATACGAAAAGCGATAAAGAAAGGTAAAATAATTTTTTCGACGGAATACATAGTATACGTAGTATCTCTGTACGTGAATAAATTGAGATAGGTGTATTGAGACCGGAGACGAAGTTTTCAAAAAAAACTCTTGTTTATTCTCTTCCATAATTGATAACATGACGCACATTTTCACTTTTAGTTTTTCATATACATATTTATATAATAATATTTGTTTCTCTAACGATGATGATGACGACGATGATGTAGTAAGTGCGTATCCGACGGCGAATACGAGTCCCAAGGGTTGAGTAAACCTAGCGTCATCTGAACGATAGTATCAACCTCGGCCATGGCACCGATACCCGTGTCACCGCACATGAGGGTCTTAGAGATGCACGGCACCTCCTTGTATCCCCAAGATTTTAGCAGTGCCACCTGTTCGATAAACAAACGAAAGTTTTCGTTAGTGAAATCAAATTTTTTTTTAATTGAACGAATTTTTCTGTGTTTTTAACGTTGTGAGATGTGAACGATTGTAATGAATTATTTGATGCTTATTTTAAGGAAATAAAATCGTAAAAAATATGTCAGATGTTATGTTTATTCTTCTCAATAGAAGAACTATCCTCGGTTCTAGCTTTAATTTTTTAATCCGTCTGAAATAGATTTTCTTAGAATTGACATAAACATCATTTTTCCACAAGGAGAATCTTTTGAAAAAAGACACAAACACGTAGATCTAAGATTAAGCATACTTGCGGAGCAGTGACAGGGTGTTCCCACATCCTCGTATTCATGGCCGGGCAAAAGATCAGCGGTTTTTGTGTATCCCAGGCGCGTGCCACGCACGTTAATATATTGTCGCAGATTCCGCTTGCCATTTTACCCAGCGTGTTGGCATCCATAGGAGCGATTACAAATATATCGGCCCATTTAGCCAAATCGATGTGAAGCACTGGATCGCCTCGATCCTGCCAAGCTGCCCACTCTACGGTGTCCGATAGAACTTGACAACCAGGTGGTAGTTCGACTTCCTTCAAGAAGTGCTTGGCTCTCTCGGTGACAACCACGCGTACCTCGACGTTCCGTTGCCAGAGCTTTTGCACCAACTGGGGCAACTTGATCGTCGCGACGCTTCCGGTACAGCCGACCAGCACTCGTTTCTTCGATGTCGAGGATGCCATTGTGGTTTTGTTTTGTTATGTTTGGATGAACGTGTATGCACTCTAGTATATGTGTGCTTTTGTTCTCGACTATCTAGACTACTTTGCGTTTCGTTTTAACGTCGCTACAAGCGACTAATTTATTGACATTCAGTTTTCAGATCAGCTAAATAACGGCCGCCGCGTGTTTATCAATTGCGTACACGTCGGGTGCGACACGTGAGAAGCGATCTTTTATTTATATAATTTATTTTGCTACCTACAACGGACGACCGTCTAAGGCCGTTGAATAAGTTGCACTGCAGCTTACAATATATCTCGAACTTGGCAGAAGCAGATCATCGATACAACTAGGATACAATTTGCGTTTATTTTCTTAATATCAAGTCTTCGAGTTTGGCTTTATTTAATTGAACTTGCGTTGCACTAATGACGTAACTACGACAGCGAGGGTGCACAAGCAATGAGCATGGATTAATTTGTCGTTTCAGTTAATCGATTTGCCTGAAGCTTTTTTTCTTATAGAGAACTTGATGACTAACCTCATGAATGGGGTGTTTCGTCGTGTACTGTGTGATTTACGAAGTGGTTATTGTTGTTGCCGACATTTGTGTGTAAAGTATTATTGTAGATTGGTTTGTTTGTTGACTTTAGTTATGATTGATTGATATGTTAATTATATCGAAGATCGTTATCCAATTTCTTTCACTATTCTTGACGCAGGCCTTCAAGTCTTTAAACTTTATCTTTCCAATAACTATCTTCTTTAACATTTGTATACATATAATTTTTTATATATAATCTTTAATATTTACTCTGTTTAATGTATATATATCCTTATTTTATAAATATATAATATGCATATAAAACACGAGATCGCGAATTTCGCAACTCAGGATTTATTAGGCATGAAACGTGTACGTTCGTCTCGTCGTTGAACTGTGTATTTCGATGAGAACCCTATTGAAAAAAGAAAAATGTGAGATTTGTTGAAGTTTATGTGGTTGTGAACATTTACAGCAGTTGTAGAGAGCAATACTCGTTACAATTTTATTTCAAAATTTTATATTTTTGATCATTTATAATATTAGCAATGAAAACTTTTTTTGAAATCTTTAATATTCTACATCATATAACAATAACACTTACTCATTATGATTTATTTATTCTTTAGTTCTTCAAATAAATAAGGAATGGTCTAAGTTTTAAAAGCTCATATGAAATTATGTGAGAAAAAAATAGATCTATTATAATTTATAGAAATAATAATTGAACATATACTATAGAAATAATAATTGAACATATATTATAGAAATATTAACACTATCAGACAGCATATGGCATTATTAAATAGAATAAGCATCAATAGTATTGAGATTAACTCCTTACAATTGCATCTTTTTAACATCATATTTTAGCCATACAAGCTAAAAAATAACTAACCAGGATAACCTTTCTTCAGGGCAGTTTATTTGTTCGGCAGTTAGGGTCAACTCTACGACGAAGACGAAGGGCCTTTCTCATTGCTGCTTCTGTTCGCTCAAATTACTTTCTTGAAAGCCTAGTTTAGACCAGCTTTCTCTAACCATCAGTCCATTGTCCATACGACAACCAAGATATTCTTTGCTCTCTTCCTTACAGATGCTAGCTATGTTCTTGTTTTTTATCAGACAGCGCATATACTTGATCATAACTTCACGGCATAATCCTTCATGGTCCAATGGAAAACTGCCCTTCTCAGGTGGCGTAGGAGTAAATTGCTTCTGTGAAAATGTAAAAGAGGACATCCTGTTGCTAACAGAGAGTCTTCTCGGTTCTCATCCACATTTGGTCAATTTGGTTTAGTGTCAGTAGAAACAGGAACTGTAAACATGATCATGTGTAATATTTTTTAATTAATAATCAGAAAAACGTGTTTTTTTGCTGAAATCAATAACACATATTTTCCCTTTTTTTCCTTTTTATTGCTAAGAATTTCAAGATAAAACAAAAAAAGAGTTAATTGTCCTAATAACCTAATAACTCTTAATGTTGAATCAATATAGGTTAGATTATTCAACACTCTTAAAATGCATCTTATTGTTCAATACAAAATTATAATAAAGCAAAACATAAATTGAAATACTTATATATGCATTATATTTATTTCAAATAAGGAATCAGAATGTAAATATGTTTTTCTATTCAAATACAATAAGTAAATTTTCATATATCTTTGATGATGACTTCTTTTCATTCGCAATACTTCAACGTGACACGAAAAAATAAAAATCATTTGGACATTTCCATTTTTATTTACTACATACTACATAGTTAGTTGTGACTGGCAATTGCATAGTTACATCACCAACCGTGCTCAACGTCTCAGCTTGGAAGCACCAATTCACTATTTATTCATCTGCCGAAACTACGTTTACTAGCTCGCACAAACACACATGCACACAACACAGGTACTATTGTATACCTACATTCAAACAGAACAGAGAGCTTATCACATCTGATAAGAGCACGTAAAGAATAACACTCTCAGCCATGCGCTCTCGTCACGCAAAGCGTTTTTATATGATAATAGCACGCCATGCACATTTTACCCTTGGGCACAGCTAAATCCAATCAGTACTTCAATATCAAATTACACGGTAAATCTGAACGAAAGTACAGGTACATATATATGCACACGCACGTAATTATGATCGTGCAATGATCTGGCACTGTAGGTACTTGCAAGGGACAACAATAGGCGTCGCGAGATGTAAATAAGCAAAGCAACTTCGTAAACAGAGGACGGATAAGTACCTTGTATCCCTGGGCAGTGTGTTATCTCCCTCCTTCTCTGGTCTCTTCCTCGACTCAACTCCCCCGCGGAAATGCTCCTAGGGGGTACGGCTGCAGGCTGCAGGCAGCGAGTCCTCTTATTTGCTATAGGGCGCTCTTAAAGAACCAAGAGAGAGGATCCAGTCGATCGCTCGTTGATGCGCGCGCAGCCCACCACCCTCTCTAGCTTGCAGTGCATGTGTACGCGCGGGAATATCTGCGGTGAGCTGGTCTACGCCCGCTATGTGGGTTAAGACTGTGCTTTCCTTTTTCGGGGTTAATGCCAAGTAATAATACCTTTTCCAACGCTTCATCATTCTTTTATATCGTTATCGTTGCTTGACTGTAATTCTTTTACCTTTGAGACTCTCTTTTATCACCCCTCGTATGTTTATTATTTTCAGGTCATTGATAATTCATACACGGAGCTTTCAATCAATTTCATGACATTTTCTCGATGGCCGAAGCAAAGCTTACGGGCCTTTGTTACAATAGATGGAAAAATAATGCAACGGTAGTTTTCGTTTTTACAATGACATTTTATTTCATATTACTTAAGATCTGCTGGTTTTACAGTCTACGACATTATAAATTTTATATATATATATATATATATATATATATATATCTTTTACGCGAGAGATATAGATTGAAGTGCGCTTGCCCTTTGCTTGTTCGTTTTTCTGTTTTGATGAAACGCAACTGACGATAATCATCCTCGTAGAGATTTATTATCAGTCTAGTTCACAAGCCATGCAATATTTTGTTTAAGACATCCGTAGAAAAACTCGAGAAGATACATTCGAGGAGACAAAGAAAACTCGATTCTATCGATTTCATTTATTTGCGCTAAAAAATTTAAGAAAAGGATATATAGCAGTATAAAAGTATCACTCAAGTTTCCAAAAGTGTGTATCGTTATACGCGACGGTGACGTGTGCGTCCATACGGAAACCTTACAGACTTAAATAAGCTCAAATTTGTGAAGCCTTGTGGTTGCTCTAGTCTTTCGAAAAAGTTCGGCCTTATCCTAAACTTAATAAGTCTTTTTTTGCGACGAAATAATTAATGTAATGATTGGAAGAGTTTGCAAACTGTTAAGACTGATACGAGATTGGACAAGAAATTATTGAAAAAAATATTTAAACTGTCTGTTTTTAATACATATAAGTTACATAAAAAAATTCCGCAATAAAAAAAAACACTTCTTTCTAGCATTGCGTATTTTCACGATGCTTAAAATGTAAAAGGAAATACAAATTGATGAACGTGCGTTTCTTAGCTCATAATGAGTTCTATTTAGAGCACATGATTTGGAACATGTTTTGATAAGGTACAGAAGTTTGGCACGAAAATTTATTGTACTAGTCTATCTTAATATTTTTTAATGTAAAGATTTTGGTATTTTTCCCGAAAAAAGGACGTCATAATATTGTATTTAGGTTCATAAGTTTGATTAATAGAGAAAAAATGTTTATTTCAATGGCTGCTCATAATTTTAAATTATTTGACTAAGTATACGATTACTTTCATAAAACTCGTATTTTAAACATTATGTAACAAAGAGATTTATAATAATTAATTACGAAAATTATACTCTACATAATTAATTTGTTAAGTAAAATAATCATAAAATTGATAACTCTTTTAATGATGTATAACGATCAAAAATCCATTAACTAAAAACTCATTAAATATTGTATATATATATATATAAATGGACTTGTTTGTCTAAAAATGCTTCATCATTCTTTCAGAGGTATATATAATTAATTATGTTTATGTCTTATTTTAGGCTTATATCTATTTTTGTTTAGAATTACTAACGACTTTAGTGTTTCTAAAAGACTTAAGAATTCGCTGGTTTTATCTAAACTAATGTGATATTCAAGCTGTGATCATCGGTAATTAATATCAATACACAAAAGTTATTCTATCTATAAAGCTTAAAATTAGAGTACGTATTGTTTAATGTCGGTTTTGCGTAACAGCTCTTTCGTAGAATAAAAGATACGGACTAGCATTTAGGACCTCCTCTAATGTAATTTTTTCAACAATTGTGTCAGAAGTATATAGCCATTGACCAGGACGATTTCCCCGTCTGTAACATACAAAATGGCCTGCATCTACGGGTCCTCGATGTTCAATCACAGCATAGAGATAGTATTTGTGTTTTCCCTGGTGTATTGATGGATTCAACAACGTCATTGCTTGTAAATTGCCCTATAATTAAAATGTACGTTAAAAATAATATTTTTCTAAAATTTTTGTCTGGCGTAATTTTCATAATTAGAATGAAATACATTGGCGTCATTTTACATGATTTGATCAACTTACTTGCGTGCTTTTTCTTTTTGTTTCTGTATAAGTGAATGGATCCAATATTAATGATTCGTAAAAAACAACTGGGTCATCTCTCTTAATTGTAATTCCAGATGGGCTCCACGTTGTCCTTGGAATGTGAAGACATAGGCACTTTGGTAGTTTGCCAAACGTTAATGTTCTATAAGCTGGACAACGATTATTGCAGCCATCGCATTGCACATCAGAAACTACTTCTCTCGATACCAGCCGAGAAAGTAAGCCAACAAGTGTAAGTCTTTTCCATGTAAAATCATCATTGGTTGGTGGTAAGGGCAAAGAAACACTCTCCAGTTTTTCAAAATGTACAGGGCTCTAAAATAATAAAATTTTATATGTTAATATGTAGCATTAAAATTTCTGATTTATATTTATGTAGAATCACAAAATATTACCTTCCATTCGCATTCGGTGCATATCAACTGGCTTGTCAGTAGGCCAGAAAAAGGGTGAACTTTATTTGGTGAAGATAATGAATGAGAATTTGGTTGAGAAGGAATAGCATATAACGAGGTCCATGGTCTTGTTGATTTTTCATTGATACTTTTATCTTCAATAATCTTTGAAATAATTTCTGAAGACCTAGCAATAATAATGCCTGGCTTGATTGACGTCATTGACACTGATACATTTGTTATAGATTGTGCATAATTCATAACGTGATTGTTGAGAATTTTGTTTGTTTCATTAGGAATTTCACAAGTTCCATTATTGACTGATGCAATATCATTGCAAGATACGCTTCTCAAATTTACTGGATCTCCTGATCCTTTGATATCCGTGATTACTAATGGAGTTTTTGGCAATGCATCAGACAAGCCACCCTTCTACACATAACATTTATTATATAACCAATAACTTACAATCACAGTAACTGACAATTTTAGTTTATAATAATCATACCCTGCCTGCAGTTTGTAGCTCAGCCTGAAGAGCACTTAGAAAAACATGAAAGAGTTCATGAGCATCTTGATGTCCAGGAGCAAAATTCCAAAGTGGACCTAATGATGTTATTACTTCTACAGGCCTTACGCTACCAAATAAATCATCCGTAAAACCATTAACCTCTGTAGAAGATAAATTTGAACAATAAATTTTTGAAAGCATTTGTCCTATGATATACAGAGAATATCTGTTAAAAAACTTACTGTCAACCACTGACATAAGAGTATTGGTAAAAGATTCTGGTTTCACTCGGCTCTGTCTGCCACGCAACCATTCTATGAATGCTGGACATGCTGCCAGTGATTGCAGAAGAGAATTCAAAAAGCATGTATATCCCAAATTCTTGATGCCCTCAACTTGGCCTGTAGAAACAACAAACCCAAAACAAAGTTATCAAGTGATGCAATCTATTACATAGACCATTCCACCTACAAACTCGATACAATGTACGTACTATGTGGCACCGACTGCAATTAGATCGAGTTGAAAGGCTACAAGAGGATCAATAATTAATCAGTAAAATCTACAAACCTTTTCGTCTTGGTTTGGGTGAAGGACCCCAGAGTACAAAAGCGCCGACCGCGAGTGCAAAGCCGACAGCAGTGAAGACAGAAATTTTATCGACGTCCATGACACGACTGATGGAGAACTCACTTCTTTACAGACAGACGAACACTTAAAATTGTTATTGTATTGCACGAGAGGGTTTATAACTTTGTGTTTAGGTTACTTTAATAGTAGTTTAATAGTAGTAGGTTACTTTAACTTTAGGTTGATAAGTCCATTGACGGATACAAACGCCGCGAGATGACAGCTATGATCATGTTCTGTTTGCACGTGCGATAATCCTCCGTCTGCTGTGTGTGTTGTTTTTTCTCAAGAACACACCACTTCATGTCACCTTAGTATCCAAGTCGTCCCACGAGTTACCCGGGATTTTTATTTGCGAATAGTTACCATGTGTTTCTCTTTTGCTCAATACCGGAACTCTATAGAGAGGTGTCGTAAGCGTAACAACTTATATTGTTTTTCTTTATCGAGATATAATGCTGCGCAAATTGTGTCGTCGCAGTGGTGATACTTGAACTATTCTAAAGTAAAATTCTTTAAAAACAGTTTTATGGCAATACTTTTCTAAATGTAATCCTCTGACGTGGGTATATATGTATATATTTCAATGCACAATTCTTGATATCTCCTTTCATCTATTTTCATCACAAAATTTAGTGCGTTTGGTTCTTCAAAAATTTCTCTAGATTAGTGACTAGGAAGGTTCTGGGGATATTTTATGAATGGCAATTGGCGCACTTTCATGTCTAAAAACTTACGTTCACCAAAACGATTAAGTATATTTTACCCCTACACCTTTCAGGGGGCTTATTCTGAAAAAAAATTTTAGCACGGGGCCTATTCTGAAAAAAAATTTTAGCACATGTCATAAGCATTTATCACATCTAAAGTGATTAATTCTGTGGTAAACTGAAGTGACAAACTGATTTACCACAAAATTTTTTTTCAGAATAGGCCCCCAGGAAAGGTAAACTTCTGCAGGCGAGTAGGCATGATAATCACACAATTTTTTTTATTATACGCAAACTTGTTCTTCAAACTTCAATAGTTTTGCATGATGTATGAAAATTGCAGGTTATATGAATTTCTTATATCAAGAAATTTGTTGCGAAAATTTTTAAATTCAAAAATATAAAATGTTTAAAAAGTTCGGTTGGGTTGAGTTATAGGTTTTTTATGTCGCTCGCAAAAATCTAAGAGATTGTACGAAGTTGGGTTATTCGGTTATATAAAGATTTTTTTAGACCCTTAATCGCAAGAAACAGGCAACTAAATTTGAGTCACAAACGTAAAAAAAATATTTCGTATTCCTCTTTACATTAATAAAACAAATTTTATCTACGCAGACAAATAGCATATTAACGTAGAATAGTCGAAAATAAATGGTTTCATGAATAAATCTGGTTATTATATTAAGTTGAGTCGCACATTTATGGTTTTGCATGATTATTGATAGTATACCAATGGAGTACTACAAGTAAGAATCGAGAACCATGGATTCATCAATGTCATCAGTCGTCGTGGCCTTTTCGTGCCTACTCGCCTACGGTTCTCGACCGCGACCCCTGATGTTAATTCGTTACTTCTTAGTTTGTCGAACTCTTCTATATTAATAGATATATATTTTCAAGTAATTAAATAAATAATTTAATAAATGTACTGTTTGGATAATTATTTTGTAAACTGTGTGAAATACTTTCCACAATTGGGATTATTTAATTTTTTTACAAAATGTTTTACACTTTTACGGAAAATAATATTTGAATACGCCAAAAAAGAATTCGCTCATTTTTTAACAATACTTAATCAAATTGAGATAAAATAGCAATTTTCTAGACTTAGTATATGTATTTACTTTTTTGACGGTAAGCAAACGCAGTTACATATTATTTCTTATACATCTTAAATATAAAGCTAACCAAAAATAGACTTAGCTATGTGTACACCAGAAAATTTAAGACTCATTTTCACAGTCCTATTTCTACTACAGGTGTCGGTCACACAAAGATGAGGAGAAAGTCAAGTCGCACAATAAAATTTAATTTGTATAGGTGACAACCACGAAAACCCGCCTTCGGTTCAGGTAGACGAATAACAATATAAAAATACACGCCCTGAATTTGTATGAATGTACAATATAAGCGCTAGAGTCTGTTTATTGCACTTGACCCTTACACTCGACTCTGTAAATGATTATTCTGTGTACTTAAGTATTTTTCTTTTCATCGATGAACGAAGAAAGACCATACATGGTCTTTGCTACTACTGTTGCTCATGAAACTAATCAAGATCGTTTATGCGCATTTACGAGCAAGAGATACACCGCGCCGCAGTGCGCTAAGAGTTTTCATCCAATTGGTTCTATGCACTGTATATGAACATCTTGAATTAACGCAGATGTTTTTACATGGGCTAAAGTAAGAATGTTCAAAGTAAAAAAAGATTACCCGAAACATTTTCTCACGGCTATTAAACTATTACTCAATCTCTTTCTCTCTCGCTCGGAGTCCTTGCAATAAAATTTATCTTGCCATTCTTCTTCGTCATTCCGTGTCATGTTAATTACTCACCAATTTCAAGACCATCAAAGCGAACTCGCGCAAGAGCCATCATAATATGGTTGTAGGCTACCGATGAAAATAAAAAAAAGAGATGGAATTTTCATGCGAAAAGCATTTTCTCACACACGTTGAGAAAAAGAAAGAGAGAGAGCGCAGAATTCCTTAATGACCACGACTAAGAGAAGGACGAAGATAAAAGAATTTCTCAGCACAGTGAAAGAGAGAGAGAGAGAGGGAGAGAGAGAGAGAGCACCACGGCAAGGGGCAACCATGTAAGTATAACCGTAAGATTCCGAGAGTGGCCGAGCCACTCCGATCATTTTCTCTCTCTCTCTCTCTCTCTTTCTCTCTCTCTTTCTCTCTCACTCGTGTTGTATTTTTATCCTTTTCGCCCCGACTACACTTCTCGCTTCTCACAAATTTTTCTTGAGCTAACCGATCCTTTGAGTGCGCGTGGACAAACAAGTATCATCGCGTTTGCGTCGCTCAAAAAGTGAAGCGGCGTGTTGTAAGTGCTGATTGAAAATGACAAGTGCATAGTGTGTGGATGCTGCGCGAAGGAAAGTTAAAGGGCCTTGCACTTGCGTGGCTGGATTTAGCGGCACAGAGCGGCGGAAGGGGGAAAGGAAAAAGAGAGAAGGGGACCCACGGAGATTGAACGGCAGGCAGAGCGCGGCGGCCGCGGCAGTCTCGGCCGCGTTTGCAAACACAAAACGGACCTGCTTTCCCCTCCCTCCAGCAGCGCGACTTCCTGTTCTCAAAAACTACAAGCAACAACCAAAAACGTAGTGTGTACACACAGTCGAGACTACGAGTCGGTGCGCGTTCGTGAAAATTGCGAGTGACCGTGCGAGTAATAATCGGTAATTGTGGAATTGTAGGTACGAGTGTGCGTTAGTCGTGTGTCTGTATCCGTGGCTATAGCAGCCCGAGGCGGCGTGGGAGAGGAGAAAATGTTCTCACGGTCCGGCAGCGGCGGCGGTGGCGGCAGCGCGTGAGCATCTTGCTCCGTCGGTCTTTTTTCGCGCGCAGCACCAAGAAGATGAGTATGCTGTCGTCACAGACACCCTCGTCGCATCATCATCATCAGGATGGCGGACGTGCGGTAGTCGTTTGGGAATGGGAGAATAGACAAGGCCGATGGAGGCCATATAGCCCGGCAGTCTCGCAACATCTCGAGAGAGCTTATTGCAAGAATCTGACCAGGGTGTTCCTTAACGATGCCGATCCTAGTCTTGACAGGTTTGTTTAGATTTTCTTTTTTTTCATTCGGTAATGGCTGCGAAGTCGTTACTTGATCTACTTTCCGTCATATTACTTTGCGGATGCTGTGCATGGAGTGAGAGAGAGAGAGAGAGAGCGTGCGCGCGTTTGTGGCGTTTGCGGGGTTTCAGTGTTCGTGTAGCGCAGGGAATGAGAGAGCAAAAGATAGTGAGATCTGTGTCTAAAGTTGATGGTGGCCGTTCAACAGGTAGATTTTTCAAATAATGCTCGTAGGTTTTTGGCTTTTATTTTATTGTGTTAATTGATACTGAATCGGACAGTTGACATTTTATGTTGAAACGTTTCTGTATATCAGTATAGATGTCGACACGCGAAATATTGCTTTATTGACGCAAAACATTTTCGAGCAACATATTTCTTTGCGGCGAGCGAATGTTTGCTGAAGATGAAAGTTATTTTCTTGAGAGTCCGTCTCAGTGGATACCGCGTATGCATGCCGACACTGCCCAAGCAAGGATTTAGGATACGTGAAAAATTGCTACGTACGCAAAACTATCTAAGACAAAACTATCAGATCATCTTTTGCAGGACAAATAAAACGATTAGTACCCATATACATACCCATATAGTATCCCGAAAAAATATTGCAGAACCGTGTTTTTGTACGCACATACATACCTGCGTCCGCAGACCGACACTTACCCCCTCCCCTCAAATCATTTTACGTACGCTAACTCCTACATCCGCAATCCGGAAAATTTTCCAGGTCACGCGCTTTTTGCGTAAGCGCCAGTTTTTCACGCGTCCCAAATCCTTAAGTACCCGATATCAGCCGTCGAAACAGAACCTTATTTTTAATGTCGGTTCATAAAGTACAACGGAATAGCCTTATAAATATTCAACAAAACATTGAACTTACGTGGGAATGAAGTGCTTTATTCAATTAAAACAAAAAATACCTCAGCAAAATAAAAACGAAATCGTCGACTTAATTTATCTCATTTGCCACTGAAGCCTAGAATTGTTCATATACTCCACGGATACTCGATACCTTGACATACGATCCGAAATGTGTAATACCTGAAGGAATTTGAGACGTCGTGAAAATATGCTCATCGGGAATTTCGGAAGAGATTTGCAGTTTTATGGCATTCTTCTCAAAGTGTCGGCTACGTATCTCATGTTTCTCGAATTTGCCCACTGGAAATATTTCATGCTGTCACATGCATATTGTACTTTCAACTTCACATGTCATATGAAACAGCTGATATTAAACGTCAACGAATAAGCAATGAAAAATAATAATAAGGAATAATTGTAATTTGCTACTGGTCTATCACGCATGATCGACAAGCAGCTATTTCTGTACCAGGTACTACATCAATCTGAAAACCAACACTCAGTGCACGGAAGAGGGTGACGAAACCCATGGAGTTCGACGGATGTTTTATTTACCTGGATCTCCGGCTGGTAAAGGTGCCAAATGGGAGTGGGCCGGAGACACCGATGATTGGCATACTTACGACATGGAAGTGCAATGTTTGATCGAAGAGGCTTGGGCTAGGGTATGTCTATCGGAAATACTATTTTAGTTATCTTTTTCTACGGTTACAAACTCTTAGTTATAAAGTAATTTATTCGATTGTTACTTACTGCGTGTGTGTCACTGTCGAATTTATTCATTTTACTCCGAGCGACAATTTCTTAAATAAGATATATTTTTTATTGCAGGGAGACAAAACAATCGACGTTTCGAAAACTTATTTGGGCTTCCCATACATCATAAACTTTTGTAATTTAACACAAGTGCGATGTTGCACGGGCTACGTAAGGCCAATCAGGCGCATTCAGCAAGCTCCCTATCCTCTGGTCAAGATTAAGTTGGAAGACTTGCAAACAAGTACAGGAAGAAGAACTACCTCTATAGCAGCTAAGCCCAACAACACCAAACCAACGAGCAAGAAACCTCCGAGCAATAGTAATAATAACAACAGTAACAACAATAACAATCATCCAAAGAAGAGTAGTAAAAAGGTATTATTGATGAATGCGATCTTGTTTCCAAACTGCTTTGTTGCACGATAATAGCTATCTTATTTTTCCACCAAAAAACAGAATAAGCACGGCGAAACGGGCACGTCGAACATTGCTCGTGTCATATTGAGCAATTTCAATATATTTAGCAACAACAAGCACGCCATAGACAATCATCATCAGCACAGCAGTTCCGGTCACGCGGTTCAAAGCTCGCATACTAATAAAAGACGAACAGCATGGGATACGGTCCTCGATGCCGATTCTAGCAGTACGAAAAGCGGTAGGAGGCCAAGCGTCGACACCGTTTCCACGTATCTTAGTCACGAGAATCCAGTCGATCTGCTGGATACCAGCATGTGCAGCGAAGATTCTTTTAAGGATGCCGTTGTTGGTTGGTATTATATCTTGTGTAGTTAAGTCATTTTTACTCGGTAATTGCAACGGTCGTCGTCTAATTTTAGCAGTGGATGGAGCTTCGGATGTAATATCACACTATGTCAAGGTAGTCGAAAGTGATGGCACAGAGTCTTGTCCCATATGTTTGGGCACTCCGGAACCATTGACGGTCGAATTAACTCGCTGCCGACATAGATTACACTTAGCTTGTTTAAATGCAATGCTGAGTTCACAGCGAGATCCTAATCATCGTCATCCTGTTTATATTCAGTGTCCAGTTTGTCGCATGATTTATGGAGAGAAAAGAGGTAATCAACCACCCGGTACTATGAACTGGACAAGATTGTCAAGATGCCTGCCTGGTTATCCAAATACGAAGACTATTCAAATAACTTACGAGTAGGTTTATCTGATGTTACCAACTACTTTCTTTTCTATTTTCTATAATAAGTTAATACTTTGGAATTTTTAGCATTCCATCGGGAATTCAAGGGCCCGAACATCCTCATCCAGGCCAAACTTACTATGCTGTAGGTTTCCCACGAGTCTGTTACCTACCAGACACCGAGCACGGCCGTCGCGTATTAAGGCTATTGCAAATAGCTTTCGAACGAAGACTGATTTTTACAATCGGACGTTCCGTCACCACAGGTCGTGAAGATGTAGTCACTTGGAATGGCATTCACCATAAAACTGAGCTAGGACCGTCTACTTCTGGTCACGGCTATCCCGATGTCACATACCTCGATCGTACCATTTCTGAATTGGCCTCTCATGGGGTAACCGATTACGCTACGCATCTCTATCAGGAGCTGAATTAAAGCATATATATAATTCCAACAAATGAAAAAGTATTGAAAATCGGTATTCCTAGTTTGTTTTGATTCCTAATTTTCTGCCTTTTTTATTTTGAGCTTCTTAGTTAGCTGAATCTTTAAAGAAGTAGGATTTGCGAGAAGATGTAAAATTATAATTGCTATTTTTTCTTTTATTGGTATGCGATTTATTCTAGGGCATTACAGATCATCAATTGTTACGTCCTCTATTTATTTTTCAAATTTTATTTACGTATCGATTATCGTATAGAGTCTTGCATTTACTTATTTAATCAAATATAATTGGCAGCAAAAAAAATCTATCGTTTGTGTTATAACTATTGCTAGAATGTTTTTTATGTTTACAAAAAAAGTGCCGTTACAATTTACCTCTAATCCATATTACACAACGGATAAGGAATCGAGTCGTTTAATGTAAAACTAACATATTTTTAAACTATATTTAGTGTTGACTGGTAAGATTTACTATGGTGAAAGAATTTAGTATCGATCTTTGGTAGTATTTAGTAGGTATTTTAAAATTACAGCGTAAAGTTATTTATTTTAGTAATCTTAGATATTGAAGTCACGTCCATCGCAGTAACTTTTTTTCCAAGGTTTAAGAGCTAAGCAATAACAAACTTCCATAGTTCCACTGTAGTAATTATTTATAGCTTAATATTATAATGTTAGTGCATTAACAATTATTCGGGGCGTAGCAAGGAACTGATAGATTATGTAAGTCATTAAAGACTAAGCTGACTGTACTGATTTTGCCAAGAAAGTATTTTTCTGTTCAAGCATTTAAATATTGTAAAATTTAATTAAAAACAGTCATATATATAAATATGTAGGTATTCTTTTTAAATTGGGTAATGTACGTATCACGGCATTTTTTAATACCGTGGTATAATGCATGTACAATTATTTGTACTATCCAGTTCTTCCAGTAATTTAAGAGTATATACAAAGAGATTTAACATAAGTCCTAAGCTAAGATTATTAAAATTTCTATGTTACAAAATTTATATTATTTTATAACAAATTATAAGAAATAATTACGTTATAACAACCTGATAAAAATTGAGCTTATATTCAATGTACAGTTCATAAACAGGAAAATTTATGTAATAAAATATATAAAAACATTCTTATGGTGTTTATGTTAATTTTTATGAATTCAGTTATTCAATTGGTTATCTTTAGGTTTTAAATAAACGAAAAATGTTAACTTTTCAAAAATGTTTATTTACAGTAAATATATACAAGATGTTTTATACAATTTTTTTAATACTCATTGTGTAAAATTAAAAGAGCTTATAATTTATGAAATAAATATTTTGCATAAAATATTTTCAAAAAATAACAGTTTCAAAGTTGGACAAGTTAGTCTTGGCAAATTATTACTCTAATCTTACAGTTTTGATGCAAGGTTTTCCATACCTTTTTCTTGCTTCATCTAGGAAAGCATTTTCCATTTGTCGAACAATTTCATTGAAGAACAGATTAGAAAGATGAGAATGAAGCCATGACTTGAATTCGAATGATAATGAAAAATCAATGACACATGTTTGTGGATTGTTTTTCAAACCAGGTGTAAATATCCAAAGTGTGTCCAGATGATGGAAAAGCTTTCCATCTATACATTCTGCCTTCACAAGTTGAGGATACATCGTTGTCACATTTGACACATAGTTCTCATTTAAAGGTGGAAACCCTATGACTAGATTGGCTTTTAAAAAATCATCTTTCTTCAATATTACTTCAGACTTCTTACAGAATGGTAAAAAATTCTTATAGTTCTCTATATCTGCTACTACATCAAATATCTGCTCCATGGAGAATCTGAAATAAAATTTATTACTCTATAAATCAAATCATCAAAATTCAGCTGTGAACATTTTTATCAATTCATACCCAACCAGTTTTCTCCCTTCATACTCTTTTGTTTTACTTTTGTCATAGGTTGTATAAAGTCGTTTAAAATTGTTTCGATCTTTCAATTGAACAGCTAATTGTTCAATAAATGGGACACATCTACAATTGCAAGATTAAAATTTATTTATTTATTGCTAATGTAAAATGTATATAATTGTAAAAATTACCTGTTCATTTTGAAGTATCAATAGAAAAGCTCTGTGTAACAATGATTATTACTAGAAAATCAAAAATTTTATAATGTGTAACTAACATCTACCATTGTTTTAAAAAGAGTTAAATTAATCATAAGCAGATTAAAATTTAGTGATAAATAAATTATCATATAATATACAAATGCCAAAACGTTAGAACTAACCTAATAATTAGACGTTTACTTTGATTTCTCTTGACAATAAACTGAGGCAATACATCGATCATTGTACGAGATATATTTATCTGGTTAAGTAGCCAGACTTTATTGTCTAGATATTCACCAAAAAAACGCTATTCATCGCTGTTTTTCTCCTTGACTTTCGCCACTCTGTTGTGAAGTTTTATTCTACGCATGGTTTCATTGTCACTAGAAGTTATGTAAGTTAGACGTTGCACATGCAAAAGGTTTACTAACTGTTTAAAATAGCCGTGTGAGAAGAGAAAATATTAAACTCACACTTCAGGCTTTCTGTCCACTGTTTACAAATTACAGTCCTCTATTCTATCCTTGACAATGACACCAACGCCAGACGTGCTCCACTCCACGCATGTGCCTTCTTTTCATTTTGCGTATTTGCGTTGGTGTATATCGTACATTACGCTTTATATACAACCTACGAATTGCAGATTATGACATCAAGTAATTGTTTGCCAAAAGACACATCACACTTTAGAGTTTGATGTCTAATGAAAAAATCTTTTATTATATAGATTATTGATCGTGCAAGAGCAATGTTATAGTATCATAAATATAGGATTTATCATCTAAAAAATATTAACTTAAATTTTCAATATATTTATATTCTGTTTATTTAATATTAAAATATTACGTAAATTAGGCATATATAATCATGTTTTAGAAATCAAATTAGAATAGTGGAGGGGATTAGTGGAAATTTTCAATGAATCACAAGTCGTCAATAAATGCAATTAAATTCATCGCCTTTTATTTCTCGTTCATTTGACATTGCAGGCGCTGCACTTTATGCAGAAATCTCCGAGTCTAATAACAAATCGACGCAATTGAAAAATTTTTTAGGCACCATTGATTCATTGTTGGAGATAGAAATATTCACGTGCAGTATATTCAGACCGCAATCGTGTTTTAAAAATCTCTCAAATTACAATCGTTTTACACTCTTGTTTTTGTCAAGACTTATGGTGCGAATTCTTATGTTTAAAAAAAATTTGACCTAATTATCCTCGAAGCCTTCAAAAACCGCATAAACGACGCTTTAACTTCCTTATATTTATTTAATTTCTTATCCCTCTTCATTTAACTATTTCTGTGTTACTAAACATATACAAGGCGGCTGGAGTCACAGTTTCCTTTTTTTCTAAAAAGCGTTGTAGTAATTTTATAAAAAAAGTGATCTAAAAAAATGCGCCGCAGACTTTTTTTTCAGTAACAAATGTTCTACAAATCACACTTACGTTCAGAACCTCACTATAGTAAATCTCGGCCCAGTGTTTACAAAATTCACTTTATACACTGTAGCACCAGTTCATCAATAGTGTGATTTGAAATTATTTTGTTTTCACGCAATATGGAGTAGCTCCTGACAAAAAAATATTTGGTTTATTATTTATCTGTATTACTAGTCTGGTGTCTAGGCTTTGATTTTCAATCGTAACAGCAATTTGATTTTCGATGTTTTTTTTTCATTGCTTAAAAGCACTCTTAATATATCATCTGGAAATGTAAAGGACGACTTTATTCGATCAGAAGCCGTTAATACGTTATAATGAAATGTACTATTGTTAATTTTCTGTACACAAGGAATTGTAGTTCTTTCCGCATCAACAGAATGATGCTTTACAAGTGATATACATTTATTAGATGAGTAGTCACGACTACTTCCTAAAGAAATATAGCATTCAATTTTTTATTTCTGCAATAAATAGTCTCATTATATTTCGCTGCCTTCACAACAAGCGCAATCATCAATAATGACATATGGTAATAATGAAAAAAGAGATTCAATTAATTGTTTCCTTGATTTTTTTCAAATATCATAGACAGTAATAAAATAATAAATTTAAAAAATAACAAAATTTCTTCAACATGAGTCTTAACGACATAACTACAACGACATGTACATACATTGTGCGTGCGTGAATTTTTCGTCCAACGACATCAAGATTATACACATGCCGTGGGCTTACAATGCCATATTATTTTCCTAGATTTCAAAATCAATTTTTACATGTTTGCCATTATGCACCGCTCTTTACATACGTAATATATTATCAAATAGTTTGTTGTTTGTTGTTATCGTTAAATCTATACTTTATCAAGAAAATTATTCTATAAAAATTCTTTCTTTTGTGTATATAAAAGACAAATCAAATATTATAGAAATGATACTGAAATCATCGTGCACGTTTACGAAAATTCTCATTAAAAATAACAAATTTTTTTCTTTATCTCCAACGTTCACTCAATCTGCTCGTTTATATCTCTCACTCTCACTCACGCCGCTTTTCCACGGGACGATGTATTTTTATGTATTATAGACGTGGGCACTTAGCGCTCAATATACGAGGGAAACGAACTATCTACATAGAATTACTTAAGATTCAAACTTTTCCTCGTATTAGTGCAATATAGTGCAACGTGAAGCAAAGCATCGCTTGATAACTGATATCTCGTTTGTCAGGCCGAAAAGATCGAATATTCATTTAAAAAAAGAACATATTATTTTTATTATATTCAACTGTGTGCTGCCTGTATTAATTTCTAAAAAAATTTTTAAAACAATTCTACGTAGTATGACCGACGAAATATAAGACTGACCAACTATATAAGCGCCGATCCTTATCAAATATAGTTTTTAGCATTGAATAACTCTGCGAGTCGTTTAAATAAAAACAAGGACAAAACGAGAGAAAGGGTACACATTTAGTCGTAGTTGACAGAATTTGAAAGACAAGATTTGGGCCGATCCGCGTGCAAATCACTTGGCGCGATGCTGTATCTCGTCGTCGTCGCTATAATCATCGCTGAGATAATGATTACCGTGAGAGAACTCGTAGCGACCAGTCTTCTTCGGTGGAGGACTGAAATTACAAAAGTTTCTTTGTTACATTAAACGATTTGAGAGCACATAATTTATAAATCCAGTTTAAAGCATCACTTGATAGCAAATGGAAGTTCTACTTCGTCGATGGCATTCTTCTAATGTTTCTCTACGGATTTTGGACATTAGGATGGTTATCATGCCGCGTTCCCAAGCAGAGTTACGTCAAAAAAGATCAGATTAGTACATGATAGTTGACATTATACATGTTAATGGAACACAAATGAGTTTCATGTTATGCATGAGAAAAGTATCTAATCAATGCCGAATGGTATTTTCCTTCAGCATCGAATGAAAAAAGAAAATCATTTATACTTAGCAGTACCCACAAAAAAACATAATAATATGCAAAAAATAAAGTGTCATCGTACAAAAAACATAATTTTAATTTATTTCAATCGTGTAACAAAGAGAAAATTCTTGTATAAAAATTTTTTTTAAATGTTCATCAGCGAAACGGTACCCAATTTCCATAGCAAAGAGAGATAACTAAGTATAAAAGATATTTCATAGTTAATAATTACTACCATAAACCAAAGTTTAATGAGTCACGAAGCAGTGAAGTGCACCGTCACGGCGATATATGTAACTCGAGAAAAGAAGCGCAAGGCACACAGATAGAATAGTTTTATATACGTAAAGAAGTGGCAGCCGATTAATCAATTAATGAAGTCAGATGCAGTGAGTGGATACCTTGCATGGTCCTCGTCGTGGTGACTGCTATTACTACTGCTGTTGGGGCTTCCATCACGTTTCGGGCTGGCAGGGGGCGAGAGGGCTTGCATTAACCGACCCTTGCCCTCGTTCCACATTGTTGACTATGGAAAATGTCGTCACTTATTAATCCACTTGTTTATAATATATTTCTTAATCAAGAAGCTGATAACGTTTTAAAAATCAGAGAGAACAAGACCACGCATTTACTTGGAGAATAGAGTATTTATTTGATAATATAAAAAACAGTGCATAACTAAAAAAGGCAGTATGGCGTTAGTATAAAAAAGATAAAATTTTTTTATTTCAACTAAACATCGTATAAATGAATTACAGGATTTAGGGTACAATCGACCGACCGCTTGCTTACCGAAGAATCTTTATCACGGAGGAGACTCTTTACAGGACTCTCTATCGGCGTATTTAAAAGGTACTTGATGCTTATAATCAGTGATTTTAAGTGTAGAAATAAAAAATGCGTACTTAACGAGATTTCGTATTGAGTAAACATAATCAACGGCGAACATAAAATATAATATAGAAAAACAAGGTTAAAATCTGAATGGTCGGACAGACAGATACATAGCGAACATAATGACTAAAACTATCAAATACATTCCGTAAATACACACCAAGCGTCCCTCTCTTCCAAAGAGAAGAAGAAACGTGTCGATAAAATCCCTTGACTTTTCCTCCCATTTGCTCAGTATATCACTACGTTTCTCTCCTATGTTTTCCATTACACGCTTTCCTTTATCTTTCAGGTCATCAAATTTGTTTTGCAAACGGAATTTCTTTTCCTGTTAGTAAATAATCAATTACACTTTGAATTCATGTATTAATCTTAGATGATAGTCTAAAACTTACATTTAAAAAAGAAACGTTCAGTTCTTTTGCACTATAGCCTCTTGCAAGATTTCGCCTGACGTAAATGTCATAATCTTTGACGATTCTTGCGACAATGTCTGACGTTGACACTCCTTCCGTACGTTGCGTTGCAGCAAACATTCCTCGAGCCTTCAATTTAGCATAACAATCCTCTCCACTATCCGTGATGTACGGAATATCATCGTGAGCTACAAAGTCAATCTACGAAAAGCATCCATTTGGATTATAAAACGTTATTATCGTTAATTATTTTAAATCATCGTCGGAGACCAATTTGAAAATACAAAATATGTTGATTAATAAAATATAAATGCCAACTATAATATTTATCTTACTTTGTGCTTTTCAATAAAGTCGTCGTCCAGTGTCCAGGGTGCATCTCTAATGACTTCATCAACATAACGACAATGTCGGACAGCATCGTATCTTTCGGCGTCAGTCATAACTGTTCGCCCTTTTTTATTGTGAGTTAATTCGTCGTTGCACACTGCAATACAATTTATTTTATCGTTTCAAAGTTCATTCAAATTAAACCAATGCTTTTGACAATTTACCTCCCACCATCAAGTAGACATTAGGAAACAAATTTTTAGCCTGCATCAACTGTCTTGCATGGCCCTGATGAAATAAGTCGTATATTCCATCGGCATACACTCTTACTCTGCGAGGAGCTGTTTCATCACACATTATAATAATTAAATCGATGATTTACACTTAAATAACAATAAATATAGGTAGAATACAAACCTTTGCCTGATTTTGCTTGTTTGATAGTTATTTTGATATTGTAGTCACACGCTTCAGCTTCTGCCAAAGCATCAGGTTCATCGCTGAAAGGTGCTTCCTTACATATTGACTGTAATGAAATAATGTGAATTGATATTAATACACAATATTGCCTAATATGTACAATGAAACTAGTAAGCTTGTATTTTCTTATTTACGCCTCACTTACAACAAACTTATAGTCTATGGAGGGATTTCTAAACTGTTTATAGTACAAAATTTTGTTTTCACTTTTCATGACAATGCTTCTATTATTATTTCCATCTGTCATTTTTCTAATATGGTACAAAATTCTCACACAATGATTTTGAGATAAAATTAAAAAAGTATAAGTGTCAGAAATAATATTTAATCAAATCTTTTTTATAAAAAAGTTATAACATATGTGTAAATTTGTTCTGGCTGTTAGCTGTGGCAATTAATCAATCAAACTAAGGAGTGAATCTACTGTTCTGTACATGAATATGATCACCAGTTATTGTCACACCACTGTATGTTATCAAAAAAAATACTCCAGTAACTTCTAACCTATTTAACTACATATGATAGATACGATCAAGCTGAGCTAATCATGAATAAATCGTTATCTAGAAAGTATAAGCATTGGAGTAAGTATGCATGTGATATTTTTTAAAGGTCAATTATTTGTCAAGATCAACAGTCAATTGTTTCACAAAGAACTATATATTTTGAATATATGACATTGATTTAATATTTAATTCATTAATTTTAATAGATTATAATTAATGATTTAAATATTAAAGTTGGTTCTTCAAAGAAAGATTTATGAACTAATTGAATTTATGATGCTTCGGACAATATTGTAATATGATAAAGATCTTGTGCTGCATTATCAGTAAAATAACCAATAGCACAATTATTATATTTAGCATAAAGTAATACTTACTGGAAACACTGGTGATTGTTCTCTGGAACATGATGCATTGTCCACACCATTATGATAATTATAAGAGGATGACATGTTTGCTGTTAGTTCTTCTGGTAAAGTCCTTTTTCTGGACATTTTCTCTATACTAAAAACCTCAATCCCATCCAGCTTGTCTGTTCCTGGAAAATATAGCATATGTCATTGATGTTTGGCTTTTCCATTAAACTAATAGTGTGTTAACTAAATCACATACAAAGAAAAACTATCAAAATTTATTGTAAAAGAAAATAACTAATGTAGAAATAAAATCCAAGAATTAGATTTATCAAAAGGATATTTTAGTTAAAATTGATTTTATTGAAATTTTTAAAAGCTTGTTTTTTGACTTTCTGTAAAATGAATCAACAAAACAATAAGTGAGCTTGACAACCAAAATCAAGTTGATCTGGTTGTCAAGGTTGAAAAAAAAAGAAAATTCAATGCAAAACAAATATGGCATATGTCTAACACTTTCATAAACAGTGCATCAATAACATTGATTCTGCAATTTGCTCAGAACTGTCTTGTAGTATCAAACAATAGCAACACAAAAACATTAAAGTTTGCACTGTGGTAATCACAAAGTATGAAACTTTTATAAACGAATTTCACAAAAATCAATAGCAAACAATCGGGAGCGGATATTCGTTCTTTTTAAAAATCGAATAATACAGTCAGTCACAATCACAGCACTTTTTCCCATTTGCTGCAGAGTCAAAGAGATATGACATCATAGCTTTTTCTGTCCAGACTATTGCAAACGAAATTAGTCGTTTCCCGGAAAAACGCGTAAGCAAACGTGACTTAGTAATAACGCTTGATGCCCGAATCACACATATGCACAGCAGTCACACAGAATGAGAAAGTGTCCTGATTTGCTTTCTCTATCTAGCAGTGCATCGTTATACAAGAGTGAAGAGAAGAAACACCCACGCTGATCATTCACTGTAGATGCTGTCGCTACCGATGCCTCCATCGTACTAGTCAGTGAGCTACAGAACGCGGCCAGCAGACGCCTAGTCCGTTGTACGTGTATAATTCACAGACACACACAGTAGACGCACGCGCACGCGTACGTGCTCTGTCTCGTTTTATTTTACTACCCCTCAGTATGCGCCTTTCTCTTCTGTCGGTCTTTCTTGCTCTCTTGCGATCGCGCGCTAAAATCGTCGCGTGGTGCGTGGCCTCTTGTCGACCGTGTGCCTATGTGTGCGTGTGCATTGTGTATTTCCCGGCGACGTACACGCCCATTATCTGTTCAAGCGGTACAGTGCAGTCGAATGCAAGTACGCAGTTGATGATCGTTAACGTCAGCAGGATCTTTTACTGTTGTTTTTCATTTGGCTTTGATATCGTCGTCGATAAATTGATCTTATCCGCCGGCTCTTTGCACGTATGCGAAACTCAGTTGGCAAGTGAACAAGTATATAAGCTGATCATCTGCTGGCTGACAATCGAATAAAACATTTAACGTAATTGCACATCACTGCGCCCGACGGCCAACCGCTATAAGCCAACAATCGATCAGCCATTTTTTCATCCTACATACGCGAGCACGTTCGCTCGAAATCTCATCATGTCGCAAGATATTCAGGCACAACGAACAATTTACCTTTCGCACGTCGAAGTAAGCTACGGCAACGTGAACTAAAAATCACGCTAGATTTCTTCACAGGCTGCACACGGCTACACGACGCGCGTCGCAGGGAGCGTGGGGAAGCGCACGAAAACGCGATGGTCGCGCAGAACGTCAATGCCTGCTTAATTTTTAAAACAGCTTGCTCGAGCGTTGCCGCTTCGATGGATAAACGAAACTAGGTCTTTTGGTTTTCACCGAAGTCTCATAATAGTCCGCACGCTCCACTTGGAGGACGCTTAAATAGCCGGCCGCGCTACAGTCGAAGCGCAGGGCTCGCTCGGGCTGGCCAGGTCAATGTCAGATCAGTTGAATTTTTCGCGCTGATCGCGCCTTTATCGTTCTAGCCCTCTCAATCAGCTTCTATCGATCTTTTCCCCGAACACGAAAATGGCAGAATAGCAGAAAATCGTCCACTTTGGACGCGAAATGCGACAAAAATCGTCGACGCGCTTCGGACGGTGCAGCCCGACGGTGCGCGGCGCGAGCTTGGCGTCAACGCAAAGTCTCGCAAAAATAAGTCGCGCGAGCGTGTGCGCCTGCCCGGTGCGACGGCCGTGCCGTGAGCGCGCGTTCCGGCTTCCTCGCGAGCCTCGTTGTCTCGACGCCGCGGCCGTTTCGTCATCGACGCACGCAGCGGCCGGTCGAGCTGGTTTTCTCGAAAGAGCGCGATCGGACAAGGCACCGCGGCCGTGTCTCGATTCTTAGTCATCCGGACGCTGACACACGCGCGCGCGTCGCCGTCCGTTCCGACGTAGAGCGCCAAAAACTATCCGGTGATGCGATTCATCCGCGACTCTTTCTTATCGTTATCGACGGACACGGCAACTTGCTCGGCGAATGACTCGCGCTTCTGGAATTTCTCGCGGACTCACGGCGCAAGTGCCGCGTCGTTCGCTTGCCTATTCGCGCATGCACCGTCGCTCGGGCTTATTTGGAATATTTGAAATGCAACGACGACACGGCGACGTCGCTGCAGGAACGAGCAACGTGATTCGCTCGACGAGCGAACCTACCGCTTATCAAACTCACGTGCGCGCGGGTCCGAGCACGATGAACCATCGGGTCGGGGGACCGATAAGGGCAGGGCAGCGTGCGCACTGAGAGAGGTCGCGGCGCGGAGTCCCGGCGCCGAGTGCGCGAAAACGGAGCAAGGCAGAGAGACGCCGAGGAGCGCGTGAACACGGAGTAGGAGAGAGAAGCCGCGCGACTGACGTAAGATCGGATGATCGTGCGCGCGCGAACGCCCTTATCGGCGCTCTCGTGCTCGTGGACCACGTGGACCGCCGCCGACAGCGAGAGAGCAAGCGCCGACGGATCCAGTTTCCATCTGGCGAATGCGCTCGTCGCGCTCTCATTGATTATTCTCTCGATATAGACATAACAAGGCTCGCGACTACGATAAAAGCTCCGTTTGCTCGAGCGAACGCCGATATGACTTGGACGCACCCGAGGCAGTAAGTCGAGAGATTTCTCGGCAGAGCCGCAGCCCCTCTTCCCCCGCCCTTGCGCGGTCGTTTCATAACGAAACTCTGGCGCGAATCGCGCCGATGACACAGCTGCGCGAAAACTACGCTATCGTCCCGGAACAGAGAAGTAACAAAATCGATGGTAGGACAATGTGTGTCGGTGTGCATCTGGAACGCGTGCCAAATCTCGTGCTTTCTACGCGTATCGCTCTTAGCAATTCACGGTCGATTGTCCCGCGCGTGCAAGGCTGACGGACAAAAAATCGCGATTGTGGCTCGTGAAAACAATTTTCAGGACTCAATACCTCTCGAATCGCCATCGAACTTCGCGTCATTCTCATTCTTTGGATCTTCGGAGAAAGAGGGAACGCGAGTGCGTGCACTCGCGGTTTTTTTGGTGTTTTGATCGTTGGCGTCGAACGATGTTACGCGATCGGCGATGCGCGCACAAGATTATCGCGCGACACTCACCGCTTGGAATTGGTATTTGCATCATTGATCGACGCGTTCGCGGAAAAAACAAGCTCGCGCGTTGCGCAACGCGCGATTCGCTTCTGTAATTTTGCCGTCCCCGTGGTAGCGCGATGCTCTTTTAATTGCGCTCAGCTGTGCTCCGCAAAGCTGTAACGTCGCAATTTGCGCAGTCGATGAGCAAACGTCTGCTCGCACGGTAATAACTTTCCGCTGCGACGATGCTAATGCAGCGCGTATAGAATTTCGCGGGCACCATTACAAGAGCGCGCGGCGAGATCTTTATTGGCCTCGTAAAACAAATAATGAACGCTCATCGACGCAGGCTGCTTACGGAAAACGCATTTTTCGCTCTCGACGAGCGGCCGTAAATTTCCGCTGCGACTTAATATCCCGACGCGGTGCTTCTAATTGAATCGGCACGGCGGGGGCGGACGAACGAAAGTATTCGGAAGTGGACGTAGCCGCGGTCACGGCCATCGACTCCGTTGAAATACTATGCGCTCGACAAGAGCGGGGCCAACCTATACAGCCTAACGACCAAAGCAGTTTACGAGTTTATTATCCTTCGCTCGAGAACGTCAAATTGAACGACTTACTCACCGTACAAATTGCCTCTCCCTGTCCTAATGGCTCGCTCTCTAACATTTTAGCAAGTGCGCGTGCACTCTTACGGCGGGCTATACGTACGTCGCGTTGGCGCCTAACGCAGCTCGCACGGATCGAACGCTCGTGGCGGCCGCGATTGAAGATTAAAAACCAGTTTCTCCCCCCCCCCCCCCCCGGTCTTCTCTGACGTCGCTGTTAACTCGAGTAATTGTTGCCGAACAAACACGCCCGAGTAATTACTCGCGCGAGCTTCTTTGCAGCTTTCATCGGACTGATATTCGCGCGAGGATGTGAGAATTTTTGAACTAGGCGCTTTTGAAAATAAATAAATAAATAAAACGAGAAAACAAAGTAGTTCTCGGATATATTTCGGAAAGTCATTTGTCGAAAAGACCGGTGATTTGCCATATACCTCAGAGTCGGTTGGTGCGTCTCTATTTTCGATAAAATTCGTAACTGCAACAATCCGCCCCGAGGTATAAGAGCGGAGGACGCGGCTCGAGTCTTGATCAACGGCCGAATTGCGCTGGGAATTCACCGAGCATGATGTACGAATTGAGTATCGCGCGCGCCGACTAATTTCTTATGTCATTGACCCGCTGCTCTAAGCACTATACACTCCGCGACGATTGTACCGTTAGCGGCCAACTCTCTTCTCCTTCGCCGATTCTCCACTATTTCTTATAGACGCACTCTGGCCGCCGACTATCTTTCCCACCCTGCGCACACGGAAACTTGAATTTTTCTCTGGCCGATGGCCTTTGCTTGCTCTTTCCCTGCGTGGCGTGCAGATGACTTGTAATATTCCAGCGAACTGCTAATCTCGCGTTTTGATTTATCTTCCGCTGGCATATCGCTGCGGACGATCCCACGCGTGCGCTTCTCTTCCAATTCCGTCGCTCGCCACTTCAGAAATCGTCGACTTGCGATTGTGCGCTGCAAGCTTTACACCAGCGGGTCGACATTGTCGTTCGATTCTCTTTTAACGGAATAGTAAAACCACAGCGCGCTATCGGTGATTTTGCGGACGGAGTCTGGCTTTCGCATTAAAAAAAAGGACGCCATATTTTTATGGAGCTTCGGATTTAGTCAGCGAATGATCTGACTGTTAAAGAATCTCCGCATAGAAATTCGTAGTTTCAATTGGTCATTACTTTCCCGTCCTGTCCAGTGACGTCGGTATGTTCTCGCCGACGTCTCTTTTGCACTCATGACCATTATACTTACACTCTCGCGAATACTTGAACCGCTCGTTGCCACGCGTCAATTGCATAACATCATTTATCGTCAACTTGTGTATGTTTCTTCTTAGCGCCTGTTCTCGACCGATTGACACGTAGTACACGTCGGTCGAGTCAACTACGTTGCCTTTTCTTTCAATCTTTTCACGAGCGACAACCCATAATGAAATTCTTAGTCTATATAATTTTATCCTACTTGAAACTTTTTCTTTTTAATTTTTTGGATTCGCATAGTCACCTACGTTATGCTAGCACCGATTTTTAGAATACATAACTATTTTTTTTCTTGATTAAGGCCGTGGTTCTTTTCAGATACTTGAATAACTTTCATATTTCTGTTAACTCATGAAAAATTTTTTACCTAATATTCATTTACGAAGAGACGTTATTGCACAAAATTATTCATACACTACTTTTTTACCATAGTTTATGTCATTTTTTTCCCGAATTGCTTTGAGAAAATAACTTTTTTATTTCAATTTTTGTCGTCGAATTTTTAAATTTCTAATTAACGTGCAGCTTAAAAAACTATAACCATTGCCAAGTTGTGGAAGTAAGCACACATTTGTCAACATAGCAGTATCACGTAGTTGTGTTTGGCATATGAATTAATGTGGATTGGAAAATTTGACAGCAAGCAATCATTTCCTTGCAAAGTAACAATAACTGCCGATTAAACCTTTAGTTCCTTACATATTTTTCGACACTCATCAATATACAATACAAGAGAGTTTTGACAAGTCTGCATTTCACTATCAAACCTGTTCTTAGATTTCTTGCATTTTGCTTAGGCGCAGTTCGATAGTTTCAGTCTTAAAAAATGATTTACTTTCATAAAGAAATATAAATATAACTGCCATGTAGCATTTTATTGTACTTAAATTATTTATTATATATTCTTAAAAATTATCTGAGTTGTGCTAAAATAATTAAAAAAGTAAAGCTGACAAAGAGAACATTTTAAGACATGTTTAGTTGAAAAACAAAACCTTTCCCAAATGAAAAAGTAAAAAAATATTATTTTCGATACTCCGTGCGCAAAGTACGTCTTTTCCGCACGTTTGGTAGAAAACGTGCGTTGAAAATCACACTTTCCACACGTCGTATCAAAAAATACGGTACGGCACATGTTCGGGAAAGAGTTTCTCGTCTTGTGTACCTTTCCACCCTCGCTTCGCTTGGGTGTAAACGCCACACGAGACAAGAATCTATACTTTCTCGCACTTGTATCGTAATGTACTATATTCTCAAATACACTATTCTAATTGCATTTAGCAAATATAACCTTCTATTTATACAGAAGAATATTACAAAATGATGATCACCTACCCCTATCTCAAAACAATAATTCAGAAGATTTTGCATCTGATCGAACAATGGATTGATGGCGATTAATTACAACAAATTTGTTTTCAATTTATATAATGGACAATTCATATTTGATCAATTGCTCTACTCATTCCAGTCGTAATCTATCACATTTGTAAGTTTAAAGTAAAGAAAAAAATCTTAATATCATATTTTCTCAGTCCTTGTTCTCTTTCTACATTAATTAACAATTTCAGTACTTGTTATAATATGTAATATAAACTGAATATTCGAATCTTCAAATAAATCTTTATGAAAGACGTATTTTTTACGATTGAATTTGTTTATGGAAAACGGTAAAAAATTAGAAAGATATGGTAGCAGTGGAAGAAAAAGCAAATTAATTATTTTGACTTTTTGACATGGTAGACTAAATAAAGCAAAATTACAACTACTATAAACCTCACTTCTTATTGTCTTTTTATTCATCTATCAGATTCTAAGGTGGCATAAAATGATATCAGTTACAATTAGAATAAATGGCTATTATTCAACAATAATAATAAACATTATTTTTAACATTCTTGATAGAAAAGTAAGATTATTATAATTTTTGGTGAATATTAATAAAAAATCTGTTATTGTTGGACTTTCTTATTGTTTCTCGTTCCTGATACATAGCTGTTTTCTACCTCAGTCTGAGTTGACGGTGCGAATACAAATTAGTGCGAAACGTGAGAAAAAATAGCATGTTTCGGTCGTTTGGGTAGTGCATTTGGAAACGCCGCGTCCAGCTCGTATGTTATTATGTATTAAGTCGTCGCTACCGACCTCGGAAATTGGCATGAAGTTAGCAGGAAGTAAACTTTTATCTGCTCCACCAAATTAATGAATACCACTGTAATGGAGAAGATGTTTCGCAACATTTTAGTAAGATATTAATTTCATATTCATATTCTGTTACATTTTTAAAAATTTGCAGTTTTCGGCTAGATAATACATATGTTGTCTCTGTAACAAATGAAGAATTGTAAAATATTTCTTTGATTGCCCATAGAATTAAATTTGCTCGTTATAAAAAGTAAAATTGTTAAAATCAAGGTATAATTCGGAACTATGTAGGCTTTGACAATAAAAAAAGAAAGATACATATTTTTACAAAGCTTTAGATTTATTTTAATGAATAATTTAAATATTGCGTCTTTATTAATCACAAGAATATATATCTTTCACTATAAAAAAATTAGGAATCGTTTGATCGTTTGTGATTAATAAATACGAATGCATGTAATATCCAACTACATTACATCAGCACCTATTTTTATAATCGATCGATTGACATAATTTACAAAGTAATCGGACATCCGCGACTACACAACTATGCAATTTTTTTAAAACCTCTCGTTTTTTTAAATACTTAAACTTTCATATTTCTATTAAAAATTCGTTAAATCTTTTTTCTGAAATATTTATTTACAGAGACGCTATTGCTCAAAACTATTCATACTTTTCTTACCCTAGTTTGTTAATTTTTTTCAATATGCTTTAAGAAAATAATTGAGAAAAAGCAGATAAAAATATCGTTGAAAATCACTTCTTAACTATTATCAATCCAATTCATTTTGTAACTTTTGTCGTTAAATTTTATCATGGTCAACGTACATTCGATATACTCAATGAAAATAAGGATGCATAAATAAATAAAATATGTAAGTGACGTATCTATAACGTATTCAGCGAAAAAAAATTTTTGTATAAAGTTATTTAATCAAAGACATTTTTTTATGTAGTTTATTTGATTTAACTGTGTAAAATTGTCAAGAGTATCAGTGCGCAGCACTAAAAGTATGGTACAAAAAAATTTATAGAAATAAAGAACGGGTAAACATTTTTTTCGCTGTGACAAATCTTCGGATAATATCGAGACATTGTAAGTTTTTTTTTGATAATCTCTTTTTTTTTTTAATTTGCGTAAAGATCGCTCTGGAGGCACTCTCAACGCGACAGTTTCACTGCAAACTTTTATGACACTGCAATCTACCATTATTATCGTTAAATAACATTCACGGTACCTAAATGTAATAATAATAATAATGTATCTAAACGTCCAAGTAATGCCGTCGCACAGCGATGAGAATAAGTTGATGGTTTCCAGTCTATTTCAGATTCTCGCAACTCAGCATGTTTATGAAATAATTACAATTGAACTAATCGTGTGCGAGTTTGTTTTTTCATTTCCGGAAAAGTAATAAGCTCGCATTGACGAAAAACGTCACAAAGTTGAAATTTCGTTAAAAAATAAAAAAATTAAAAAAAAATTAAAAAAAACAAAAACAAAAACAAAAAAAAAACACGTAATGTTACCCGCGTACAAAAATAAAAAGCGATAATAAAAATTAAGACAATAAGTTAAACATAATTTTCCCTTTGAGCGTGGTTTAACCAGCTATACCGAGCGACACACATTTTTAGGAAGATTGTTCACAGTCTGCTAGATCGTTCTAATTTTATTTAAAAAATACCGATTATTTTTAGTGCTAAATATTTAATAACTTACGTTACAAAAATAGTCATTTCGTCATTGCGAACTTATTCAAAGTAAACTATATTTCATAATCTTTTTGTTATAAATCGACATAATTTATAACAGATAGTGTGAATCTATAGTGTTATGTTAATACAATAAATTTAGTGTTTACTAAGAAAAAACCTCTATCTTTTTCGCTGGAGAAGTATCATCATTAACAATAACAGTATCAAGCAAAACAGTCGATTACACCTGTGCTCTCTTCTGTATGCTAAAAAGTTAGGCTGTATGAATGAGGCTCATTTCTCCTATTAATGCCTCCCGCAGTAGGTAAAGTTCTAATTACCTATTATACTCAGTGATTCTTCATTAAATTAAGATCCGGCAAATATCCCAGACATGTTCTGTTTTTATTTTATAATTATACGAAGTTAAAGTCAATATATTTGTTAGCAAAGGCTTTATTGATTTGGAGGTTGCGCACTGAGAGCTTCGTGTAGTGCTTGTTGTTGATCTGTTGTTAAAACATTTATGCATGCTTGAAAGAGGGTTTCGTTACTCTATAACAAAAAAAATTATTCTTCCATCATTCTAATTTTATTATATATATATATATAAAAAACTTTTCGATCATTTCAAATTACCTGAATCTGCCTAACAATGCTGAGAATCCTGACATGTACTGGATTGTCAGAAGATACAACTTCTTTGTTTAGTGCTTCAGCGAAGAAACTGATAAGTCTCGGTAAATTTGAGTTATTTGGGCCTAAAACTACGGGGTGGTTAGCTTCAATTAAATCACATAGATATCCATATATGTGTAGTGCCTCATCTTCATCCTCTACAACCGGTAGCCAAGACAACCTGTAAATTTAGCAAACATCACAGTTTTATCATACCAAGGCTATTAGGAAACAACAACAACAACAACAACAACAACAACAACAACAACAACAACAACAACAACAACAACAACAACAACAACAACAACAACAACAACAACAACAATAATAATAATAATAATAATAATAGTCTACTCACCAATGTGGAAGAATTTCATCAACATTGATCGCTTTGTTGTTATACTTTAATATTTTCGTCACAGCCGAGATGGCATTTTCCGTAGGATTGACATTCTCCACACTTCGCGATTCTGGATCATTGATGACTTCCATCAACCTGGGCAAGGCCTCAGCGCAAGCTTGTGCGAATGCTTCACCACCGAACTGTCCGAGAACACCACAACCATAAGCTGCTGCTTGCCTAACCTCGGCCGATTTGTCGGAGATATATTGGATCAGTGGGCGCAGGAAGAACTCCTGGTATTTCACGCATTCGGGACCTCCATATTCAATTACGTCATCGAATACGCACAAAGCCCACTGGTGATCTGACCATGGTCTGTTAGGCGCTAGTAGCTTGCCAAAATGCCCGACCAGCTGATCGAAGTAGGGGAAGAACGTGGACTTATAAGTGATGAAGAGGGCATGAAAGATATCGGCGATCTTGCTCAAAGTATATAAATCTTCGTTGTCTTCATCCGCAAGTTGCTCTTCCACTACGTCATCGTAATCTTCGTCTTTTCGTTTTTCTAGTCGAGCAACTGCTTTCTCAAAGTGTTCATTTAGAAGCTTGTCAAGAATACGTAAAAGTTCGTTCATTGACTGTGGTCCTAAACAACCAGCGCCTAGTGTTTCAATGCATTTTGCAAGGGAATACAAGAGTTCCAGTAGTACGTCAACTTCTGGTTCGGTATCTACAGCTTTGAGAAGGTCTGGACAGATGTAGTCCCACATACCTTCTAAATATTGTGGTCCTGAAATTATAAATTTAATCGTCTTATTTTGTGAGAAAATGTTCATTCTTAAACTTTCTCGAATTGTTAGCATTAGTGTTCTAAAAACGAACTTTATGATTTGTTAATATACACTCAAATGCTAGTAACTTCCAGTAAGCCAATCAGTTATTAATTTATTAATACGATAAAAAACGAGGCCTATAAAAAATTTATCAATTACTCTACCACATATATAACAACATCAAGTTCAGTGAATGAACCCAATCGCTGACTTTCCATAGTAATATTTTTTATGTAAAAATAAATAGATAAAAAGAACTGTAATTACCTTTAATTTTGGCACATTCTAAGAGATTTGGTAAACTCTCTGCTGCAGCTGTTCTTACTCCATCGTGAAAGTAGAATTTAAGCATAGGAACCATCAGCCGTACGACATCCTCGGCGTAATCGGCAAAACCTTCCTTCAACTCTCTAGCGTAACATACGAGCATCTCACAAGCAGATGCTTTATCTTCAAGACCGGCCGTCTTGATACCAAAGTTCTGCTGTTCTCCGAGCGATACAAACTGCCAATCAACGTCACTTTCTACGTCTTCCATATCTTCATTATCTAATAGAGCGACTTCAGGCTTCATCGATGCCGTTTGCAAAACTGTGGGCATAACCAGGGGCAAATATTGCTCGAATTGCTTTCCAAGAATCTTGCAGAGACGAGCCCAAGCGGAAATCAAGTAGCTCAGTTGTGGGTCATCCTCAGGCAAATCTGTGTGTGTCTTCAGTAATAAGTCCATAACTTCGTTCGCGTCCGCAATAAACTGTTGTAATTTTCATATTAATTTCTGCGTGTAAGAGTGTTTGATAGAAAAAATATAAACGTAATTATCATTCATTAATTACCTTTTCAGTTCCAACAGCAAGTCCAATAAGACTGACACATTCAATTGTCTTACCACGTAACAATTTGTGCTGAGGCTGAGTGGCATTCTTAATGATATACTTGAGACATGGCATTAGTCTATCGTAATATTTTACGAACTGCTCTTCGCATGTGTCGGCAACACTTGCGATCGTTGTGACAACCTAAAGTAATAAAAAAATATTACCACTTTTGAATAAAATTAAAAGTTATCTAAGGATCGTGTACTTGTTCCAAAACGAGCTTAGTGCCCTTCTCAACAAGCTCTTGGAATTTGGCCGTTAAAATCGATTCGAGTTTACTCATGATTGCGTCCAGGTACGGCATGAGGATATTTTTGGCGCAATCTTCGCTAAAATTGACGAGTGCAGCTCCAGCATGAGCTTGAACTCGAGGATTTGCATTATCATCAAGAACCAATAAGAGTCCTGGAATTACTACTTCATGAAATTTCTTTTCGAATGTAGGTGCAAAGTCAGTTGACATTTGTCCAACTGCGTTGCAAGCTGCATATCTTACTCTTGGATGCTGAAAATTTTTATTTACTGTTATTGTAGTGATAAGTTATTTACGAAGAGTGAAAAATTTTTTTAAACTGATACGTGTATGTTTCAGTACTATGATTGTTGCATGAAAGCAACAGCCAACTCTCAGAAACTCCCATTGAAAGGACTTTCATCTCTTTGTCAAAACGACAGAAGAGAATTAAGAACATTCAATGGTGTTAGTTTACCACAGACGTAACGCCTTCGTATTCAATGTATGAATTGACTGCTGACTCGGCCTGTGGTATTAATGGATTTTTCCGAATATAAAAAGAAAACTTACCGGATCTTGTAAATATTGCATGATTCCTTCCATGATTTGTGGTAAAATAACTTCCATTTGTTTATGGCATCCTTCACCAACAGCAGACACAGCCATAAGTGCAGCATGTCTGTAATAAAATGTTGAGTATTACGAATGAAAAGATCTTTAAGTGATTTTTTTCTGCATGTTCCAAAAACTATGACTGTATTATGTTTACGCTAGGTAACTCTCAGGAATTTGATGAAAAGATCAAGAAATTTGTTAAGACAACAAAAAGATAGATAATTACAATTATCAGTTTCTCTTCCGCAGATTCGACACTATCAAATTCATTAAGCAAATTTGATTGTTGACGTTCTGTGGATTTAAATCTAAAAAATAAAACTAGTTATCAATTAATAATTATTTTACCTGTACTTCCAATCAGTGCTGCTTAACATAGAAGGAATATTTTGCACAATTTGCGGTAATATTGTTTTACCGCCAAGACCGCAAGCCAATCTGTCCAATGCACTTTCAGCCACTACATTATTACTGTCGTTGTCCTCCTCGATAATCTCGTCTGAAAAACTCCACTCTTCGTCATTTTCTAAGTCCGTCATCATCTTCAAAACTAATGGCACCAAAGCAGCAATATATTTCCCTCCAACTTTCCTAACCATGGCAGGAGCAGTTTCAGCCAGTGTAACAATAACTTCAAGAGCTAATTGTCTCCAAGAGTCTTCCATATCTTCATTCGAAAAGACTTTCATGCACATTTCCATGATGGGCTCCAGTTGTGAACGCAAAAATTTTGGCGTTGACTCAGCTAGATCAATTAAAACTTTCAATAAAGCATCATCTTCTTGCTTCTCAATTGACTGAGCTGTTACAAGAACTACTGCTGGTACAAGTTCAGCGAAATGCTTTTGAATGTTTGATTCTTTCTCATGAAGCATTATAAATGCACCAACAGCTCGTACAGCTTGAAATTGAACCTAAAACAAAATGATAACAAGTTAATAGTAACTATAATTTAAAAGTAGTATAGTTTTTAATGGTAAGAAATTGTTAGCTCCGTATCTGTCTGCAAATTAAAGCTTAACAAATTACAGTCATCAGAAAGCTGTTGCTTTATGGAGATTCAGTAGCAAAATGTGATTGTGACAAAGCATCTCACATGCGTATCTATCTCCAGATAAATAATGATAAAAATGATTTGATAAAAATGTTTACTAACTTCGTAATTAGATGTATCGTTCACTGAAAGTTGCAACATTTGTTTGATTAAATCCAAGTAATTAGCTTGCTGATTGCCAAAAACACCTGGAACACACCTATAAAAAAAATCACATTAAATTAGTACTTTTCAAATACTATAATTAAAATAAAAATCGTTGATTATAAATTAAAGTGGTTACTAACGTAAACATGCAAAGAGCACTCTCCTTCAAAGCTGGCACTGGGCCATTTGCACACTGGAATAGGAATTGAAGAAACTCAGGCCATTGATTGTTACCATCATCATCAATCAAATTTCTAGCAACTTCAGCAATGACTTCGCATACTCTACGTCTGATTCTAGGTGATTGTTCATTTTGGATTGCCATTAAAAGTTGCTGTTTCAACTGAACTTGTCCTTCAGGAGGAATCTATCAAAATTATACATGACTTTATTAGAAAAATTCTTGGATTAATCATATAAATAAAAAGTAAACTGAAATTAAGAACCTTAGGGTAAAACTCCATGAATTCAGAAGAAAAAAGTCGACGGATTAAAATTGCAGCCATTCCCCTGATTTCTTCTGTCACAGATGTATCACATAAAAATCTGAGGAGCAATTGAACTTTGCTCTCCACAGGTAAATTTTTGTATGCCTCCTAAACAAAAATTTTTTCAAATATTTGTTAAGACTAGTATATATTAAAGCCTTGGAAATAGTAAATTATAATTTATTTATATTCTCATTATTGCTTGCTACTATAATTTTTACAGTATATTCAAGGATATCTCAAGTTTTATGAAAAAAGTACAAATATAAATGAATCATTATCTATAACAAAAATAGATTAAAATTGAATAATTTGTTTAAATTCTTACTCATTGGAATTTAAAAACTTCAGGTAGCAAATTTTTTTCATGACCCATAAAAATAGAACTTGGTAATTTAAAAATAGCAACTCATTGTGGATAGTATGTAGATACATTAAAAACGTGTTTGTATCAATCTGGCATTCTAAAATAAGAACATTGGATTGGAATATGTAGAAGTTTGAATTTCAAAATAAATTATCGGAACAACATTTAAACCAAGTGAGGGGGAGAAATACGTAGCTTGGTATAAATTGATGTCACACCCATTAGTCTAATTGAAATCCGGAGATTTGCGTATATCCGCGTAAAAAGCTTGAAACAGTGTGATGCTAGATAAAAATAGAGCGCAAGTGAAAATAGAATTAAAATTGTAAGAGCAAGAGCAAGGGTATTTCTGCCAAAATCGGGACTGACTATATCAAGGAAAGAAAGCGAAGGACCGGGACGTGCGTGAGACATGCTGTTGCCGTCTCTCGCTCTCGTTGGCATCAGTCGCAACAGATGACTCATAAGCATCAGCGAGTAGACATTTAATCGGTCGATTCGTAAGTGCAGCTTTGGGAAAATTACTTTTCTTAATGTCGGTGCTTGTATGTACACGGCGTATTTGTTAAAAATTGACAGACTGTCGTGCAATTACGAATTCACGACACGACTCCAAAATCGAGCGGAGCATATCTCTCCGTCTCTGTCTCTTCCTCTCTTCGAGGCACGCCGATAAAAAAAAAAAAGTTAAATAATCGAGCAAGCCACGAAGCGAAGCGAAGCGAGTAAGAGTGAGAATGAGAAAGAGAGTAAGAGTGAGAATGAGAGAGAGAGAGAGCGAGAGAGAGAGAGAAAAAGTCCAAGCTATGCTGACTCGTATTCCATACACTTTAATATACGTTGGTTTTAGAGGTTAAGTGTTGGCGCGTGCTGATAACTCTGAAAATCGTCTTACGGCATGTACGCCGGGGAGAAAATTCAGCTGGCAAGGGGTGTACAACAGGCGGCCAAAAGAAAATATTGATGCGTGCGCGAGAGGGTAGTATGAATAAATAACCAACAATTGAAATTGGTCTCATGCGGGTAACCATTTTGATGATTGACAGAAAGGTTTCGGGTGGATATACAGACACACACTATATACATATATATATACCTCTGCTTGCGAGCGGACATCATTGTCCGTGCTAAGGAGAGTGTTGAGTAGTTGTTGGAATCCCTCCAGTTCTGCCGCCATTATCAACGAAGAAACTTATTACAGCAATACACACGCCGTGTGATATGTCACGTTGTTCTCCTCTAGGTCGTTGGCTGGTTTTGTTATATAGCCTGTCTTGCTTGAGCCCTCGGTATCTCGCTAAAAACTTGACGGACGTACGTGCACGCTACCAACACTGTCCGGTCGCGCGCGCCTATCTTGCCTGCTGCTGCTATAAACCGCCGTGCCGTGGTATGCGCCAATCGGCCCAGAGTTCGCTTGACTCCAGCGGTGTTACCTTATATACCCGGTCTAAAGTCAATTCCTGTCCTCCGACGTTGCAGTTGTTATTTTGTAGCTCGACGACCACAATAATGTTTGGAATTCGTGCTCTGACAAAGCATTCACAGTCAGAGCTACGAGATAAACTGTCTCGAAGCGAGGAGGCTATAAGATTTTTCGCGTGCGACCGCCGCAAAATGAAGAGGAGGCACAGGGAGAGATAGCACGACTTCCGCTGTGCGAGAGAGACGCCGGATAGCGGCTGCTCTGAAGCGTTTTCTCCCGACTGCTGCTGTGATGGTGGTACTTTGATTTTTTTTTCTTTCAAAAATTTGCTAGGAATTTTTTTGTCTCGGAATGTGACGTGTTTATTTGCCCACGGGGAGCGAGCTGAACATTGCAGATATTCTGTTGCTTTCTCGCCTTCGATTTTTGATCGCATTTTGCCGTGTGGAAGAATACGTCTGGCGCGCTTTCCTGTCGGCTATCTCATTGGTTTACATACCAACCAATGAGATGTAGCGTTTTAGGAATGCGCGTATTTGAATTTTTAAGGCTCTGAAATGTTATTACTGCTGTTCGCGCGTTTTCCGTTATACGGGGTCTCAGATTAAAATTTAACCCATTAATTAACGATCATAGACGTTATTTTTTAGATATGTTTTTTGGACATAAAACAGGAAATTCTTATACATGAAAATTTTTTCCTAAATGACGAATAAAATGTAAAAACCTGAAAAAAATTTGTATCTCGTTATTATTGTTTTGATAAATTTAAAGACATTTTTCTTCTATAAAACTTTTTCCTAAATTTCATATTTTTTTAGAAAAACAATGGTAATGAGAAAGGAATTTTATTCAGATTTTTGCATTTTATCTGTCATTTTGGAAAAAAAGCTCATATATAAAAAACTTATGTTAAATTTCAACAATTTCGTGCACCGATGGCTGACGAAAGAGTTCAATATTGACGTCTCTTATGCTAGAAAAAATGGTTAAAAAAAATGTTTGAATTTTTCACTATATTTTTGTAAAAACCTCGTCATATTTAATTTTGTAAGGAAATTTTGTGAATTTTGAGCACGGATTCATATTCAGCATATCTAAAAAACACGAAGAACGGTACTTTGGATCAGTTTATTGTTTCGTTTTATCCATGAATTTTGCAATCAAAAACATGTCTAAAAAATGACGTCCATGGTCGTTAATGGGTTGAAGTGATTTCGCGAAATAGAAAAATAAGAAATTTATTCAGAAATATAGTACGAAATTATTTTTTAGTTGAACTCTTATGGAAAAAGCTTCACAGCTGCTGTACTTTTTTTCTCTTACAGAATTAATTACTGTGTGGCTAAAAGCGTTATCGATAGCTCGAAAGAGTGAATCTGGGTCAATGCAAGCGGTATCGAGTGATAAAGAGAAGAGGTTACGTAAATTGTTCATTTTTCGCTAAATCTACTGTCACCGAGTACAGCTTGTTAATGTTTAGTTTCACGATTCATTAATTATAAATGAGCGGAATGAGATTTTTTTTCAAACGCGACGCGAAAATACGTTTCGCCAGCCAGACTCACGAAGTTTTCCCTTTAGTTACAAGGTGTTAAATATTAAAATATTCTTACTTACATCAAGTGGATATTGAAAAAGAGCATCAAAACGGAAGGGAACTTTGAGGCCGACAGTAATGTCCGTTTCGCGGTTGCTCATCGAAATCTAATCGATGTCATTCAAGGAAATCGAAACATCGGAGCAACAGCAGCAGCAGCGGCAGGAAGGAAAAAAATATAACGTGACTGGCAGCATTAAGTACGGCCCGTAGTAATGAGTAGCTTTCTATATCTAGTCAGTCTTTCGGTAACCAGGCATTTAAAAGTATGGAAGCACGCGAGGCTTTATAACTTGGTTTCTTCGCGATAGTCTAATCGCTATATATACATCGATTCGTTGCTAATGTCATTGAAGATTTAAGCCGCTTCGATTATTCATTATGCTACTTCAATATTCTTTCAATCGGCGATGCAATTAACCGTCGCGTAAACAAAGTGGATTCCGACGGGGGCAAAATGTGTGCACGTGATCGCGAACGAGAGCGGAAAAATTTACCGAATTTCATTGCCCGAAACGGCCAAATTTTCGACTAAATTTCACACTTCGAGCTTTTGGTAAATTACTCGCCCTCGAGGTAGATAAGAAAGAGCGCGCTTTGCCACGCATACACACACTTGAGGTCGGTCGTGCAAGCGAGGCAGCACGCAACGCGCGCGGACTTTTTTTCCGTCAACGCCGAAATGTAGACGTACAACGGGCTGATCGGTGCAGACCCCGCCAAAGGACGAGTGCATCGCGACAGGGGGCACGAGCTTGCCCTCGCTTCCTTCGCGTTTTTTTTTTCCACTTGTCGTCTCCTTGTATCGTCGTTCGCGAGGCTTCCGAACTGCTTCGCTTCTCTTTTCTTACGTTTGCTCAATTTATGCTGCCGTTTATTTTTCTCCGTGGCTTTGTCTGGGAAAACGGGCTATCCTTGTTTTTCCATTCATTCATTCGTGGATATTTTTCGAAATATGATAATGTTTTAATTAGTGGCAAAGAGAAAACTGTAAACTTTGAAAGTACAAGTGTCTGCGGACTCCGTGTGAGTGAAATATGTTGTGTCGCGATTGTCAACGTTGAAGTAAGTAATCGTAATTTTAACTATAATGAATCCCAATAAATAGAGGTAACAGAACGAAAGTTATTTTAATCGTCTTGTTTCCTCATTATTATATTTGAGTTCAAAATAATTACAGTGTTCCGACTATTACAACTTCTATCAATAATGATTTTACTCACAATGAAAAATCGTATCTGTTCCTAGGGAGCGATAACAATATAACTCTTTGCATTATTTTAATATCTCTTGAGTAACATTACTATGTTATTTATTAAAACTCAAACGCTAAACTCATGGGTTTGAAATATTTTCAGTACTTTTATTCTTGACTTAATATCTAAAAAAATGAAATATCAAGTTTGCACATTCTTTATTGTATTTATTGAAGACAGTTATATCGCTTACCACGCTTTTGTACTGTTAACTTATAAATTTTTATGCGATAAGGTCAGACTTTTCTTAGCTTACAAAATTAGCTTAAAAAATAAATCTCTTATATAACAGAAAATGTATATTTCTTAAACACACGTCTTATTTACCGTATTTTACATACCTACATAATTTACTTATTGCAACTTCATTGTGCCATATGGACAAGTTTAGCGTGCCATAACTATTCAAATTACTAATAAATATTTCAGTAAACGACGACATGGCTTCCTTGAAAAGACACGGAGGTAGAGGGAAGAAAATAAATTTGAAATCCGTTGAAGTAGAGACCAAAATACTGACGGATGAAGCTACAGGGCATCTTAAAAGTAACCATTATGACAAAGCATTATATCTATATTCAAAGGTTCATAGATTTGTCTGTTGAAAATTCAAATTTTGCAAAGTCGGCAATGAATATTTAGTTGCTTGTAGTAATTTGTTGAAATTGTTGGGCTTTCAGTGGCTTGTTGTATTTACCTATATTTAGTAATTGCATAGAAGTAGCGCAGCTTCAAAGATTTTCGTGTTTTAAATCGATCGTCTCGATGTGCGTTCTTATAATCCGTCATATGAACGCAAAGAGTTTATGTAAATAAGATTTCACGGTATAACGATCACTCATCAACTATATTTATCTGAGATCATAAGACTTCTGTTTAAGGTTGATGGGGCAATCAAGTTGATTGATCTGATCAACTTCAACGTACTATTACTTATGTCATAACGTGTATGAACTTGTCTTATATTTCTGAATATGCAAAAGATTATTAATTGACAACCATTGATAACGAAATAGATATGCGAATCGTTCTTACCTTTTCGTGCTAATAAGTTTTTTAGAATAACGTAAAATAATGTCATCATTCACAATTTGAATAATAACTTATGAAGCGTTCTTCGAACTAGAACTACATTCTCTGATTGATCTGTACATATCGATGGATTTCAATTTGTTTTTATTATCAAGACAGAACTCGGTAAGTACTTTAATCAATATTGTTTTAATTTTACATAACTAAGTTTTTAACAAGTTTTATCTTGTTATTTATCGAATTCTCTCGATAAGCAGCTTTCTATGTACACTAAAGAAACAATTTCTTTTCCATGTGTTATAAGTAAGAAATTATTATTTTCTTTTCTAAAACTTGATAATTGTAAATATTACCGTTACTGTGAATAATTTCTTACAATTAGATTACGGAAACAAAGTGGCTCTGGGGTCTAATCTTGAAGAATGTTATTAAAAAATCTGTTATTTTAATGTTTTCAAGGGAGTGACAGAACAATTATTTAGCACTATGAAAATCTTATTTTCTGGTAATATGAGATTTAAAATTGTTTTTTTTTAGCATTTTTCAGTCCACAACAAATATATTTGTTTCGGCATGCTTGTAAAAAAATTATCCACAATTGACTGGGCTTTTCATCTCCGTGTATTTAAATTTTCTTTGTATGCACACCCACATTTCATGTACGTGAGTCACTTGACTGAGGTAAATCGGTCTCTTTTTTGAGATGCTTATATTCATGTTTTTAATTCTTACACGAGCATAAATCTATCATTGAGACTCCTTGGATTAACTATTTTAAGTTGGTCGATTTCAGGAAATGAAAACACCGTAGAAAATCGGGGATTGTCTAGAATCTTAGAGTCGTCTAGATCCAAAAATTATGCCGACGCCCTAAAATATGGATTGGCCGATTCCTTGATAATCTAGCTAAGTTTTAAGTAATAGGGCCATTTTGTTACAATCTCTCCCTTTTGTATTCACTTTCTTCGTGTTATTCGGATGAATAGAATATCTCTCTTGTTAAATTTATTAATTGCTGTGGAATATGATATAGAAGTGAAAAGATAATAGCAGATTCTTTCATGATAGGAAACTTCTTGGTCTCTAAAAATTTCGTATTGCAACTATTAGAAGACAATATTTTGAAACATCAGTGTTGCAACTTTTAAATGAAATAAGTTTAAACGAAACATGTTATAAGTTTAAACGAAACATGTTATAAGTTTAAACGAAACATGTTATAAGTTTACACGAAACGCGTTATGGCAATAGATCAATTTGAAAATCTTACGCGATACACGAATAATACTTGTATCAATTTTATTGCGTAATCTTTCTTAAAAACTGTTTTATATAAATAAAACGTGCGGTATGATAATTCGAAAGATTACCGTCACTCGCACCTTAGTTATCGAGCGCAGTAATTGTCACTGTATAGTATAATACCTATAGACATTTCTTTTCTTAATTTAATTGAAAAGGAAAAGTGAGTTGATTGGCGAGTTAAATTCAAAATGAAATATACCGTGGATAATGCGTGTGCGAAAGTGGCAGATATGACGCATTGTTGACTGTTACTAGGGAAACACGGGCCACCTCCGAAGGTGTCGATATCCACACGTTCTTTTATCTTGCGCGTATTATTTTATTACGTCGTTATTGTTTTACAATATAAACTTGACCTTACGCGTGTTGTTTTACGGTTACTTACATTCACGAGCTGTTGTATACCAGTCGAAGGAAATTAGATTAAACGTGTATTATCGTAAAGTAGCGATTTGTTGAACGAGCTGTGCTAAAAAATTCAAAGTGAAAAAAGTTTGCTACGTTATCTGTAAGTAAATTTACTCCACACAAGCCGTAAAATCGCAACGAGAAATTAACGACGTAGCTTGCAATTTATCCGATCGGCAATTCGTAGAAAGATTGAATTTTGGCGACGATGTCCGAATCCGACGCAAATGTCCCGGAGGTGATCGTCGCAGCACGAAGCCCAGTGCCCCAGCAGTGTAACTTCTCCAACATATTGAAACCGACTCTCCAGGACAATGACTTCCTTCAAAGCTTCGTGCGTATCGGTCTCGACGATGGCTCGGAGGCTCGTCATGCGACTTTCGCCGATGACAAGCACTCCAAGAGGTATTCATTTTGAAAATTGGCGAAATGCCACACAAGGAAAGATTCATTCGGCGCGGGTAGCCGCCAGCTGCAGCAGCAACAGCAGCAGCAACAGCAGCAGCAGCAACAACAGCAGCAGCAGCAGCAGCAGCAGCAGGACTCCGGCGTGGAGAATCGTCGTTCATCGCGGCCACGCGTCACCTGCACGAGCAATCGCAGCGTCGAGGAAATGCTCGCGGAAGACCTGAAGCAGCAGAGATCCCGCAAGCGACGCCGTCGCAAGAGCGACGTTCACCGCCAGGAGGAAGTCTACACGGACAAGGATCGAGCGGCAGCGGTGAACATGGGCAGCCGGGATATCAAGCAGTCCCTCAAGCTCAAGCGCAAGCAAGACCGTAGCAGGGCCCTGCAGATCCCCGAGGAGGCCGAGCCGAGCGCCATGCTGGCACTCGGCATGCGGGAGCTGAGGGTCGGCAACGTGTCGGTCGCTTTCAGCTGCATCGACAAGGTGCGCCGCGAGAAGGGTAACAACGCCGCGCACTCGTTAATGTTACGCGTCTCTCGCGCGGAAGCTTCGACACGAACGCGCCGCGCTCGCTTGGCCTGCCGCTTGTTTGCCGCTCTATCTCTATGGCGTTGTCCTTGCACGTAGTATAGGCCGCTAAGCAAACGCTCGAGTATGCAGTTCAAGGCCGTCGGAGCATCGTTGCCCTGCACGGGATGTTGCCAGGTTTTTGAGCGAAGCTGCTTTGTCGCGCTACTCCTCAGGCACTGGAATTGAGTCCGAGCGACAAGAACGCGCTGATAGCGCGCAGCAGGTGTCACTTGCTGCTGGGCCAGCCGCGGCAGGCGCTGGAGGACGCGGAGGCGGCACTACGCGGCCGCGCCAAGGACCCGCGCAATGCCAAGGCTCTGTTCGCCAAGGCGGAGGCGCTCTATCACCTCGGCGACTTCGAGCTGAGCCTCGTGTTCTACTATCGCGGCATGAAGATCCGACCCGAGTTCGATCAGTTCAGACTCGGAGTGCAGAAGGCCAAGGAGGCCATACAGAACATTCTGGGTCGTGAGTACGATATCCTTTCTGTCCTTGGCGAAAGCACGGGTTTGCAAAGGTACGTTGCCGCAGATAACGCGGTAGCCGTGCCGAAGAGGTCGTCGTCGTCTCGCAACGAGAGCAGCCACGGCCGCGCCACCGAGAAGTCGGACGAGTTGGCCACGGCCCGCGCCAAAATCTGCAGTCCAGTAACGGTCGTGGGCTCGGACAAGTCCGCCGACAGCGCCAACAACAATAGGGCGTCCTGCAGTCGCGAGCTCGACGCTAACGGCGCGACAGCGCCGACGACACGGCCGTCCGCCTCCAAACACAGCTCCGTCGGCAATCGGAACAGACGATTGCGCAGCAATGCCAAACGGTCGAATATCAATCAGGACATGCATCTGCTGGCGCAACTCAATGCGGACAAACGCTATCTGCAGAATCTCATCAAACGACCCGGTGAGCTGTTTGAGTTTTCGCATTTTCACAATGCAATCGTGTCCGAGCAATGTCTTCTTAGCTATGTATGTCTTGATCGAGCCAAGCATCAGTACGGTACGGGGAAGATATTTGTACCGAGGGAGCGAGCCCCGAACTTGTTCCGCGTGCCGTACTATCGCTAGGCAACGCTATTTTGGCCATGGCGCTCAATTAGTTATTTTTAATTTTAAGCGCCCGTAAGCAGTGTTTCACGTGCAGAACGTGCTCCACGTAAAAAGCTGTTCGTTATAGGAGCCCGGCACTTTCGACGTAATAGCACTCGTTACGTCGGAGAACTAGTACAGAAAACATCCCTGTAGAGGGCTCTACGCGAAAGATTTTCAATCATAATCATCATAATAACCGGGTGAGAGTTAAAAAGTTGCTTCCGGGCGCCAAAACTGAAAAATTGTTAGCGTATCTTGAGCTATGTCACGTTGTATTACGACGAGGGACTTTTTGAAAGGAATAGGGTCAGCTTATTCTCGGACGCTCCACTGCCCCCTTCTTCGAAACCTTGTTTTGTATTACCCTCTCGACGTAATACAAAACAATCGCGATAACTAAACCCAACCCGCAAACAATCCGTCCTAGATATTTTGACTCGCAAGAATAATTACTGTGTTCGCTAGTATAGCGTCGTGCAGTTTCGGCGTCTGTTCGCTCGGCAATAACGGACTGAAGGTTGCAGTGGAATCGGCAGGGTCGCGCGCCAAAGACGTAACCTACCAGATGTCGAGGCGACGAGAGTCGAGTGCAAAGTCTGACGATAAATCGCATTGCGGATGGGTCCACGGAATCAGCGGCCCGGTGATCGTGGCCGATCGGATGTACGGCAGCGCGATGTACGAGCTCGTCAGGGTCGGCCACGAGAAGCTCCTCGGCGAAGTGATTCGACTCGACAACGATACGGCCACCATTCAAGTTAGTTGAGCTCGCGTCGAGCCCCGAAACAGAAAAGTCGAGTAAATCAGCCACGATGATGCGTCGACGATGTCAGGTTTACGAAGACACCAGTGGATTGACGGTAGGCGACCCGGTAATACGTTTGGGCCGGCCGCTGTCCGCGGACTTGGGTCCCGGCCTATTAGGCTCGGTGTTCGACGGCATTCAACGCCCGCTGCATCGCGTCCACGAGAATAGCCGTTGGTCTGTCTACGTGCCCAAGGGATTGGATTTGCCAACCGTGTGCAGGACCAAGCTCTGGGAATTTCACCCGCTGACGTTCAGACCGAACGCCTGCCTGACCGGCGGCGACGTGTTAGGCTACGTGTACGAGAACCGACTGGTCAGGCATCGCGTGATGCTGTCGCCCGAGAGCCGCGGAAGGGTAGGCTTGCGAAATGTTATCTTCGTGTTGCCGTCGGCACTGTCCGTTGATCGCGCATCGCCGTCAAGCTGACGCACATCGCGGCCGCGGGCAGTTACGCGGCCGACGAGCCGATCGCCGAGCTGGAGTTCGAGGACGCGAGGAGCGAGCACGCGATGCTGCACAGCTGGCCAGTGCGCAGGTGCAGACCCTCGGCCGAGAAGCTGGGCTACGCGCGTCCCCTGCTGAGCGGCCAGCGCGCCCTCGACGCCCTGTTCCCGTGCGGGCAAGGCGCGAGCGTCGCCTTGCCCGGGGCTTTCGGCTGCGGCAAGACCGCGCTGGCCCAGTCCCTCGCCAAGTTCTGCAACAGCGACGTGGTCGTGTACGTGGGCTGCGGCGAGCGGGGCAACGAGGTGGCCGAGCTGCTGAGGGACTTCTCCGGGCTGCGCGTGCAGGTGGACGGCGCGCGGTAAGCGAGCGAGCGCTCGGCGACGCGCGACGGAGACCTCTGCAGGCGAATGCTGCGCAGGGAGCCGATAATGAAGCGCACGAGCATCGTGGCGAACGCGTCGAACATGCCGGTAGCGGCGCGCGAGGCCTCCATCTACACCGGCATCGCCCTGGCCGAGTACTTCCGCGACCAGGGCTTCGAGGCCTCGCTGATGGCTGACTCGACGTCGCGCTGGGCCGAGGCGCTTCGCGAGATCGGCAGCCGCCTCGGCGAGATGCCCGCCGACGCCGGCTACCCGGCTTACCTGTCCGCCCGGCTGGCTGGCTTTTACGAGCGAGCCGGCCGAGTCCGCTGCCTGGGCTCTCCGCGGAGGGAGGGCTCGGTCAGCATCGTCGGTGTGCTGTCGCCGCCCGCGGGCGACCTGGCCGACCCGGTGACCTGCTCGACGCTTGGCGTCGTGCAGACCTTCTGGGCGCTGGACAGGCGACTGGCCGAGAGGAAGCACTTCCCCGCCGTCAACTGGTCGGTGAGCTACAGCAAGTGTGTCGGCGCGCTGGGTGAATATCTTCGCGGCCAAGCTCTGCGACCTTTCACGGACGTGCTCTCGCCTGTCAGGCCACTTCTACGAGGCGGCGTTCCCGCAGCTGCCGCGGTATCGTCGACGAGCTCTGCGGATTCTTCAGCGGCAAGAGGAGCTCGGCGAGCTGCTTCGACTCGTCGGCCGCGCGTCCTTGTCGGACTCGGACAAAGTCCTGCTGGACGTTGCCAAGCTTCTCACCGATGACTTTCTCCAGCAGAACGGCTACTCCAGCTACGATCGCTATTGCCCGTTCTATAAGACCTACGCTATGCTTCGTAACATCGTTTGCTTCCACGACCTCGCCAAACAAACCCTCCATCGCGACGTCGCTTGGGAAGCGCTGAAGGAACAGCTGAAGGACGTCTTGCATAGACTGTCAATCATGAAGTTCTTGTGTCCTTTGGCCGATGGAGAGAATGTTATTGTGAAAGAGCTGGATCTGTTGTACGACGACATGCACAGGATTTTCGAGACACTACGAAATAATATTGTAAAAATAAGGCACTGCCAGACTCCACTGCGTTAATCATGAACATTTGGTTTCTTTTTGATTTTAGATGTAAAAGCGGCTCATCAACCATCTGCGGAACACATAATCAAACTCGCCGAGGAAGGTGTCAGTTTTCTGAAGTCGAGGCAAGAATTTTGGAGGCAACAGCAATCGACGAGTTCACAAGCTCGAAAAAAGTGAATGCTGCTTATTCGAATTCAGTGCGTCAATGTATAACTTACTACCGATCGATGTATCCACTTGATATTTATTTAATTCATGTAATAATGTGGATATTGCTTCTGTTTTGTAGAAACTAATATTTATCATTATAATTAATTATAAATGAAATAAAGATTGACGTTTCATAGCAAACAATCATTCCGAATCATGCAATTCTTTCGCATACATACATACATACATATATATAATATAATACTTATGTATGTATAATACATATGTATGTATGTATGTATTTATGTAATGTATGTAATGTATATGTATGTATGTATGGATGTATGTATGTATGTATACACATACACATATTTATTTATTTATTTATTTATTACAAACTCACGTTAATGAATAAGCGAACATTTAAAAAATCCGTTTATCACAATGATACTTATATTTTAACTTTCTCCTGTGTATTATATACGTGTTGATCCGTTTGAAGCTAGTAAAACTACCGATGCGAAAACAGCCCGACACAAATAACATTTTATTACAAAAAATGATCACATCTCACGTATGCCTAATTGTACTTCTCGAAAATATAATTATATTTCTCATAAAAAATAAAAAATATCGTTATCGATAATTCACCTCCTATTTATTCACATAAAAGACATAATTAAGCAAAAATAAATTCACAGAAAAATTGTACCTTCTGTAGTCTAAATTGTACCATCAGTACAATTCTATAAATTTGATTATAAAAGAAATAATAGGACAATTACAAAGCTCTACGCCTGCGCAAAGTGCATTTCCGGATGACATTCTTGTAAGTTGTAACAAAATAGTGGTAATTTGTAATTGTCCTATTATTTCTTTTAGAAACAAATTTATAGAATTGTACTGATGGTACAATTTAGACTACAGAAAGTACAATTTTTCTGTGAATTTATTTTTGCTTAATTATGTCTTTTATGTGAATAAATAGGAGGTGAAGTATCGATAACGATATTTTTTATTTTTTATGAGAAATATAATGGTACAATAACAAATAATTATATTTTCGAGAAGTATAATTAGGCATACGTGAGATGTGATCATTTTTTGTAATAAAATGTTATTTGTGTCGGGCTGTTTTCGCATCGGTGTAAAACTTTTTATAGCAGCTGATCTGTAAGCAGCTTATCTCAAAATACGCGCGAGAAGCGTGAACTTATCAACTACGAATAGTGTACAATTCTCGTCTGCTAAAGATGGTGGGAAATCAGGTAAAATATGAGGTAATCTCGCACGATTCTGCGCATTGTAGCTGAAAACCTAGCCGCTCGCCACGAGGACGAGCCAGAGGCTAGAGCCAAACGGGCAGCCTTGATTTCTTACAGGCATGTCGGTGTAATCGAAAGAGATCGCCGAAAATTCATTTCGCGATTTTCATTCTTTAAGTCATTGATATATAATCAATATCAACCGTAGAAATGGCCGAACCAGTAGGTGAAAAATTGTCAAAAAAGTGAGTAATCATCGTGGTGCTTTCACGTTAGAACTTACTTGACTATCTAAAGATAACCTACAGCACACTGTGCATGTTCAAGAACATTTCCTTTCTATACTACAGTATTTTTCGATCTTTGTTTAATAAATTAACGGTTTTTGTACCGCCTTGTCGGTAGTGCTATAATTGCGATAATTGTGCAGTAAGCAACGAACGATGTTTGGCATTATCGAAAGAAGCTTGTTAAGAAGTCAAGCTGCTCTGCCGGCTAGCCTACTATACTTATGTGATGAAACACGTTACAACTTGCGTCATATTTCCATCTGCCAACCTTTGTCCAAACCGTGCGTAAATTTGTTTTTTAAAAACGGCACATTCATATAGATCGCTTACAACCTTAAGCGTATCACCCTGATGTACGAGCGAACGTGTTATCAGCTGCTGACTTTGTACATTTGATTACTGCTCGTTATAATTAGAAATTAGATACTTGTAATATTATGTCTTTTATATTCTAGTCTTATAATCATTTATTATAGCAAGTAATTTAAAACAAAAAAGTATGCTCATCTGAATGTTTTACCACTTCCATTGTTGTCAGATGGATGTACGCTTTATGGTCATTTTAATTTCTTTTTAAGTTTATCATTTTTATAATTACAATGGAAAAAGATTAAATTTACTGTTTTGCAGAATGAATGATGTTGAATCTAATAAATAATTATAACAAAAATATTAATTTTTCATAGTAATATGAATTGAAATTTTTATTCAATAATTTTTAATAATACCAAATTTTCTATTTCAGTGAATTGAAGAGGCATATAAAAACAGAGAAAAAGTTGAAACAGAAAATAGAAATAGATTTGAAAAAGAAAGAGGGAGTGAAAGTGTCCAATAAAGGAATAACACAAGCCAGTCAAAATCAGATTTCAGAAGAGAATATTAGCCCGAATGTAAATTTATTGTACCAAATGTTAGTTTTTTATTGATTGAGAAAGGGCTAACATTTTAAATTTAATTTTTGTTCTAGGAATATTTCAAACTTCGAGGGCAAGCCATTCAGAAGCTTAAAGCTACACCAGAGGAACATCCATATCCACATAAATTTCATGTGTCCATATCATTGCAGGAATTCATTGAAAAGTATAGGAATACAATAACTGATGGAGAAATGTTGGAGAGTGAAACCTGTAGTATTGCTGGTCGAATACATTCAATCAGATCAGCAGGTGCTAAGTTAATATTCTATGACCTTCGAGGAGAAGGTGTAAAAGTTCAAGTGATGGCCAATGCAAGATTTTATTATGATGAAAGCAAATTTGAGCCAGATAACTCAAAAATTGGTAGAGGTGATATTATTGGTATTGTTGGCTTTCCTTGTAAAAGTAAGAAAGGAGAATTTTCAATTATGCCTAAAAGTATAAAACTTCTGAGCCCTTGTTTGCACATGCTTCCTCATTTACATTTTGGATTGAAAGATAAAGTAAAATTTTAGTAAAAGATTATTAATAATTAATGTAGACAATGTGTACAGCATACTTATTTTTAAAATTGACTTTAGGAAACAAGGTTCCGTCAACGTTATTTAGATCTGATCATTAACAATCACGTCAGACAAAAGTTTTACATTAGAGCGCAAATTATTTCTTACATACGTAAATTTTTGGATGAACTGGGTTTCTTGGAAATTGAAACACCAATGATGAACATGATTGCTGGTGGTGCAACAGCAAAACCTTTTATCACGCATCACAACGATCTCAAACTGGATTTGTACATGAGGATTGCACCAGAACTTTACCACAAAGTAAACATGATAGTTTCAAAACTATATACATTTTCTAATATAACTAAAGATAGTTATATTAATTTAATCTTTAATTATCTTAATTTTAAATTTAATTTAACTCAACTTTTTTTACAGATGTTAGTGGTAGGAGGAATTGATAGAGTTTACGAAATCGGAAGACAGTTCAGGAATGAAGGTATCGACATGACTCACAATCCTGAATTCACCACTTGTGAATTTTACATGGCCTATGCGGATTACAATGATTTGATGGCTATTACTGAGGATATGATTTCGGGCATGGTTAAGTTAACACATGGTACTTATAAAGTAATCTACCATCCAGACGGTGAAGAAGGTGAAGCAGTAGAAATAGATTTTACTCCGCCATTTAAGCGAATATCAATGTTGAAAAGTCTTGAGGAACTTCTGAACGTTAATTTTCCTAAGGCTTCCGAATTAAATACTCCAGAGGCTAATAAATTCCTCAGTGATCTTTGTATAAAGCATGAGGTTGAATGTCCAGCACCAAGGACCACTGCTAGATTACTAGATAAAGTATGTAAATATTAACAGTTTAAAAATTGAATTTATAAATAGATAGTTATTAATTAGTTACTAATTCTAAGTTATAATTTTAGCTGGTCGGCGAGTTCATTGAAGAAAAGTGTATAAATCCAACATTCATTTTGGATCATCCACAAATTATGTCTCCGCTTGCTAAATACCACCGTTCTGCGGAGGGTCTCACGGAACGATTTGAACTTTTTGTCATGAAAAAAGAAATTTGTAATGCATACACGGAGTTGAATGATCCGTTTGTACAAAGGGAAAGGTACGTAATATTTTTGCGAATTGCATTTGATATTTTTGAGAATGAGTAATTCTCATTTTTTGAAAAAGAACATTTTTATATAACTGAAAATGTATGTTTCTAGATTTGAGCAACAGGCAAAAGATAAGGCTGCTGGTGATGATGAAGCACAATTAGTTGACGATAATTTCTGTACATCTTTAGAATATGGTTTGCCGCCTACTGCAGGTTGGGGTCTCGGAATTGATCGTCTAACTATGTTCCTCACTGACTCTAATAATATTAAAGTTAGTTTGAATTAGAATCATATTTATAATTCAAAAATATCTGTAAACTAAAACTTATTTAATTTACTCACAGGAGGTACTGTTCTTCCCGGCTATGAAGCCTGATGATCCAAACAGAAATAAAGACGGTATACAAGAGACTATAGGAGCTGTTGATAATACAGCAAAATAAATTTTGGAAAAAGAATTTTCGTTAAAAGTTTATTAATAAACATAATTTATCGTAACATTGTTTTATATTCTTCTACCTAGATAATCGTGTTACAATAAACATAGACTTGAATGAATTTATAATTTAATTACAGATATAAATTAAAATATATCTTATATAAATTATTTTTCATGATTCATGTACATTTGACATTTTATAAGATTTTTTAACGTTATTGATATATAATAAATCTTTAACACAACAAAATTTACTCTAAAATGATCTTCTCATAACATAAAGCATAATAAAACACAATCCTTTACAACTTTAGTAATCACAAAAAAATTTGAACAATTTCAACCGTGTAATAAGCTAACTATAATTTATTTTAATTTGAATCAATTTAACAGTTAGATCAGCTGTCTTCTAAATTTGCTATATATTTTGTTACAGAATTATAATGTGCTCCAAGTTGGTACATATGCCGATGATATGTTAGAATAAGTTTTCTTGTCTGTTCATATTCTTCACCTACTATGTAAGGAACACCACTAGCTTGAATAACTTCAATAGGACATTGGAGAACATTTGCTAGTACCTGCAGCTGTAATAAGAAAATTTAATTAAACATAAAATACTAATATACCGTTGCATGTTGAATAAATATTCTCACTTCAACTGCTCCACCCCAAGCACTTGTTTCTCCAACTGAATCACAGTATTTTTCATACTGTTCAATTGACATAATATCATCTGAATCTGGATTATCTATAAATGACAGAAAATTATCACTATGCTCTCTTAGATATTTGGCAGTTTGTTTCCTAAGATCAATAAAGTTCAGGGAAGGTGTGTTTCCTATTAATTTCAATTGATGTGCAACAGCATTGTATAGGCTAAAAAAAATAATATTCATTAACATTGATGCTTAATTAAACATTCTTTGATAGCACTGCTCTAAATTATACCAATGTCCATCACTTGGAATTTCATAAATCATCAAATCCCTTTTTGATAAAATATTATTAATTGCTTGTGCTTCAACATTTCTTTTGCCATAAACATTTAGAGCTTCCTGTTCAATGATTTTTTGATTTCTTTCCTTTTCTGCAATTTCTTTCTTTTCTCGCCTCTTTTGTGCTTTGGAAACTTTAACTGTTGACTTTGAATCTTGATTGTTTTTGTAATGAGATGATTCACTATCACCATTGGTAATTTGATCTTCAACTTTGACACAAGTAGTTTTATCAATATTCATTTGAGATAATTTGAATCTTGCAATCTCTTCGTCCTGTTTCTTGTCTAGGTCCGTCTCTAGTCTAACAATCTCTTCAGTGATTTCTTTCTTTTTTTTTTTATCCCCTTTACAAACAGACTTTTTTAAAATTTGTATCCTTGCTAGAATAAACAATAGATAGAATAGTGTTATTAATATTTGCTATAGCAATTTGTAAATTAAGTAAAAAAAATATATGAATGCCTTGTAATTCTTTTCTCTCTTTCTTGTGGAGAATAATTAAATCTTGCTCCTCGACTAATATTTGTTCTCTTTCGTCAGACATTCCGAATTACAAAAATTATTTCACTCTCTTACACTGATTACAAACAAAACAAGTATGTGTTTTAGAGGTTATAAAATGGCTATAGCTATAGTTTATAGTAATGACCAACCAGTGCACGGTTGTGCACGTTATCAAAGAGCTCTTTCAAACCTATACGGTACGTCACGGACTTCAAGTCAACTGAATAAAACTACGCATAATTTTATTTAGTATGAACAATAATTCTAATTATTAGAAATTTGTATATATATATATTTGTATATTTATATTACATATGGATTTATAGATGTATGTACCATATAGATGTTTCAATGTATTTATTAAAGTAAATGACAACGCAATTTTATTTGGAGTTAATTTAAAAATAAATTATCAAAATACTTGTTTATAACTAACTATTGAACTTATATATCAAATAGCATAGCGTGAAAATCCCGAAAAAGTTATAATTGAAATAAAATATGCAAAATTCATGTAAGTTTTTGCTATAATTCGAAATTGTTCTCTATAGAATTTGTTGAATACAGTGACATTTTTGTAGGGAGGTTTTCAATAAAGTAGAGTCCAAATAAATAAATTTAAGGCACTTTATTTGAGATTAGAAAGAGATCGATGTTTCTCTATACGGAAGCAGTTGTAACTTTGTAGCGAACCGACGTCGCGTGTTATGCATATATATGAGTCAAATTACATACACACCGTGTAAGGAATGCAAATTAAATTAGAAATAAGACACGTAAGTTTAAATCGAGGTTTCATACAAGCGTATTTATAAGTTGGCATATTTTCGTGAAATGAAAATGGTTATTTAAAAGGGAGAATTTCACGAACTTCGACAGAAAAAATACAGTTTTAGGAAAAGCCTAAAAGGAGGAATCTATTATATTTCGAGTGCTGGCCAAGGTCTGGACAACAGATGTATTTTATGAGCACTTAAATGCCTCCGCCGACTCGATAGAAAACCCAAAATTTTAAAAACGGTAAATCTCAATAGCTCTTCCAGTTACGCTTGAACTCTTTTATTGTCACTTACGTCGACGGACCCAAGCCGTACCCTTCCTTAATTGCTTTCCTCGTGGAGGCCCGGACCTGGATTTATCCTTTTAGGGCTGGCGGGCAAAGAGGAGCTTGGGAGGAAAGCGAAGGAGCCTAAAGCAGCAACGGCCATTCGTAGAAAGAGGCTAGTTTCTCAGTTGTTTGCACTATTTATCCTATTGATCGTTATAAAAAAAATATTTTACTATTTTATAAACCTGTAGTATTTTACTTTCACTATTCATCCATTCCGCGTCGCCCTACCTAAATTTAACACTGCTATTATGATGTTTTACTCATAAACACAAAACTATAAAACGCTATGCGAATAAACTACAGCCATCTAAAATCCTGGGTCAAATCGACTTAGCCCGCTTCGAGATCACTTCTTAACAGCCTTTCAAAAAAAAAACTACTTTTAATATTAATAAATTATATGAGCCGCGCGTGTGAAGATATTCTGATTTAAACTATAATAAATGCAATTGGAAAAGAAAAAATAATTAAACTAAAATACTTCCCAAAATTCCGATCACACTAATAATATATTTTATTTCGAACAATCAGGTTTAATTTTTTATTCTTATATATATATATATTTTTTAATATATATATATATATATATATATATATATATATATATATATATATATATATATTTATATTAAACTTGTATACTTAAATCATTGATCAAATTACATTATTCATTTATTATAGACTCCTTCTATATTATATATTTGACTAGATATATTATGTAAGTCCAATATTGAGATTTAGAATTTTTCACAGAATTAGTGTATAAGAAATATAAAATTAGTTTTATGCATTTCAATAGATTGTCGATATCGTAATTCTTTTTTATAAGGCTCTGATAAAGTCTAAAATAATGAAAGTTGTTAATTAAAAAATTATTACTTCTGGCTTAAAATCTTTTCGGATTAATCATATACAGGATAAAACCGAAGATTTCTGAAATCTATATGATCATAAAAATTACAGAAACTACTTAGCTTTTATCAGTTTGAATTGTTTTATTAAAGATTTTTCTGTTCGTAAAAGGGGGTAGGAATGGAAGTTACTGCATAAAAATTATTGTTAGAAAACATTAAACATTTTAGACGGTAAATATATAACGACTATCAATACTATTGAAACTTTTAGCTTATAATTTTCTGAATATATGTTATGTACGTCATCTTTAGATAGATTTTATTACTTTTGAAAGTTCGGAAGAAAACTATAGAAGAAAATAGTTAAATTAGATTAAGAAATATTGTATTTGAAAAAGAGTAATAAAAGTAATGTTAAATGCATTGAAATAATAGCATCATCCATGCCTGTTATTAGAAATATCGGAAATAAAATTCCGTCGATGAATGATTGTACTGGACCAAATAGACGAAGAAGCAAAAGATACTTATGTAATTTGAAAACAATTTAAGATACTTATGTAGAGAGAGAGAGAGAGAGAGAGATGCCGCTAGAGGGTCATAAAATTCTGATATTCTTTCTAGAGATAAAGTTCTGGTACAACACATGACAACCTCACATAAATTATGTAATAGTTTATAGGAGTCAAGTTTTTCAAATAAAGAAAATTATTCGTGGTTCGTTCAATAATTCTAAAGTTATAGAACAACCCGTAGTTCTTTGGACCATGCACTCTCAACCATCAATTTCATCAGTCGCAAGTATTAGTACATTACGATATAAGTGCGGGAAAAGAGTTTCTCGTCTCCATGTACCTTTCTGTAAACGCCTCACGAGACAAGAATCTACTTTCCCGCACTTGTACCGTAATGTATTATTTCATCTACCACTACTTCCTCAACACCTAAACTATTACTTTAAAGAATAGAACATCAAAAGTTATAGCTTCTCACATCGACAGTCACTTCTTTGAAACTAAAAATAAATGTGGAGACCAATTGAACGCTAATAGATTCGATATATGTTTGCGTATCAACGGTGGTTGATTGACTTGGTTAAAAGTTTACTACAGTTATATCTGTGTATTTATTTGATTATTGTGTATTGAGTAAGAAATACTGTTTATAATAAAAATGTTTCATTTACTGGGATTTCATATATTTATTTATTTGCAGCACCACAACAATTACTAATAATAACTAATTTAAATATTTATCTGAATAAAGAAAAATGAATGATACACTTATATTTCAAGAATGATTAAGAGAAAAAAGTTTTTAGGAAAATAACTTTGTAATAAAAACAAGATTTTTTAATTTGATACTTATTTTTATCAATACCTATCACATGATTAAAAATATGCAATAAATTTAGTGAACAATACCCTAATTATTTGTCATAGTACTCCATATTCCAATATACATAATTAAAAATAAATATAAGACGACATACGAAATTTTGACATAACAAATTGTAAAATGCCCATTTAAATTTAGAGAATTTAATTTAAGTTACATAAAAACTTTTATTAGCTAATATGTTATTAATAAAAAATGTGATACTACTTAAAATACTTAACATTGTGATTAAAGTTTCATTCACTTTTTAAATAATATAGTAGTATAGTAATACAAATATTCAATGTGTTCCATCATGCATTAACTTATAAACTAGAAAGAATTAAATTTAGTAAATAACACAAAAATGTAAAAATAGCATTGTAAATCTACTAACCATCAATAAAATATAAATATATTCAATTGATATTCTTACTTTACTTAATGTACAGATTCAGTTAGTTGACTGGACCTGATTACAACTAGTTTTTGGTCTAATAATGATGTTTTGTCAAAATTAATTTCCACTTGCTGTGACTGTTTTGCAGATCTAAAATAAACATAACAATATCGTTTAGCAGTTTTTGGCTCTACCATTATATTAGTGATGGCCAAAGGCTTATAACGATCAAGCAAATACAGAATATAAGATGCACCAAAAAGGGGATGAATATTTGCTACTACCACTTCATGGGCAGGTATGATTTTCTTTATTGAATTGCTTATTGTCGATGTTCTCCCATTTGTTGTCGTAAGTTCAGGAACTTCATCTTCTATACTTTGTTGTTCCTCTACCATTACTTTCTTAGTACGGTCAACTAATTCTGGTAGTCCATCATAATTTTCTTCACAATTGTTTCGTCCTTGAACAAGATGATCTTGTTTTTTATTCCTTGTTGCACCTTTTGGTCCCCATGGTAGATCATTCTTACGATTGTTAAAATTACCATGATATTCATTTTCATTGAAATTTCCTGATTTATCATTTTTATTGTTTGCTTGTTTACGAAATTGTTGGAATAATTTTGTTCCATCACATTCTTTTCTTCCTTGACCATTATTTTGGTTTTTCTCAGTGGTACGACAATCTTTTTGTTTGCTATTATGTTTTGACAGTTTAATCTTTGGATGATATCTTAAATCGTCAACAGTTCTTTTAGCTTCATCCCAGAATTTGTATTTGATAAACCAATAACCTGTGTTGTCTCCAGCAAGCCGTATTTTATAAACATGTCCACATTGTGAAAATATCTCATTGATTTCTTCTCTTTCGAGAGCATATTGATTTTTAAATAAGACACAGTAACATTCGTCTATATTGTCATATTTAATTAGAGCGTTATAATCTCCCATGGTTAAAATATTTATCCTGTAATAGAATACTTTAAATCAGAAATATGGCCTTAAATTTTTTTTAATTAATAATTTCCGAACACTTATTTTATGTCATGATCAGGATATTGTACTATTCCATTTGAATTTATAACATGTAATAAATAGAATTGAATAAAACTTATCGACCCTCTAACCTTGTAAATTAGTAACAATTTCAAATTTGTATGAATTTATTAATTCAAGAACATTATTACCGACTATCCTTAATTTATTAATCGTCAAAATATTTAATTAAATAAATAAAACCTTAAACTTTGTTTTATTTTCTTTTTTATGTATTATCAGCACTGTAACTTCCTCGCTTTAAAAATTAACCCGAAAAATCGTTTAGAAAATTGAAAAACTCACTGTATAAAAAGACCACCTTCCTCGGACTCCAATAACAAAGCGATTCCAAGAGAACAGATATTGTCAAGTGTTCAAAAAGCCGCAAGCGTTTCCACGCGGTAGCTTTGTCAGACTGCCTGATCTATAAGTAGTAGAGCACTGAAAGTGAGCAGTCAGCACAGTAGATATTTCTCACGACTGTATTCTGAAATCTGACCATTGGATTGAAAGACTCAAAAGAAGTGACCAATCGGTAAACTGAGTGGAGTCGTTTTCTCTGAACTAAGTATTGTTGACAGTAAGTAAGGTAATATGACACTAGCGCTTGCACTGAGATTTCCTTAAAATTTGTAAACATCAACACCGTGCCACTGTCACTTTTCAATAGCTGAACAATAACATAATTGATTCATTATTTATCCAATCATTTGCATTTTAATACAATTTAAAAAAATAAAAAGATATATTTAGCATTATTTTTTCCTGTTCAATGTATATCCCTTTCATTGTAGAAAAAGCTTGATGTCCGCGGCTCTTGCGGTGTAAAAAGAGATAGACAATATGAGAAGGCGTCTCGAGCATAGATTGGCTTGGTCGTCGATGGCCGCCGTGGAGCATGCGCCCAACGAATATTCCGTGAGAACGAGGAGAAAAAGAGAGAAAGAGAGAGAGAGAGGATAGCCAGAGCGTCGTCTCGAAGACGACAAGGACGCAGTAGCCTCGGTGTGCGTTGTTGCGAGTGAGAAGGATACAGTCTGTCTGGCAAGCAGGCAGAAGCAGCCAGCAGAGAGTGAGTGTCGCGAATACGACACGGGCGACAGCGAACAGACTGCACAGAGAGGTTGCCGAGGGTAGCTGAAAGCTGGAACTTGCGGGTGCTGCTTCGCTGTCGCGCGCGCGTCCCCGTATAATAGTGTTCACGTCGACGGCCTTGAATCTCCTTAACTACAAGTATACGTAAAAAAAGAATAAAAGCGAACCGAGTCAAGCGTACGACAATCGTGAGTGTGCGCGAGTGTAAGAGATACCGTGGTAGTAGTAGCAGCAACACAAGTCTCTCTCAAGCCGCCGCCGCCGTCGCAGCCGCGAGATAAGCGAATGTAGCTGTCTACGGTGCAGCAGCAGCAGCAGCAGCAGCAGCAGCAGCAGCAGCAGCGACGGACAAAGAACGATAGCAGTAGCAGCAGAGCAGCAGTTATAGTATAACCTCAAAGCAGAGCACGAGCGAGTGTTGTTTGATTGTTCGAGTTCAGTTGATGGATGAGACTGGCAGGATGCTGCAGCACGGTGGATCGAACGTTGGTCTGATGGCCGGCAGTCAGGGCCAAGGTGGCCAGAATCAGCAGGGTTACGGCGGTATGGGTTCCGTTGACGGATCCGCAGCTCAGCCGCCCGATCAAGCGGTCGAAGCTAGGAAACAGGATATCGGAGATATTCTACAACAGATCATGAACATCACCGATCAAAGCCTCGACGAGGCTCAGGCGAGGTACGTGCGCGTGGATTCTTCTCTGCTACATATGTATACACACATACGCGCAAATACATACTCGTTCACGCATTGGAGAATGCGACGGTCAATCGGTGAAAGAGATGCTCGATGTGATTCTCACGGCGGTGCATATATAAGTTTCGTGTATACAAGTGTGTGTAAATGTTTTGGAGCGATTGACTCCGATTCGGTGTTTATTTCGGAGTTGGGCGTTTATTTAAATTTCAATTTTTAAGTGTGCCTGTGTTGTTGTTTCTATCCCTCAAACGTCATTGCAGTGAATGTTAAGTGTCATAGTACCGATTAGAAATATACGTCGCGAGGGGGGATGTTCATACGCGTATACTTACGTACAGCTGCAGTCAATTACAAACAAAAGCAGAAAGCCAATCTAACATAAATGGTTTTGATTGTTGCAGAAAGCACACGCTCAACTGTCACAGGATGAAGCCGGCTTTGTTCTCAGTGCTGTGCGAGATCAAGGAGAAGACTGGTAAATAACGAATATCTCACAACTATTTTTATCAGTCTCCAATTTTATTTTATACAATGCCTTTTCAAGTGGGCATTATCGAAAATTGCTTGATAAGCCTTATCGCGATTGAAGAGCGACACGAAATCTCGAGTGTCCTCTTCTCACGGGCAACGCGTGTCGTCAGTTGTTAGGCAGGTAGGCTAGGTCCAGGTAAAAACTAAAAATTTTCACCTGCTGCTGCCCAGTTGAAAAATTTTTACGCCTCGTCATTTCGACACTCGTAAATGTAATTTTAACGCTTCCGTGGTCGAGCGATGCGCAATTACACGCGCACGTAGCGAAGAAAGAGGGCGGGCGGGGGGGGGGGGGGGGGGCTAGCACCACCGCGCCCCACATCGCTCCCTTCGCTCGCTGCTTTGTTGTATCGGGAAATAAAGGAGTTTCCTCGGAGGGGCCATTCGTCGTGTAGTCGACACCTACGCACGTCGCGCTAGCGCACACCAAGATAGAGCGTCTTTTTCGAGATGATCTAAATCGAGAAACTCCGCTGCCTGGCCGCTTGCTCGCTCCGTTACGAAAACGCTTTGGCGGAATGGAGAATTTTAACTCGCTGTCGAGTGTCGAGGGTCAGATAGTCGACATCGGCGATGGGCTTTATGAGCGCCGTGAAAAAGTAGTAAAATACCTAGCTCCGGCGCGGCAAGTACCATGCCGAGCGGATCGTTTTATCGGTCGCTTTGTATAATCAGCGCGAAGAAACTTTGCAGGCAAGCATCGTTTGAGCTTCGCCTGGCGTTGACGGTCGCTTTGGCTAGGTCCGTCGTCGTCGGCGCGAACCCCGTTCCGTGGTCTTCGGAGAGCCAGCCGATCGAGATGCGAACTGAGCTGGGAGCGCGCGGCATATCGGATAGACCCGCGGTGCTCATCCCGGTTGTGAAAAACAAAGCGAAAGGGAATGAATGCCGACGCGTGAGGTATATACGCCAAGCGTCAACGGTGCGAACTCTGCAGCGCGTGGCAGGCCTATTGCAAATGCACCGGCCACCGTTCTAAGCTCGTGAAAAACATGCCATGACGCACTATTTTGGCGCGCGCGGTAATAAGGTGGTGCTCGCTCTTTTACATTTTGCGAACGAACGTTGAGCAATTACGTTCGATGTACAATAAATTGTTTCCAAGCCAGAAGCGCAGAAAAGGGGAATCGCCCCACGCGAGCAGGCGACGAAGGAAAAGGAAAGAGAAAAAGCTAACTCCTAATAACGCGTATATATCTATCTTGGTGGTATAACTAACGCTGTTGAGGGTAGACTCGAGTCGTATCTCTCTGGACCATGGGATCCCTGGCTCTCTTTCTCGCGGCGGCGCATCGCTCCCGCGGGAAAGCAGCTTTTCCGAATGCCGCCTAATCCTCCCCAAGGCTCTCTCTCCCTCTCTCTAGATGGCAGCGGTAGTGGGTGGCGAAACCCGAAAAGTCTAATAAGTTAGTCGCTCGTCTGTGCGTATGTGATTTTTCTAGAGCACAATGCCAATGGTATGCTAATGCCGTTACGTAGACTTGGAGAGATGAGATCCAGATACAGTGGTACGATATGAGCGATCCTCTACCTACGAGAGGAATGTAAAAGTGAGTTTCGGAAATAAGAACGTGCCGATTGCGGGCACTCGCTCCGATACATCAGTCGACAGTTTGCGAGATTAGGTTCGTTAAACCCGCGGCAACGTAAAACCGTCGCCGTCGTTGTCGCCGTCGTCGTCGTCGTCGTCGTCGTTGAGTTTCAAAAATACACCAAGTGATTCAGCCGCGTGACACTGTGTGGCGAGCGCGAGAAAAGCGTCGTTGGCAGACGTTTGGATTTCCCTCGTTAGCGCAGCGATGCGCAGACAATCGAAAAGGTCGCTTGGCCGTCGGCCGAAAAGCCAACGGGGGGGAACGAAAGAAATCTAATCGCGTCGAAGAATCTTATTCAGCGGCTGCGGCGGCGGCGGGCGGCCAGAGTCAACGTTCGGCGCATAAGATCGCGGCATGCAGATGGGCAAAGCGGCGAGCAGCAGTCAAGGTGAACGAGCTGAAAACGCAGTTCTTTCCCCTCCACCTGAACCGAAGATCTCTGGCTCGCGAGCTAACGAGCTGCAAGAGCGAGCGAACGAGTGAACGAGAGAGAGAGAGTGAAAGAGGGAGGGAGGGACGCTCTCGGGGAGGGATCGAAAGCTGGCGCGAATCGATGCGCGCAGCATTCCTTTTGTCCCACATATATGCGGGCGATATGCTCACGAACGAAAGAGAGAGAGAGAGAGAGAGAGAGAGAGAGAGAGAGAGAGAGAGAGAGAGACCAGAACAACAGCGCAGATTTTGTTCTCTCCCTTTTAGCCTTTCGCATACACGTGCAGAGAAGTCCTTTTGCAACGCTCCGGCCGTTCAGCCATGGAGAACGGACTTTTATTTAAAGAACGATTTTTCTTTTATTTAAACTTGTAATTGCAGGGCGAGACGCTGGGTGCCAAGGGTGACGAATTTTAAATCTGCAAAATCAAATTTCGAATAAAGGTTTGCGCATCCGATGAAGATTATACGCGAGGGACGCTACGGTTTAATTTTGTAACGTTGAGTGGAAATTAATGCAGGGTAGTTTGAACGATGCTTTAGGCTTGGAGGTTTATTTAATAGAACTCCAATACGGCGTCCTCAAATAACAATACCTTCATTCGTTGGAAATTCAATTGACGTTTATCGTGAAAAAAACCGCAATTATTATTCTCTCTCTTGTTTTTTTTCTTTTCGTGTAAAGCTCTTAGAAAACAAGTAGCAGTGGTAGTCAAGCGTGCAAACACCCAGTGCGCACAGTGACATCCCAAATATTTGGGGATTTCCGGGCGACTCTCAGATAAGCCATTCGGCAAATACTGTTTTTTCTGCTCTTCCACTGCTAGTCCGTTCGCGAGATCAAACCCATTGGCGAAAAAAAGGAGAAGTAGAGGGGGGGCATACCATGGCGTAAATCGCGCTAATGAATGTTCCAGCCGCGGAAAAAAGCGAAGGCAGACAGGCTAATGGCAGGGTTTTCGAGCACGCGTATGGGAATATAGCCGGTGATCGACCGATCGCGATCCAACGAAAAGTTCTATGAAAATCCAGCGTGGCGTCGTCGCGCGCATATTTATCCATCGAGCTCGCGGAGAAAAAATCGCGCGCGCGCGTTCATCCCGCCGATGAGCCGGGTAACCGTTCGATTCGACGGATACTCGAGCTCCTTGCTTTTCCAAACGAGTCCGCGAAACGCCGGCTTCTTCCCTGTCACGTCACTTAAACACGCGAAAATTGCTCCCGCGCGCGTTGCGAGGATCGATTCACAGCCGCCTGCCGCGCGATTTCGCCGCGCACACCTCGACTTTACGCGCGTGCGTGCGCTCCGATTGTCGCGCGCTCCCGATTGGGAGGCGCCTCTGGTGTGGTTTCGCGGTTCTCGTGCCTTTGGACGTCAATCGCGACGTTTCACGAATGGCAATCACTAGCTCCTACTGCGAAACCGTTCAACGGCACTCACCGACCGCGTACGCGTAGCTGTTCTCCGAAGACCACAGCAGACAGCCGAGAAGTGGCGCTCTTCTTCGTAATTTTTCGCTGGCACGCGCAGTAAAGAAGCAGACGAGTGCTCCGCGGGCAATCGCGGATCCAAGCGAGCAGGAGGCTAATTAGACTGCGTCGTTCTTTTAAAAAGTGCGTTTCGCCTCTGCGAAACCGGCCGCTACGCAGATCATCCTACCCATGTACTGGCTTCGCGTTGTTGCCCGTCTGTCGCTTTTAATCGTATGCTAATTTCATGGAGATTACGCGAGCGGAGTTGTGTTTCTTTTTTCTTTTTTTATGGTGTTTCTCTTTTTATGATTGTTATTCACTGCCATTTTAGTCGTAGGTAATCGAGTGCTGCATTATGCAGCTACAAAAGTCTTCGACGGTAAATGCAAAATGTTATATCGACTAATTGCCCGCTCATTGTGCATCTCTGTAAACTCAATAGCCTCTAAAAATACTTGCACGATCGAAGCTTCGCTGAATATCTTAAGCCGTGGTATATAAATAGTAAAAGCGAAACAGATCGGAACAAAAGCAGATTCAGAGTGACAGGTGAATGGAAGAGAGAGAGAGAGAGAGCCTATCTCGTAATGCGATTCGACCTCGCGAGCGCATCTCGTTATGCGAGCACGGCAGAGTCAACAATAGCTTCATTGTTACAGCCTCGTTGCAATTATAGCTCCTATCAAAAATACGGAAAAACAGGTGGCCACACTACTGGCATCTTTGGAAAATGGCAAGTGCACATACATACACAACACATACACAGAGGAGCATAACGGGTCGCTCGTAAAAACACCGTAAACTCGCACAGCAACAGGTCCCGTGTGTCTGGCGGTGAGAGAGAGAGAGCTTATTGGCACTCCCTCGCGAAGCACTGCTAAGATGCGGCGAGCAGTAGTGTTGCGGAGTAACGAGTATTATCCAATGTGTAATCGGCGCTGGTTATTGCACTTGCGATTAGCGACGAGCACGCGCGGGCACCCGTTCGCGCCGCTCTGGTTAACGAGGCTTCTTTTTTTTTTTTTTTTTTTTTTAATTCTCACCGATCGCTTATTATTCTCTATCGCCCGTGAGATTTTTTTACGAGCCTCGTTCGGATTGAGCTTTTATTTTCCATTTATCAGCGAGAAAAGCAAGTGGATTCATTTTTTTGACGGGGAAGGGGGGGGGGGGGGGAGAGGTTTGCTTCGGGTAAAGGGGCTTTTACGAGCATCTGAATTGGGTGCTTTATTCGCGAGATGTTCAATTATCACGTTATCGATGGGGTATAACCGGGATAGTTTGTGCGATCTGTTTTTATGACGAATGGCAACTTTGTACGACGCAATTCGCTGCGGTTAGATCAAATGTAATTGCATCTCCAGCACTTCAGAATGATTTTTGAATGACAATAATTCTTAAATCATTCGCGTCGACAATAACAATCCATTTGTCGACAGAAAAGTTGATTAGCGTGTATACAACGACCGACGGAGTAATTTCGCGAATTCAGCTGTATGCCAACTAAAATAGAAGGCTTTCTGGAAGCTCAACAAAGCGTCTAGATGCGCACAACCTTGGAAGGAAAAATGTAATCTCAAGGAAAACCAGGCAGAACAAATAGATTCGGAAAGATGACAAAAGGCAATCTCCGGAAAGGAAAAGCTGCGCGGCGATAAACTGCAAGCAAGTAACGTCAAGCTTTGCGCTGCTTGCATACATATCGAAATCAAAAACTCGGCTCGCGGGAGGTGTGCACATGTGTGTAGCGAGTACAGTATGCGTGTGGGCCCTCGCGCGGTGTTATCGTTTCTCTCTCTCTCTCTCTTTCGGTCTCTCCCTTCGTGGATTCGAATGCATAATGCAATAGCCGAGCTTTCGCCGCGGTAAAAAGAACAAGAGATCTGACGTGCATATCGAGAGGCGACCAATTTGTCCGTCACGGCCGAAAAGCGAGTAGAGTCTTGTTAGCGGCCGGATTTCCGTCGCAAGTTTCTTCTCTTGTCAACGCTCGCGTCGTCGACGTCGCGTGCCCGCAGCGAAGAAGAAGACGGCGACGACGACGACGACGACGACGACGACGACGATGTCTAAATTACGAGACAACTTTGCTGGCGCCGAAAGTGCTTGGCGCCCATAAAAGTAACGCTTCGCTTGCTTCTCTCTCGCAGCGGCGGACAAACGGAAGCTCTTGCTCTCTCGCGAGCGAGCGAACAAGCGCGCGCGCACGGATGGATTATTATTGCGCTCGCGACGGCGAAAAAAGACAAAACAAGAATCGAGCTTTTTGTGCGCGGGCTAGAACGGGGAGCGGAGGGATCGCGGCTCTCTTTGTTGTTGTTGACTGCACTGCGGCTTTTTATTGGAGGTGGCAACCACACGCACACACGGCCGCCTGATTTATATCGCGCCCTTCCCTTGTGAATGCGCAATTCGAGCGTGCAATTTTCTCTCTCTTTTTTTTTTTTCTTCGCGAACATCCGTTTTACGAAGCGTAGCGTTCCTCCCTAAGGACTTGGGCGAAGAAGAAGAAGCGATATGTTTATCGGCTGCACGAGTCGCGTCGTAAATATTACCGCCAGTACTTCACTCTTTTGAAAAAAATGCACATGGTTGGTCGTTTTCAAAAACAAAAAGCTCGCCTAGTTTTTCGTACAGGAGTTGCTGCACACGCATCGATTCCGAAAAGCGCTTTTTCGCCCCTCCCTGGGTAACAAACGGGCTTGGTGGGGAGTGAGAGCGCCGCGCAAATACGCACGCTTCCGAGAGAGAGAGAGAGAGAGAGAGAGAGGGTGGATATACGAAAGAGAGAGAGAGAGAGAGGGTGGATGTACGAAAGAGAGAGAGAGAGAGAGAGAGAAAGCCACTCGATCAATACGCCACGCTCACTCGCACACAGCCGGCGCGCGGCTCGCTATATTCGCTTTTGCTCACGTTCGGTCACCTCGCGCCGTAGACGCCGTTGCTGCCTGAAATTTTCAACGGAGTGTATTATTACATCTCCGAAAACACAATATTTTTCACGGTCGTGAGTTTTTCTTTCTTCTGCTCTTTTTCGTCGGCGCGAAAAAATGTGATCTCGCGGCATTTAGCGTTCTTTAATACACGAACCAACTCCCTACCCTCAACGAAAAAGACAACGTCGTACGTTTCCTCCGTTTTCTTGGAAAGACGGGAAAAAATTTACCGTAGACACTGTCCGCGAGCTTTTTTCGGCCGTCATTCGCTACACCTGCTCTGTATATTGAAAAAAAAAAAAAAAAAAAATAGGAATAGCCGGCGTTCAGATGGATTTTATTATTGGCTCCGACGTGAAAGCCGATTGCTTTCTCTCTCTCGTTCATTCAGCCCGCACGAGCTCTTTCTCTGGCACGACGTCGAGGAAATTTCGGCTGACGCGGACTACGTATTGTCCGCTAGATGGATACGAGCGTCGCTCGGCCGATGCGATTATCACGGCAGCACGCATGGTCCATGGCGATCGCATTGGTGTAATTTGCAAGCCAAAGCGATCCGCGGCGATATCTACGTTGTTTCACTGCCACGCGTCGGCTCTCCAGAGCAAGATCACGCCAATAGGTTGCCGTCGACCGGCTAAAGTAACGCAGCTTCACGTCGAGTCAATACGCCGCTTATATCAATCCCAGGCGCAATTCGAAAGCGATAATCGAAAAATTCCTCGGTCCTTTTCGCCACGTCGCGCTTAATTTTGCTCGCAACAGCAACAGCAAGAGCGGGGGCGGCAGCGCGTAGACAGAGTGGTAGGGTAACTCGGTCGGCTCTCCCTTTATTCCGTACGCCGCTGCGAACGGGCCATTTTCCGGCATTCCTGCCATTCTAACGCCCAAGCGTTTTCATTAGACTCCACCGCCACTCGCACTTTATAAAGGACTCTCACGAGTACTCGCAGAAATTCGCGCGTGCTTCGTGTGACCCCTCCCCCCTCCCTCTCAACCTTCTCATCCGGCAATGTAAAGTTACGCACTTTTAAGGAGCTTTGGAATTTGCAGACAGCCGAGAGGGGGGAGGGGACGAACGAATGAAATCGTCGTTCGCTTATTTATAATCATTCTTTGCTCTTGTAGCCTTAGCATAAAATCGGTGATCATTGCAGATGTATAGAGTGTATCCGACACGTGGTCATAAGTGCATCCGTTCATAACGCGCAACAGCCACGTACAGACAAAATACACTCGCGAACAATCACTTTTGGCTGCCACTGCTGGGACGACGTTTACGACGTGTTTTACGCGATCAAAACCGTCCCCCGTAACAATTATTGGTCTATTTAGCGCTCGTAAAAATTTTATACCCTACAGACCGCGTGTGTATGTATGTGTGTGTGTGTGTGCGTATATATATATATATATATATATATATATATATATATATATATATATATATATATATATATGCGCGCGTGTGTGCGTGTGTGTTTCGCAAGCCACTCAGTCAACTTGGCGTCGTCCGCTGGAAAACAAAAATTCGGCGAAAGCAATAGCGTCGCGTGGGTCGGAAAAAAAGCAGCAGAAGAATAGGCGGGCGCAATATGTTGCCCGGCGAGTTTATATGGCACCCGACAAACATTAAAAATTACGCGTACCCGGTGCAGCGGCAAGTTGCAGTCGTTGCGAGCAGCCGGCGCGGCAGCGGCATCGGCCCTCTCAACTTGTCCTGTGATTTACGACGCTACCAAGATTAAACGCGAAACTCCGTTTCTCGCGCGCGCACGAGTCTCCTGCCCTCGCCCGTTATTGGATTTTTCGGGCTCTTCGGGAGAGGCAGAGAGGCGCGATAAGTGGATTTTCATGATTCGTCTGTGTGCGCGCGCGATGGATTAAAGCCGGCTCTCCATCGACGGGGCATTTTGACGTGGAATCAACGGACACGGACGCGTCGCTCGCGGTATTTGATGCTCGCCCGCGAGGGTATTGCACTGCAGCGCGACAAGTAGGCGTACGGAATGTCGGCGGATGCTCTTCGCGGCGGAGATGGTCTTTAGGCTCGCAGAGGTTCTCGAGAAGTGCCGTATTCCTCGAAGCCGTTTCTCTTGCTCGGCGTGTTCGTACAATCAACGAATCGTCCGTTGGAAAAAGAAAAAGCGTGATGCGTGTGCGGTGGGCACACGACGCGAGGCGCATAGCGAGGCCGCAATGACAATGGGGCGGTTGTTCGCGCGCGAGCATCATCGTCGGCTGCTTTTCATGAATTCACGCCGCTGCGGGCGTGGGGCGGCGCCCGCGATCGTAAAAGCTTAACTGCCAGTAAACTCAGCTTTACGCGCTTGTAAGGATCTCCCCATACTCGAACGGCCGAACTCTCTCTCTCTCTCTCTCTCTCTCTCTCTCTCTCTCTCTCTCTCTCTCTCTCTCTCTCTCTCGCTCTCGCTCTCTTTCGTTCGTTGCAGCTGTTTTAATTGTCGTGTGCAAAAAGTTATAGACGCAAGCTCTCTGTTTATGGGAGCTCTATCGCCCCCCACCCCCGTAAAAAAAGCTCGCGATAAAAGAGCTGGCCACGACGGGAGAGGGAAATTGATTCCTTTACGATCGGTAAATGTCCTTTATACGCGCTCGTATATTCGGAGCTTTTATACGATGCTGCTGCTGTGGCTGATAGTGGGACGAACTTTAGCGCGCGCGAGAGAGAAAGGCAGTGCTACTTTTATTACGAGACCGATCGTGATCTACTCGCTAATTTACATTGCAGCCCGTTTGCAGACAAGCGCCACATTTACGACTCTCTCTCTCTCTCTACGGTTTGTCATTCGTTATTTAAGAATTGGGTTTTTTTGCAGTGCTGTCGCTGAGAAACACGCAGGAAGAGGAGCCACCGGATCCGCAACTGATGAGGCTGGATAATATGCTGATTGCCGAGGGTGTCGCTGGCCCGGAGAAGGGCGGCGGCGCCGGTGCCGCCGCGTCGGCATCGGCTGCGGCCGCCGCTGGGCCAACTGGACAACCTGACAATGCCATCGAGCACTCGGACTATCGCGCCAAGCTCGCTCAGATCCGGCAGATCTATCATCAGGAGCTCGAGAAATACGAGCAGGTAGAAGACAACGCCTGCAAAATTACTGGGACGCGCACGATCGCGAGCTTGTGCGCAAACGCTTTCCGACGCTCTTTTCTTTTCGCGCGGCTGCGATTAAAGCTCGATAGTTGGCTCTCGTCCTTTGGCGCGAATTCAATATTACGTTGCTGCGCCTCGAATTCCGAGAACGTCGATGCGTACGATCGGATTGTATGCTAAATGGCGCGAATGCCCCGCGATGCGATCGTAATTTTCGTCATTTTGTTTTTCTGTTCTTTGCGACTGCGGAGGTAAGCACGAGAATATATCCAAATATATGCGAAAATCAGTCGAATTATTAATTGCTTCCGTGCGCGCGGAAAGTTCGAGCTGCGCGGGCGAAAAATGCATTACGCGAGATGGCGCGTTCCTTAAAAATGCATAAACTCGGTACTCTTGAAACAAAGCCACACGGTCGCCATAAACAACAGCTTCTCTGAATAAATTTTTCATTCCGTTCTGTCTCCTCTCTCTAACTTTTACTTTATTTTTTTGTCGAAAAGCAAAATAAAGATGGAGTCAGTCGAAATAACCCGCAGGCAGCAACCGGGAACGGAAGGAGAGCTGATCCACCAACTTCCACCCCCTTCCCAGTCTCCTCGTTGCTACATTCAACTTGGGGGAGAGAGAATCCATTCCGAAATTGCAAAGTCCTTCCTCCCACCACCCCCCTCTTGCCAGGCGAGCGAACGCTCGAATACTGATATCGAGCAAAGTCCTACCCTTAAAACCGGCAGCCACTGGCGAATAATGCATTATTCTCTCGAGCCACGTTCTTCTCCTGGCTTGCTCTTTTGCTGCTCCACGCAATTTCCAGCTTCCCTTCCAGCTCCTCCCTCCCTCCCTCCGAACGCTCCAAGCGCAAGCTTTTATTTACCTAATGCTCAGACTTTTCGAATGGACTGCGACTAACTTTCTTCTTTTTTTCTTTTACTTGTCTGAGAATTTTTCGGGAACTGAGCGAAGATATTTTTCTTTTGAAAGATTAAGGATTTTGTTTCACTGCCGTTTTCGTTCGATTATTTTATCGAGGTCTCTGGTAAACAACATTTACTATATCGAACGATACGCTAACGATCTTTCTTTGATGCGTAGGCCTGCAATGAGTTTACTACTCACGTCATGAACTTGCTGAGGGAACAGAGCCGCACTAGACCCATCACGCCTAAGGAAATTGAGAGAATGGTGCAAATTATCCACAAAAAATTCTCCAGCATTCAGATGCAGTTGAAACAATCGACATGCGAGGCGGTGATGATATTGAGAAGTCGATTCCTCGATGCTAGGTACATACAGCCTCCTTTTTTCCGTTTTAGTTATATATGATAAGTCCAAGTACTAAATTTGCTTTTTTTCAGGCGCAAGCGAAGAAATTTCAGCAAACAGGCTTCTGAAATTCTGAACGAATATTTCTATTCACACCTCAGTAATCCTTATCCGAGTGAAGAAGCAAAGGAAGAACTTGCCCGAAAGTGTGGCATCACAGTTAGTCAGGTAACTGGCGATTGCAATCAACGGAACCGAGTTATGTTCAATTTTAAAAATTAACTTTCTCTCTCTCTCTCTCTTTCTCTCGCGCGTACGCGCATTTTAGGTGTCTAACTGGTTTGGCAATAAGAGGATACGTTATAAAAAGAACATAGGCAAGGCGCAAGAGGAGGCCAATTTGTACGCCGCTAAAAAGGCAGCCGGTGAGTTTTCATCAACATAAATAGATTTTGCTACCAATAAAAAATTTAACTAAAACATTCTACAAACTGCGTCATCGTCGTTATTGTTCTCAGCCATGTTCAATTATATACAGCCGAGAGTATGTGGCATAAAAACGAGAAGGAAATAGTAGCGCGCTAGTTTCTTATTGCTGTAAATCATTAGGCGCGTGAGTTAGTGCACATAGTTACTCGTTCCCTCTTTCTTGTGTGCAAGCGCGTGGCCTATTATTGTGCCTGTCAATAAATCAGAAGCTGAGCAAAAATAAAATGAGATACTTGCCCATATCTTTGTCGACTTGTTCCTTGCCTAGAAGCGAGAAAGTGCCTAAACTAAACTTGTTTATTAGCTCGTATTTTCTACTTTTCAAGTCAAACAGAACAAAAAGGATGAAACGAAAGAAAGAAAGATAAAATGTGAGAGGAGGTGAGCAAGCAAGCTATTTCCTTCCGCGCATGGTCGCGCTTACGTCTCGACTCAAACTTCGACGAGGAAGTGTGAATTTCCGAGTGGAACTTGCGCTCTGAATAATAACGACTGATCAGAAACTAAGTTAATACCTACGCGTGAGATTGCACGAGAGAAACTTTTAAATATGACACTTGAAAGTTTTGTTTTCCTCGAGAAATATGTTTGCGTGAAATAAGATTACGCCGTATTTCCCCGCTCGTCACTTGTCTAACGGATTGAAAGCAACTTTGTTTAATGAAACAAGACGTATTCGTAATCTTGCACACCCGAGACTGTCGATAAAAAGAGAAAAGCACCTCCGCGTGGTGACACGTTGTAAGCACAGCGATTGTTTCTACAGCAGCTTTTGCAGGAGCCTCGCCGTACAGCATGGGAGGCGCGAGCCAAGGCACCCCAACGCCAATGATGTCGCCAGCGCCGCCAGGTGCCCCACAAGACATGGCGGGCTATGGCATGGGTATCAATGGAAGTGATTATGGCTCGCAAGGCTACAACGACGGCTCGATGGGCTACGATCCTATGCACCAGGTAAATTACCCGAGGGAACGCCAGCGCAGCCATGACTACGACGATGAGTAGACACGGTAGTGAGCTGGCATTTTTTATGTTTTTTTTTCTCTTTCTCTTCCTAATCAATCTTGTAACTTTCTGTCTTCTTTTATACGCAATATCGCACGTATATTTACACGCACGCAACATTCTGATATTTATTTTTGTTCCTCTAGGCAAAGCTTGTAGTGTAGATGACTGCATGTCTTGGCTTTTCACATCGATTTTTTCTAAAAACAGAACAAAATAAAGAAAAAAGTCGGCCGACTCTTGGTCGTGAGTTTTTCACGTACGTAATTATCTGGAGAGTGCGTATATTAGTGTGAGAGTCGTGGTGCATGATGTACGTGCACGTATGCGCGAGAAGGGGAGAAGGGGGAGAAGAGAGAGAGAGAGAGAGAGAGAGAGAGAGAGAGAGAGAGAGAGAGAGAGAGAGAGAGATGTCTTTACGTGACTTTGCACGCGGCTTGGATTAAACGCAAGCCAAAGTTCACAGTCTAACTTCGTTTCGGAATTCCCGGGGCTTCCTTTTACTTCTTGTTGCGCCTTAAATTACCGCGCGCACTCACGCTCTGCAAAGTTTTTATCTCGTGAGACCATTATTGTCGCGAGAGATCATTATTGCTTGCCTGTCCAGCCATCGTATTTTCCTCTTTCCTTTTCTTTTAAAGTTAAATTTTTTTGCTTTCATTTTTCTCTTTCTCTCGCAACTATCAACATTCACCTAATAAGCTAGTTTCGTATGGAGACGACGTTTGCTCGTAAAGATGTTGGAGCACGCGCGTGTGTATTCGAACGCGACGGCGTGAGGAGGACAAGGAGGAGGGTCGAAAAGAGAGGAACGGGCGGTGAACACGACAACGTCGGCTATAAGGGTTGGTAGGCGGCCGTTAGCACTATAGCGAATAACCAGGTTGCTTAGTATGCATTGGAGTTGCAAAGTCACTTTTTTAAGCGAGCCCGACGCTCTCACATAATAGTGGACTGCTCCCTGTGCGCGCGCGCGCGTGTATGTTTGGAAAAGTATATGAGAGTGTCGCGCGATTGTGAATGAATATTCTTTCCATACTTTCGTGTTGTCATTGATAAAAAATTTCTAAGGAATTTTATTTTCTTTTTCACGTGGCAGTAATTATTAAAGTTCTTTTTCTCTCATGCTATTAATACTAACAAAGTTCACAATTGCCTACTGTAACGGCTTCTCTTATCATTACACGAGAGTCTAACACAACAGTAGTAAAAGTTGATTAAATGTAATTCTTATTTATAATAAATTGAACACTGTCTGATCTTATTATCTTGCTAAAAGTGCAGAATTAACAAGCCTTGAACTGTGTTTGTTGCAACGGAAATGCTAATTTAATCTTTCTATTTTTTTCGTCTTCATACAAACTAACCATTTTTAAGAACATTCTCTTGGAACAGTCAAATCAAAAAACTTATTTTCGTCAAAATTTTCGATTAATAGTATTAAATTAATATTATTATTAGTAGTGTACGTTAAAAATCTCGAAAATGACATATAAATAGTAGAATATGGTTTAACTACACGAAAATAGTGAAAAAATTGATAAAATCGTATTATGTCTTAAACTTTTGTGCGGACCGCACTATTATATAGGTGTGCGATTAGCACAGTAAGAGCTTAGTAGCTATAACTTTTCACTGAATAGTAGTATCTATATTTTTTATTATTTTAGTTGACTCTTTAACATCTCCACAATAACTCGTTAGTTTTTTGAAAATTAACTTAACCTATCTGAGACGTGGTAAAAAAAGTGAAATTATATTTAATTTTTTTCCGCTGTGTAGGTAATGAAAAGAAGGAATTAATTTTCGAAGTTAGAAAAAATATAAAGAAAACTGAATTTCAAGAGAACGTCCTTAGAGCGAACACTAGATAATCGTAATATTTGTAATATTTTTAAGAGACTCTTCATCAACAATTACATACGACAAAATTATTTTGTTGCAAGCACAGTTCTGTAACATACGTTTTGATCGCAAATCTTTAATACTCTGATAAATTACAAACTTTTCGTATCAGTCTCAATTTGCAAATATTTCTGAACTGACAATAGAATTGATAAGATTTCATGAGAAAACGAACGTGCGCGCATTTCATTCTGTTGTTCTCGATTAATTTCCCTCAATTAAAGATCAATCCTGTAATAAAAAAAAGTGTACAGTAAATGAGAGTTTCACAAGAGTAATAATAATCGAGGAACCCGTGTTATATTTTTACAGTGACGCGACACAAGGCAATATGTCGCATAAGTGTCATCCGGGCCTATGAGACGAACCTCAGCTCTCCGAGCCGACACGGAACCTTGCGTCCGTTGCAACAAGCACAAGTTTTTACTAGACTGCAAAAACAACACAAAACAAAAAACCATATATATATATCGATCAAGTCACTCAAATGTCCTTTAATATTGTTTCGTACCTCGATTTTCTTTGTGGTCCGAGACTGATCGAATTTGGTGTGTGCAATAGACTCAATGCAGAGTGAATGTCGCGTATGCTTTGAGACGATACGAGACAATAAGTTGATTATAAGAATCTCGCATCTTTTCAAACATCCGCGCTTAATATATACCGTCAATCAAAAGTTTTCCTGTATACTGCGAGCTGTCCTTGAAAGGAAAAACTTCAATAATGTCGTTATGTCAGGTTGTTAGGTGTCTTTAATTAAGTGTGCAATAAGATTTGGTAACGAAAAAAAAACTTAGGATATATTGTAGTTTTTATCCTTAACCAATCATACACATAGCCGTAGTGACTAAATAGACGTATGGGTATATGTATAATTCGATATAATGATTGATTACGAGAGCGAGAATATGGATTTAAAGGGCGATGCCAATTCGCGGCAGTTGAAAAAAGAGCATGTATATCAGGTTGCATGTTGTGAATTATTATACACAGTGCTCATTGAACGCGGGAAGCACCTGTTTATTGTACTTGCCTTTCACCTAATGTTATTTCTTGTTTCAGTCGCATAGATGAGCAAATTATATTTCTCTTAGAAAGTGTTTTGTTTTTTGTAGATAGGAATGAGTTTTTTTTCGAAGTGCAGTATGAAAAAAAAAAAAATAGTTGAAAAGGAATCTTCGAATGTTTTTACACGAGAAATAATGACACGCAGGGCAAGGCAATGGTCTGGATGCAGCAAGGCCGCGAGCCGGTGCCGGAGTTTCCTCCACTGCACCATGGCGCCGAGTCCGCCGACTCGGACTCCGATCGGGAGAGCAACAGCAAACCGCGCGTCTAAAAAGCACACGCAAACACACTCCCTCACACTCTTCTTCGTTTTTATTTCGTGTCTTACTGTCCGGATTATTATTCTGGTACATAGCATTATCGATGTTTTCTTTTTTTGGTTACAAACAAAGCAGACTTTAAAAGAAAGGGAGAGAGAGAGAGAGAAAGAGAGAGAGAGAGAAAATTAATTGTACATTGCTTTAAATTGTTGTATCGTTTCATGACAGATTCTTTTTGTCTTGTCTTCGAAAGTTTTTATTACACATGCGATTCAACTAGCAGTTTATAAAGCGTAAACACATTGTAGAACTGAAGAGATATTATACGGTGACTCTCCGCAAAGAGCATCGCGTACGGATTAGTTACTATCGCATACGCTGAAACAATTTCACGAAAGCGTCCACTATATGCTTCACTACTCGTTTTCTTTTTTTATATGTAAGCTGTATCTCTCTACGCTTTTCTGTGCCTTCTCATCGCATACTGTATTGTTATTATTATTACTATAATTTTTATTATTACTATCATTCATTTATAATCCACTATATTTTTAATCTTTTTCGATTAATATTATTATTCGCATACAGTATAATTTAGTAATTAGCTGTAAATCTCCCAATTTTGCACTCGCTTATTATTGTATACGTCCTCATTGTCATGAATATTATATATCTGTATGTGGCAACCAATGCAGGTATCGAGCGCGTTATCAAACATTCAGCCATATTTCTCTTTTTCGTTCCGTGCTAACAGACTAAAGAAGATCGAACTTTGATTATATCGATGTGTTATCGTTATTGGGTGTGTCTTTTTTTTCCTTTTATTGTACTCGCCATTACACTGTGAATTTGCTTTATCACTGTCGCGATAGAAAATTATATGCTGAGGATCAGATACTGTATATAGAAATTGACTTTTATGACCGAGCGATGAGCACGGAACTTGACATTAAAGTTTTGCTTTCTTACAAATGTTCATTCACATTCATTTTTTTTAAACATTGATTTGTCTTTATTACCCTCCCCTTATCATTTTATTCCTTGATTGCGCTTGTTACGATTTTTTATATATGTAAGTCAGACATGCATATTTTGTAGCCGTTACTTGTTTTGTACTAAAATTTATGTAATTCATGTTATTTATTTTATGTATAATACGTACTGTGAATTTTATTGGACTGTGATCTTATCTGAATGACGTACGCGATCTGTCCAATCATGTACCGTAGCATTGTTGAAAATAAGCGAAAGGGTAAAAAAAATACGGCAGTTTCCGCTGGGTGCTTACGTGGAAGTTGGTTAAAGGGACAGAAGTGGCGCTGGTAGAGGTGCGTTTAGCATAAAATCGATGAACTTGCAAAATTGTTCTTTGCGGGGTCTGATAACTTGTGAGTCTATCTCGATTTTATAAAATTTATAAGAGAAACGAGGTACGGATAACTTTACAAAAAAGCAGCAAGAGTCTGATACAGTTTTAATAATGCGTTGCTCTTGTTGCATTTATAGAGTGAATGAAGAATTCGAAATTAATTATTTATTCGATGAAGAGTAACGGATAAATAATAACGGATAGAGGCGGGAAATGAAATTACCCATGCTGTTTGTAGACATTTTTAATGAGGGATAATTTAATAAGTCTAGATTTTTATCTCGTTACTCGATTAAGCTTTGCGATAGTCTTCGGCAATATGTTGGCAAAAGGAAGCGAAGCTACCAAAGTAAAACAAAAAACTTGTATTACTCGGCCGAACTTTACACTGCAACTTGACGTTTGCTTTCAGGAGCTGTCGCCTTGAAATCCTTAGGAGACAAGAGCCAACAATCACGCAGAGCAAAACAACTCTTAGAGACAGCGTACACACACATACTGTTAAAGACATACTAAAATACTAAAAGAAAACACACAAAAAAAACAAAAAAAATTAAAAAAGAAATAATAATTTAAACAAACGCTCGCGCAATCTGATCACCCTACTATCTGTGATCTCAGGCTCGTCGACCACACGACGAGTTATACGAACTAAACTCGATATATTCAATAAGCTCATTTAAGATTTAACGACGGACGGCCCGAAACCACTGAGCACTCGCAATAACCCTCCCTGTACTCCCTTCTTTCCACCCCCTACCCCAACTTCCTCTTTAAAAGTTCTGTCTGCACACGCCTACTTGAAAAGAACGACGTGATACTTATCAAAATGAATCGTATATGCTTCCACACAGGCAAGTGTTTTTAGATATTATACATTAGTGAGATCATGTATCTTACGAGTCTCGCAAAAATACTTTGTCGATGATTAAGGAGATATCAAGATCCAGTGAAAACCAATCAAATTTTCAAAAGTAAACTTAAAGAAGCGCATGTGTATACATACGAAGTGAATTCATATACAGTTAACTTCCCGTCAGTTTAAATAAAAAAAAAAAAAGAAACAAAAAACGATAAAGGAGACGTATACGAGAAAAAAATACATTGTTTTTTAAATCTTTTTATAAGGTTTTTCATGGCTCGATAATAAAATGCAAACAATAAAGCTGAGGTTAGATACTCCTGGTTTCGGTGCATCCACGGTAGACTTTTTTCAGAAATAAAGAAAAAAAGATTAAATAAAACATACGTTTAAAGTAAAAGCAGAATATAAAACGTAAGAGCGGAGTTTAATGAAGCAATGGTCCTGCGACAAGACACAACTGATGTATACGATTTTTCAACATGAAAATATTATATTATATAGCTATACATATGGAAAAAAATATAATGAAGAGGATATAGTCTCTAGGAAACAAAAAAAATTTTGCGTAAATCGTTTAAGAAACATTGTAATAATTATACATGTATATATATATGTATATATATATACATATATATACACATATATATAACTTATATTATCGTCACGGTTGGTTATTACTTCAGTTATAATTGCCATTATTATATATATATTACCACTCTATTGTGATTATTAACATTATTGATCTTTTATTATTGCTATATTATTATTGCTATTATTTTTTATCGTCATTGATAAAATATACTATTATACGACGTGCGCAACGAGATAATTTTTTGAAATGTAAGTCAAAATTATTTTGTACCACGAACGAAGGACATGTACGCATTGCATACATATACACTTGAATCCGTTCCATGCCTGAATATGCGAGAAATTAATTTTTATATGAAAAATAATGCGATGAACATTGAAAAAATCATACTGTTTAGATAATTTGATGACAAAAAGCGCGCAATATTATTATAATTACATAATGATTATCATTGCTATTATTATCTTGAATCATTAACTGCAATTATTAAGTAGCGCGTAGAAGGATGATATCCCTTTTATTGTATAAAAAATGACGAAAAAAAATTGAAAAAAGCAAAGGTGCGATTAGGTGGTTATCTCTATTGTTAATAAATACGTCGCATGCGAATTGTAGTAAGGCTAATGATTGATTTTTACCTATTGGAAAGATAATGAAAATCTGCTTTGAGGCCTCATCACTTACTATACTATTATACGCATTGCATATAAATCTCTCATGTATATTTTGCATTCAGCAGCTACTTTCTCGAAGCTTCATTTTTTAAAAGAAACATGTACCTTAGAAGAGCGCAAGGTACAAAATCAATTTTTGGCCTAAACGTCGATTTCGTAGCGACAAGTACAAGTGCATTGTTGCACAGCTAGTATACGAGAAAAAAATTAAAAAAAAGATCGCCTAGTGGTCGCTGAAAGCGTATCCTTGAACGTCCCTTAGGCAACTCTAAACCTTTATTGAAACTAAAACAAATGAAAAAGATGAAGTAAATAAAGAGAAAATAAAATAAAAAGGATGAAAAATAATCGAGGACATTTAATATTCGTGAAGTATGCGGTATAAATTTAAACTATATTCATATACCCAGCGATTTTTGAGACGAGAAATAAAAAGAATGCATTGCCTATCTATCTTCTTCCTAACTATACTTTTGTCATATGGAGTCTTATAGGTAAAGAATAAAAAAAAAGTGTCGCCGCTCCTTGTGCGAATGATGTTTCTCCAATCTACCGCAAGTTTTTTGCATTTACGTTTTCATACTTTCTGAATTGTAAACGACATAGGGGGAAAAAGCGCCAGATGTAATGGAAGAAAATCAAACTCGAACCGAGCTCCGAGCACGTGCAACTGCAAAGTCAATCTTAATGGTCCGAAATTGACATTTTTTATTATGCGATTAATATAATAATAAGGAATTTGAGGCATCTCTGAGGGATCGGTGAGAGTTTGGAGCGGTGTTTCGTGATACGAAGGTATACCACAATGAATCATTGTATCGAATGAAATCATTATGATAACTAAATAAAATTCTTAAAAATTTTTGTCATGATTTATTTCAATCACTACCTCACTTTCTCCTCGTTTAATTTATCCATTGAGTTTTTAATTTTAAAGCTTTCTAGAAAGGACAGAATAAAACAAACTGAGAAATAAAACCAAACATATATTAGTTTTTTAATACATTGTTTATTTGTCTTCTTAAAAAAGAATTAACTTGAAATTGTTTGTTTGTTTTGAATTATGCGAGTAATGTTTGGGCATTGTTGAAGCGGCAATACATACTAGGTTTGCAATTAACTAGGTTTGTATTTATAACATTCTTTTATATATATGTATATATATATACACACACACGCACATATATATGTATATGTATGTATGTATGTATAGCATAGGTATTGTGTATCGCTTATAGCGTAATAAATGATTATTTATTGATAATGCATCTCGGTCACCACACACACGTATCAGAACGTATATATCTGCAGTCGAATTTTGCAAACAAGAATCGGCGATCGAATTCCTCTCCAGAAAATCGTGACGCTCTCGCAATCCAAGGACAATATAACACAATATGAAAAATTACGTTGTTACTCGTATCGTAGCTTGGCTTTGTATCTTGTCGTCTCGTCCACTTCAAAAATGAAAAAAGGACTATTACTCGAACTAAAAATTTGCACACATTGCATGCATTACGTGCGCAAGTGTGTCTTAATTCATCATATGTTCAGAGTAATAATTTCTCCCTATAGATTCGCAGTCGCACATGTATATATAAGACGAACGTAACCGATTTGACGAGCGGGGGGGCGGGGGAGAAGCTCGAGAACCGACGGCGCGACGTCAATGCGCTCCAGTCTCAATATGTAAGTAATCCTTGATTTGAATATTGAACGTTATCTGTGAAAAAAGATCTGATAAACAATGAATACGTTGTTTTTGTTCTCTTGTGTTCGCTCGCGTAACGGAGCGTCAATGACGTCGCGCTTCGTTTTGTTTTTATTCGTTTGACGTTACATAGTATGCGAAATTTTTTTTCGATATCGTCGATAGTATTTTTTTCTCTCGATTTCGCGCACATACACATTTAATCCGATTCGCCTCTCAAGTATAATTCACAAATTACTCTCGTTATAATGTACGTATACGTATAGTATATATAAAGGTAGACTCTTTTTCATTGGTTTTTTCATCTTATATATATATAAATAAAAGACACACACACACACACACATACACGTGTAAGTTTCCTGTGGTTGGTTGGTTGTGTGTGTGTGTGTGTGTGTGTGTGTGTGTGTGTGTGTGTGTGTGTGTGTGTGTGTGTGTGTGTGTGTGTGTGTGTGTGTGTGTGTGTGTGTGTGTGTGTGTGTGTGTGTGTGTGTGGACAAAGAAAAGGACGAATTTCGTGAATAAGTATGTACATAGAGCTTAGGTAATATACAGTAAGTTTACACAGTGACGAGAGGCTAGACGGTAGACTGCCCGGAAACTGATGTTATTAATCATTTCGTTCCGTTTATTATATTTGTTTTATTTTAAAAGGTAAGAAGATTAATAAAATTTACGTTTACTATGACACTCTCTACGAAGAGAGATGAAAGACAGATCCATTTTTTTTTCTTATTCTTACAAGTATTACATCCCTATTTTACGTGATCGATGATTTATGACAGCTCGAAACTTCCCGAGCAGCTTGCCTCTTAGCTTCTCACTCGCACACTTTTCAATTTTGATACACATTTTTGGTTTTATTTTTTTTTTTATTAAACTCTAATCGTTATTTTATTTCATTTTTCGCACAAACACGGTTTTTCTATGTTAAATATTTATGCAATTCGAGAGTCTCCGATGTAATCCCGTCCGACAGTCAGTTTTATGTGTGCGTGTGTGTGCGTGTGCGCGCGCGTATGTGTGTGTGCGCGCCTACTACAACGTAATATGTCAGACTCTCGCAGCAGACAATAAAAAAAATAAACAAAGTAGACGTTCGTGTTCGGCCAAAAATATTGCGAGCATAACCAGCGTTTTCGTTGTGTTGCAAGTACATTATCATGCTGAAAGAACCTTTTCGCTTGATTAAGGAAGATTTGAAATGAAAATAATACTTAGGTAAGGAAAGAAATCAACGTGTAAGGAAAGTCACAAAGAAAATTAATTTCTTTGAAATGAATGAAATAAAGCAAGGTTTTTGTTTTATTGTATGTATTTAAACAATATAAGCGAAAAAGGTTTAACAAGACTATCTATCTAGATACATATCCAATCCTCGCTGTTTTTTCAAACATTGCACACAAGCTACTTAAAACTGGATTCTTTTATTATTCATCTCTCGCACTCTTATTTCTTAAATGCTAGAATTAAGATTTATTCAGACACATTTATGCCAGTCCCATTCGATTCATCCAAAAAGAACACCGATAAAACTTGGTTTTTTTGCATCTTAATAAAAAACATTAATTTCCATCATTCGGATTATTTTGTAATTAAGTTTAGAGATTATATCAAAGTGTCTACGAGTTCGATTATTATTTGCAAAAGTATGAAACTCTAGTAGAGCTGTGTCGCCAGCTCCGGAGGTCTAATGTCTTAGGGAATATATATATATATATTTTTTGTCATTCGTATTTATTATTTATATTTATTTTTTTCTTAAATTCTTTTATCATCGATGGGGTTATTTAATCTCATCCTGTTGAAGTATTTTTATGTTTGTAATTAGTCGTTAATAAATAGATTTCACTTGAATTTTGTCGTGTAATAATGGGAATTTCGTTCTGAATCACTTCGCTAGAGTCACATGCGATAAATATCACACTCATTCGTGGACGTTGTGTAATCATTTATAGTTCAATGCAAGCTAAATAATCGTATCATTGCCGTAGTTTTTCTCGATTCGATTGGACAATTCGTAAAGCAATCGTATAAATTTTCATGAAATTTTGAAGAAAATCCCAACGCAAGTGAATTGAGAAAAATTAGGCATAAATCATGTAATCCGTGTAATTGTTTATAATGAATGAGAAATATGTATGTATAGATAAGTAGAAAAATCTTGTAATCGCAATATTCATACACTCTGCATTTTACGTGGAAACTTTGTTTATGACATACTTTTTATACATTTAAATTTCGGTACAACATATAATTATATTTATCTTCGTATGCTTTATCTTTCGTTTATTTATTTATACGGGCAATGAAGATCTAAACTAAAACCCCGAAAATCTACCAGGTAATTTATTTCTGAAATTGGCGAGTTTGAGTATCCATGAGATTTATAACTAATCACTGTATTTACATTTCCATTTCAAGTATTTTCTTGTTTCGAATGACTCTTAAATATTCAGTTGTACATCTAAATTTAACTATAGATTATACTTATTTCATAAACTTTTGAATTTTCAACTTAGTTTTTATACTTTAATAATAACCAATAATTATATTTCGATTTCATAACAAGACATTTTTCCGGTAGTTCAAATTATTTGTCAGATTTTTTCATAAATCTTTTCATTCGCGCAAAAAAAAACTACTGAAATATTAAAATCACACACTCTTTCTCGTTAAGTTGTTTTCTTAGCATGACATTGTTAATTATTAAAATTACTTACGAGAGTCTTTATATTTTTCTGTTGTATCTGTAGTCTATCATTTAATTAACAGACGAATGAAGGACATCAATGCTTTCTCCGTTAACAGCGCCGTTGGAAATGTTGGTCACACATGATTTTAAAATTTCAAAAGATTATAAGCCTAGAAATTTAAAAATGAAAGATTGGCTACGCGAAGTCATCACTAAGACTACAATTAACGCATATATGTATACTCGAGTCTGTTTAATTCGTAGCTCGACATACGCGGCATCGATAAATATATATTTATGTATATTTTAATTACGTGTAACGAATGAATCTTGTAGCAACGTTCGGTCGTCTTGCACACATACTCCCGCACTTGTATGTGATGTAACGTAGGTTTTTGTGTGACGCGTACATGTTAATCATATATATTATATATGATAAACGCATATCAGGGTTGCAATATTTATAAACGCAGACCACTAAGCTTCTTCATAGCTCTCGTTTCCATATCTCTTCTTTTTTTCTCGTTTATTTATTATAATCAATCGGATTTATCACAGAAAAATATTATATGATAATACGATTAAGCCTACTACTGTCTTATAACTTTTTTTATATATACTTTTATATTTTCTTAAACTCTTACGATCACGTGTCAATTTACGGAATGTGCTCGCCAGTTGTCAAGTGCGAGCGCGCGCTTCGTCGCGGATAGAGTATCTATTATAACGCAAACGATGTACGAGATACATACGAATGAGTTCTTTTTTTTTGTTTTATAAAGCACTTAAGGGAAGAAACCACGCGATCCTGATCAATAAAGACGCAAAAATTCTATCGAGGCTTTGTTTGGTTGCGTCTGATTCTCATTGTCATGCGAATTCACTTCGTTTTTTTTTTCTTTTTTGCAACGACTTATATTCGTTTTTGTTTTGATATTTCTTTTTTCTTTCATCTTTTCGAACGCATTTGTAATTTTACGAATTTGCACAACCATCGTTTTTGTGTGAGTCAACGCGCGAATAATAAATATTCTACGTTAAATAGATTGTTACCTAAAAAACAATTATAGAATTACTTCAAGATATGCAAGACAAGTAAATACAAAAAAAAAAGAAAAAGAACGATATCATCAAAGGTAATATACGATAAAAAGTTGGAGAAGGAAGCGAATATTTAAGCTCTAATATTTCGATCTTCTACGATATCTTGAGAAACACTACCCACGAATAATATTAATAATATTTGCTTTGTTATTATTCACGAATAACATATAATTCACTTTTTTTGCCAGCAAGTTATATTATACTTTATTAATACAAGTTTCATATACCACGATTCTATGTAGTTACTTATATTTTTTTGTAATCGTACCTCTTGTCGCTTTGTCCTTCATTATTTACTTGTTTTCTTTTTTTATTATTCAAACACTTAATACACATTGGCAGTTATGTAATGTATTTGAATTCATATTTTTAATAACTTATTTTATGTATTTTTTATTTTGGCGCTACACTTTCTATTTCGCTTTTTGCACAAAACAGTGCTATAAAATAAACATATTCGTTTTAATACTTTTCAGAATAATGCTCTCTATTCTAAAATAATAATATGCCCTATCAATGGTATTAATGAACAAACAATTTATAAAATATCTATAGATGCACAAAGGTAAAACAAAACAGACTCATTATGATTGTTATATACTATATGTCTTGGCGATGCACTGCACGCAATTAAATATAACATTAAAAACTTGACGTAATATAATTTTTTTACTTGATCACATTTAAACAAAAACGAACATTTCCAGAAAAAAATATACTGATCGACAGATAAAATAAACATCGTTAAATTTCTAAAATCCTCACAATTACTTGGGATAACATTTTCGTTTTGCAATCTTTTTTCGCAATAATTACAATGCTCTTCTCTTTCTCATTTGTAATATTGAATTTGTTTTCTCGATAATATTTAATAAGCATAACAATAAAATTGGTATCCCTTACCACTGTCCACGTACAGAGTAATTTATCTGAATTTTCAGCGAGCCGAGAACCGTAGTAAAGGAATCGTGACTATTCACACGTGGTGGCATTATTTATACAAATTTCGTACGCAATCAGGCTAAACCATTCACCACGATTCTGGCCGCTCAAATAACAGTCGCGCCGATTTCCATTTCTTCAACACTTCTCTCTTTCTTCCATTTTTTTGTTCTGCAAGAAAATCGCGAAATCGACCTCCTATTAAATGACTCTACACTCTATTAAACGTGATTTCATAGTCACGTGCTGATGAGGAGTGTATATGTGTTTCTCAGACTTTCACGGCGCTGCCTTAATGTATCAGTCCGATTAATGTCCGTTCAAAGGCTCGATTCTTTTATTTATTTATTTTTTTTCATTTTTATTTTTTTCCTCTCGTTCGTACTATTGAAGTAATGTATACTTTTTTGAGTCATTTATACTTGTAGTGGACTTATTCTCGTATACTCGCGCTTTCTCACAGATAATAACTCTCGCATCTTCTATTTATATACGTTTGATAATTTTGGCAGTTCGGAAGGAACGCGAGAAAAATGCAATTCTAACATTTGCAGTCGTACTAGGCTCCTAAAAAGCTAACCAGAGACGCATCCCCGACTCGTGTTTACTTTCTTTCAGTAAATAAGTTTTTTTGCGGTATTATTTTAATTCTTGTTTTTTTTCTGTTCTTTCATTATATCATTATATAATTTTTATAATCGGTATAAAAAGGTTGAGTGTGTCCGAGTACGTGTGTGTGTTTGAAAGATGTGGCCCACGTGTAATCGTGTATGTTTGTTGCTGTTTTCTCGATAAATCATTCAGCGAAAACTGGAAAAAATATGAAAAATCTTCGACGATGCGTCCATGTTTTACAATAAGAAGAGGCCGAGGAGCCTCGCTAAATATGTATATGTAATCCACATATATACGACGTCGATATCGGTATAATAACGTTCCCGTTTGTTCGTTTACACCTTATTCAATAAAAAAAAAGAACTACCTCGATTTTGGTTTGTTACTTGTGGCTTAATCTTTGGCTTGGGTGTATGTACAATCGGTCGTGCAAGTGATAAAATCTCTATGAGGATTAGTTCAAATAGTCCCGCTCCGTTTAATAGAAAAAAGAACTCGTCGAAGATATATTATCATTGTTTGTTTCGTCGATTATACAACGCTTACTCTGTCGCTCTCTCGCACTCGTAACACATTCGTACTCGTAGCTGGTCACAGCTATAGTTCGTCGACGCGCTTGCCGCGGAGCGCGGCGAAAGAGATGAGAGGGTGTTCGTGCGGGCGTTGGGGACGAGGCTCGCTGGCGCAGCAGCGAGGCAGGGCGCCAACGAGGACCGCTCAGAGCGAAAGAGACGATGACGAGGTGGAGGATGACTCCGTGGTGCGGTCGTCGGTTGCCGCCTCTCGCCGATGGCAGTGAGGTGCCGGCCGCCACCGGGGCTAGCACCAGTCGTCGTCGTCGCTGTCCGAGTGCCTGGAGCGCGGCGCTCGCTGTTTCGCCTGCAAGTCACAAATCCGACTGTGAGATCGGCCGGGGAGCGCGCGCGCGCGCGCGGCGGCGACGGCGAGGCTGCCCACCTGGGGCTTGTAGCCGTTCGGCACGGGGCTTGGCAGCAGCCTGCCTCCCCGTCCCATGGCGACGGCCTGCTCGAAGCTGAGCGGGAGCACGCTGCCGGGCGCGCCGACGAGCGCCTGGCTGCCCGGGGCGCCGCCGAGTCCGTTGCTCGACGGTGGCAGCTGGCCGGCCGCCGCCGCCGCCGCCGCCGCGGCGCCGGGCCCGTGGGTCGGCGAAGCGTTTAGCTTCGGAAAGTTGATGTTCGCCGGCGCCTTCAGCTGCAGCGTCGACGGCTTGTTCGGCGTGGGCGGCAGCCGCCTGCCGTAGCCCTGCCGCCGGGTGACCAACACCGGGTAGCTGTGCTGGTGCGGTTGGTGGTGGTAGTGGTGGTGGTGGGGTCCGACGCCGCTGCGTCTGCCGGTCATCGGCGAGGGCGACCGCGAGCGCTGGTCCAGCGAGGTGGTACCGTAACGGTGACCTCGATAATCCGCGTGGTCTATACGATGCACCGGTGAAGGCGACCGCGCTGGTGACGTCGAGGCGCTCCATGGACCTATGAGTTTCACGTACAAGAAAATCGTTAGCCAACCTATTTTCCGCTCTTTCTCTTTACTTGCGGTTTTCCTATATAAATCTCGACGACAGTGGATGTGTAGACGTCCAACACACCCACTGTATAGGCAAATTTGTTTTATTCACTTAATATCCATGGATAGATTATGAGTATATCACAAGGAGTCAGAGCTAAGTGTAGTTAGTTTATACTTTTATATATAGGTATAGCGTTGGAAAATGAAAGTTTAGCAGTTTAGCAGTTGTAGTATACGCTCTATTGATTGGTATCTAGCAATTTTCATTTACAATATTGCCTCATGGAAAAACGGACTTTTTAAAATTATTAAATCGTCAGAATCGTTTTTCCATGAAACTTACGATTTTTACGATTTTTACTTTCGAAAAGTGACTCCAAAATTGCGAATGCTTGTATTTATTATAAGAAAGAAAAGAAAACTTTATGACATTCCTAAAAAAGAAAATTCATTTAAAAATAAATAAACGAAAATAAAAATAACAAGAGGATCAATACAGTAATCGTCTGCTTGTAAAAAGCTCGAAAATTTTAATTATATTGAAATTGTTTTTATGTTTATTTTAATACTTCAAGTGAAATAGAAAAAATGGACTACAAGTGTTCTGAGTCTCGCGAGATACTCCTTCATCATTTGTCCGACGAATATAACGTGCACTTTTTTTTTATTACAAACTATCCAGGAAGAGTAAGCGAAAGAATGCCAACCATGATGTACAAGAGGGCATGTAGAATAAATACTTTAGTAACATTTTTTCACTTATTCCAGTAGTATTATTTATTTGAGATAATTATACTTGGATCTATATTATATGTACGAGTACCAGGAAAGTGGGTAAGATAGATCGTATTTTATATTAAAAAATATATATATCTCTCAAACTACACCCAAGCACTATATCATTATATCGAAATCATACACTATCTAGATCTGATTGATGCTAAATCTGATGTATTGACGTGCAAGTAATCCTAATATAGATATATCTATATATTGCTATGTTACCGGGTGAATGAGTTGATTTGACACTTCATCTCTTGTACGAGGGTGCATTTATCAATATAGCCAGCTTTCGAGCAGTTAATATGTAAAATCAATCGAAATTCAAGAGATCAAGTGCTTGATGTGAGTATGTGTATATGTGTGTTTATTCACTCAGTGTATGTATAGATATCAATGTCAAAAAACCAGGGTGTCTAAGTGTAAATGGTGTCAAACTATAGATCTGTAAAACACAAAACAAAAAGAGAAAAATATCGCAAAAAGCTGCTCTTGCAGGATAGGAAGAAGACAGAATAGAAGATAGAGAGAGAGAGAGAGAGAGAGAATAGAGTTATGAAAATGCTTTGGTGAAAAGAATTACCATCGTCGTAATAGTCGTAGTGGTCGTAATAATCTGTGTAGCGCATAACAGAACAGAATGAAGAAAACTTATTAGATCGACTTGACACATCGAGCTTGTATTCTTTGGTGGCTTGTATTATATATATATTTTTCATTTTTTGAGAAAAAATCTATTCAACAGCAACATTCATAATTGACACTTAACAAAAACTCTTGCTGCAAGTTTTGATAGAATCTCTTCGGCAGTCAACAACATCACAAAATCGCTCGCTTTTCCGTAACCGAAAAGCGAGCCGCCTATTGCTAAATGATGTACACCGATATGAAAAATTGAAAAAATAGAATGATAATATAGGTATATAAGACAAGAGTAAATGTATATATAAGATAAAAAAGGGATATGTAATTTAAGACTTGCAGCGCGAGATCGTCTGAAAATGTATAAATTTAATATATCTCGCGCGCACTTCTTAAGGAAAATAATGGAAAAAAATTTCAAGACTATTTTGAGAACAGTGATACGCACCTCGAGTTTTTCGTTTATAAGGATACTGAGCTCCGGGGTGCACGTGCCTCTGAATCTCGACCACGTTGTTGACCGTGTCGCTAAAACCCAGACCGTCGTGGTATTGACCTCGATGATCGTAACCTCGTTGCCTTGGCGATGGTGATCTGAGCATTGATCTTTTTATTATAAAATGTTTTTGTTTTAATCAACAACCACACAATAGGGCAAATAGGTGTGAACCAGGGTCATAACAATCTTTAAATGTTGCTATGCATCATAGCTGTCTTCAAAATTTGCTATTTCCACAGGTCAACATAACAATGTTCACATCGATGATTGGTACCTCAAACTTGGCGACCTTGAATGCCTGCCAGCATGCGCGGGATGATGTGGATGAAGCCTGTCTCCGGGATGCGTGAGGCTCTCTAGGCTACCAGCTCGTGAATCGCTTATCACCACGTCTTGTAGATCCATCTAGTTGGGGAAGATGGGGGAAAAAGAGCAAACGTAAGTTTCACTATCTACCCGTGGGAAAAACGTGTGGGATAAAGATCAGCTTATACTTATTATAGTCTCAGAGAAATATACAAAGTAAATAAATACCGATATATATATATATATATCGTGCTTCAGGAACAATGTACATTAGGCTAATGATATATATATATATATATATATATCTTCGCAAAATAATTATCGCCCGGGGACGTAAGCGGCGCCGATATTCAAATTTGTTCGTTACTTTCTTCGTTATTTTGGTAAATGCATCGCGCCCTCGCAATATATACACAGATAAAAGACGCCTTTTGCCTCTGTCAATGGATCAGTAGCGCCCAGGACGGATTTATTACCGCTTGACTGAGCGCCGCTTCACTGTCGTTTATCGTGTGCAAGCTCCACTCAGCGTGTTTGCCAACTACTAAGTTGCCATCTACTATCGAAATCTACACGTAAACCCTCTGCTCTATTAATCTGCAAAAGGTCTTTGTTGAAATAAAAATAGGAAATTTTACAAAATCATGTGAAACAATAGTGGTTCTAAAGTATAAAGAGTGAAACGTTGTAAATTGGCTAAGCGAGGCTGCTTCGAGTGCGTCATAGATTAAGTGTAAAAGACATCGAGACGTTGAGAGAAGGCATGCTTAGTTTTGTTTAGTAGTTTTTCTCATGCTCATGCGATTAGTTTGCGAAAGAATAAAAGAGTTGAGTTTTTTTCTTTCGGCTTCTCCACAAGTTCTTCTGTAATTGATTCTAGCGTGGAATCATATGCTGACCTATGTCAACGTAGTTACCGACACCAACGCCAATTTTTACAGTCTGTTAATCAACACATAATATACGTGCTTTTTTCCCACGCGGATCGACACAAATGGATATAATTAACCACACAATACACACGTTTACGAACATACATGGTTGTATATGCAACTATATATAGATATATGACACGAAAATCTATAGTTGTTTTTTTCTCCTGGTTGGTCGAAAGCAGCTAGGGAGGGTGGACTCTATCAGTCATCGTATGTATGAATTCATGGTAACGAGATCATCTATAATCTACGGTATGTTCTATCGTAACGTCATCTAGAATGGGTCGTAATTTGTTAATGAATGGCCAGTGGATGGATTTAGGTAATAGGGAGTTTACTAGGATACTAAGGCCTCTTTGAATAATTGATGAACCATGTTTTTCTGCAAACTATATAAGTTATTCTAATGAGGTTCGGGTATAACGTCACTATCAAAATATTGAAATGATAATCTATGTAGTTACGATTTCTCTAGCAGAAATCTAAACATTATTTATGATAATGATATAGTAAAAATGATACCTCTAGAGGGAATCATCTATGAATAAATCGTAAACTACCAAAAACACGCTTCATGTCTCCACATCTTGGAGCTGCGTCACGGCGATCGATCCAATGTCGACAGGGCTTATATTTGAAATTGGAATTCGCGAGTCAAGAAAAATAAACAAAAAGAAAGAGAGAGAGAAGAAAAAACAAAAGTAGGCCAAATTCGACGAAAGACAAAAAGCTCGAGGTCCGAGTGTAATAAAGTCTGAAAAAAGAAAGAAATAGAGAAAAAAATACATTTGATTGAAGAGTAAGGGCGATATAGCCAAGGCATTGACACCTTGCGGTAACGAATCGAGGATCGAGGTGCGTAGGTGTTCAATTGGTGTCGATGATGATGAGAAGACGAGGATGGACGATAGTGGTGATGATGAAAAGAATTATGGTGATGATGGCGGTGGCGGTGGTGGCGGTGGCGATGGTGTGGTGGTGGATAGCAGTATTGATCGTAGTATGGGCTGTAGAGATCGAATTGACTGTCGTAGTATTGCTGTTGTTGCTGTTGTTTACGAATACGATGATGATGGCAAAGCAGATGATAGTCGTGATGACGTGGATGGCGAAGTGGCGATGGCAGAGGTGCAGGTGGCGATGGTGGACTCTCGGTGATCAATGGCTCGAGATCCACAGATCTTGCCCGAGACCCCGACCGCCGCGGCGGCGCCATCGCTCGCTCCTCAGCATGATCAACGTGATAGTCTTCGTCTTCGTCGTCTTCGTCTTCCGTCTCAACCCGATTTATAACCCCGTGAACCAACCCATGCCCGACCCCTCCCTGGCTACTCTCTCCGCTGCTTGCTAGCTTATCGTACTGCTGTGACTCCTTCCAGTTCACCTTTTTGTTCCTAAAATCCAAAGCAAATCACGTGTTATTTGTAAATGACATTGGAAACTGTAATTTAGAAATGGACGGAAATTGGGGCTAACCGGAAGCTACGTTGACGTCTGTGCTCGGCGGCGGCAAACATGCTGAGGATACCCTCTTCCTCGTGGGAACCACGGTGTCGGTGGTCCTTGTCGTGACCAGGTGGTTCGAGACTATTGGTACGGCTACCTGCCGGATGTTGAACATGATGGCCATTGTGGTTGGCCACTCCGGCCGCGTCCAGTATCGCGTCCAGGAAGGTTGGTCGCTGTGCACGTTGATTTTGCAAGCGAACACACAACACACGTCGTTCGTCAGAACTCACCGCTGTCTCTTTTCTTTCTCAGATTATTTTTTCGTTTCTTTATTTTTTTTTTGTTTTAAAATAACGCGCCGGCAGAATTCACTATATTACAGGCACATACAGGCTTTTCCTCTGACACGAACCTTCTCTTGCATTGTTTTCCCAGCTTTGCACTTTTTTCTACTCTCTGTATTCTTCGATTGTGTTGCATAACTCCGATGAATTTTTCTTTTTTTGTTCTCAAAATATAGATTGATAAAAAAAAGATAAACACACACCGAGAGATAAAAGAGAGTAACACGAGAGCAGAAACATTTCAACTATATAAAATATTCTTGATTGTTAATTATAGAAAAAAATGCTTATAAACCATGCCAGAAAAAAAGTGTCGAGGTGAATTTAAGTGCGATAGTGTCGTTTTTTAATATATATCACGAGAAAATTGAAAATTTACATGCACGTTTTTATAGTTATCATTTAGAATTTGTGATTTAACAATTTTATTTTTACAGTGTCTTGAGATCTGTGCTGCTATGTATAGAGAAAGAGAGAGCGAGAGAGACAGATAGATAAATAGGTAGAGGGAGATACAGAGATAGATAGAAAGAGATAGAGAGAGAGAGAGAGAGAGGGAGTGAGATAGAGAAAGAGAGATAGATAGATAGAGGGATATAGAGGAAGATATTGAGAGATAGATAGAGATAGAAAGAGAAATAGAGATAGAAAGAGAGTAAAGCAATAAAATGCGATCTAATGACTTGACAATCAGTGGTTACATATATACATATATGTATGTATAAGGCAGCAACGATCTCTTATTTTGTAATCAAGTAAAAGTCTTTATTTTCTTTCGTTTTTATTATAAGTTAATTTAACTTTATACATTGATTTTTAAGCTTTTTATATGCAAATTATATACTGAAAATGCATATCAATGCACTTCTTTATTTCAAGCCTGTATATGTTTGTTGAATAGCATATATTTTGGAAATTGAATGCTGCTTTGAATGGCACACGTGAAATGGTGTTACGAGATTGATTTAGGTTAGGTATGGCTTTAGCATGTTGTAGTACCAAATCTTGTTCTACAGCATACTATTCGTTGATTATTATGTATGGCGAAGCATGCAATACGAAATAATTGGTACTCGATTTTTTTATCTCCATAAAAATATTTTGATTAAGTGTAAAAAAATCAATTGCCAATCGAATTTGTGACTATACGTTATTATGCGAATTTGAACAGACGAGAATTTCACAAACTAATTATTCAGGAATATACAAGGGATATTGTTAGCCACATCGATACTTTCATTACCTTGACGACCTTTATAACAGGATTATGTTTTTGTCGTTACCAACATGCCTGGATTCATCAATTTCCTAATTAACCACGAAAAAAATTTATTTCATCGTTGTCTCGAGAAATGGATGAATCCGATGATTTATTTTGAAAAATAAGAGAGGAGGGTTGTTTAGAAATGAATACACGATCTAAACACGCTTCAAGACAATGATAAGCAAGAGTTAAAAAAGGTTCTGCATTCATACTATTCTAAATTTATAATTTTAAGTCTATTCTACAAGATGCTTGAAAGTAATAATTGGTAGTATATATACGTATTCTTCTAAAATAATACTTGTGTACGAGTCTTACATGACAATTAGTTGAATTTCTGTTAGAACTTTTTTTTAATTGCTTGTATTCAATTTTATTACCGTGATTGCACTTTCTAACAGTATCTAATTGCCAAAAAAACTCGATTATGATTATACAATGTATATAAAATTTGACTTAATTCTACCGTGGAGCGTATAAGATATGTGTCAGACAAGAAGGAAAAGATTGAAAATCACACGTCTATTATCTATGTATTCGATCTAAGACCGACTAAAATCTGTGACTATAAACTAAGCGACTTGTAATTGAAGAAACACGTATGTAGCTGCCGTGTCTTGAAAAAAATGATGTAAAGAGGAAGCGAAATAAAATACTTTGAGTTAATTGATTTTATGTCACGAGGCAAAAGGCGAGAACTATGTATTATCCAAAAAGTAAGAAATCTAGACTCGTCAAAACAGCACCTCTAGGAGGGCTCGTTTTTACTCTGAAAAAAGCGCACATTTTTTTATTTATACAGAATTCAGAATTACTATAGAAAATAAATTGAAAAAAAAAAAAAATAAAAAAAAAACGCTGATAGACGAGCCGATGTGCAAATACTCGTTCGGCAATTTGCCTAATGTAAATCGCTCGGCCCACAATATTTGCACTTCATTTACTCAACGGGCTCTAATTTTGCTACTATATAAGAGATATGCTATTTTGAATGTGCTTAGCAAAAATGCTTCGTATCATTTAATCATTCTTATGTCAGTTTCTCAAGCATTTTTCAAGCCTATTTTTATCTCAATCTCTGTGCACTAGAGTTTACTTTATAATCTTCTGATTTTTTTATATAATGCAGAGAAATCGAGCTACTCAGAACTACATGTTTTTATTGGTATTTTATCAGTCGTGCGTGCTCTGTAGATAAAAATAAATTAGGCCTATATTTATTTTTGTATTAGGTACTAAAGAACTATGCTCTATATATAATCAGTTTTGTAGTAGGCGTTCTAAGAAAAATTTTCTATTTCTCTCACTATGGTGTATTTGTATATAAGAAATCAATAAGAAAATACTATGCGGTGTAGATCAGTATTAGCTCTATTGTATGTAAGAAAACACAGTGATCGATGCTGAAAATGGAACCGCAATATAAGATGTTCTTTACTGTGACTCATCGAAAACTGTGTGGCTCTCGGTATATAAAAAAAAATTATGACTAGACGTCAAACTAAAACGAGGAACTTAGCAGGAAACAAATAATTAAATTATAATAACTAAATCATATTGAACATTAATTATATTAAGACAATTTTGATGATGAAATACAGAGCTTTAAAACTATAATGTAGAAAGACGAGTTCTTCTCAATAAACGTATATTAATTCAAAGAAATCAATAAGAATTATAACAATCATAGAAAAATAATTTAAATCATAAAAGTTGAAGAAAAATATAGTAAAAAGTAGGAGTAGAGAGAAAAACAAGTCTTTGAAGCAAAACTGATGTGATGAATGATGTATGGTATGACTGCTCGCAGGCTTAAATGAAACGTGGATGGTGATGAATAAAAAAATGTATGCATTAATAAAATAATAAAAAAAATGCATTAGAAGAGAATTAAGATAAGAGAAAATAGTAAGTACTACCGCCTGGGCCTCGGCACTTTGCCCAGCATTTTCATTATCGATAAGATCGAGTTTATCGTTCTGCAAAACAAAGAAAAATCATAAACATAGATGATTGAGAGCTCTATTGGTTATTACTTGCTGTTGTAAGATATTTTTCTTTTTTTATCTTTTTAAAAAAATTGTAAATAAAATGGTGCTTTTATAAATTAATCTAACAGCTAATTATTGTTTTACTCTAGATTTCTAAAGACCCAGCGATGCCGAGTTGATCTGTATTGATTGTCCAGATAAAACAACATTTTGTTACAGATGAAAGTCAATTAAATGTACCACTCAACACTCAATCCTCTATAAGTATCTACTAATATTCTTTTAATTAATATTATTTAATATCTCTCTAGTGTCGCTAAATCTGGAAATTTGGTTAGTTTATCTATTGATCATTAGAATGTATTTGATATAAATTTTTATCTATAGATTTCACTAATGATGTATAATTACTTTTTCTAAAAATATATTACTTCATGTCAGTTAAAAATGTATATAATTGACATATTATTCTATATTTTTAAATATTTTCTTAATCATCTAACATCTATTGAATAATCGACAAAACTATGGCTATTTGACAAGAACGGATCTTACTTTAGATTCAATAACAGTAAATTTGCGCTACTTTGAAAACTATAGTTATGTGATTTGACTAGTTCAAATCATCATGATCATAAGTATCAATTGAATATTCATTATTGATGTCTGGGGTAGGTAGCCGAGTTTTCGTCACTTCATCACCTTCAACATGGTCAACACAAAGGAATCAGCATTTTTGAAGGACAATCACAAATGAATCTGAAAAGCTTGATGAAATGACGATGTCGACTAAACTAACATTTCTCTTTTAAATATTCAATGGGGAACGGGTAGACTTTCACAATAATTATTAGCACTACAGAGCACAAAAACTAATCGGTCTCCATTTTGTAAAAAAAATCAATTAGACCAATGACCTATTGCTATTAATTGAGTGAATGGAAAACTAGTGATTTTATTAGAAATAAGTCAAAAAATTTTTGATGGATTCTTAAAATGAGAAATGGAGACCTTTAGAAATAAAAATTGAAAGAAACAGAAAAACATTTATCTATAAGCTGCAGCTTAACACCGGAATTCGCTAAACGAAACTCACAATATTCACACATTGGCCGTCAACTTCTACGGCGTCGGAACCAACGAGGAACATTCATTCATACATTTAACTTTCATCATTGTATTTATCTCTGTGACTCCCTAATCACTCTACGACTCACAATTTAAATAGATAGTTAAGAAAAACGAGTGATTTGAAAGTTGGAGATCTCTTTTTCGAATCATCATCGCAAATCATTTATTTTATTAACATCGATTGATCGGAAGCTAATCGACATAGCAAATTATAATTTACTCTTTTAAGGCACTTTTAAAAACTCACCTGGGTAGATTCTCTCTGGCCAAACCTTGTGGACTTCCAGCTTTCTTGTATCAACTTGCCGGCGAAAATCTTACCAACTGTTAGTCTGTTATTTTTTCTTATTTCTAAAAAGTAAGAATTGTTGTTAAGAATTAAATTTCCTAAATATTTTCAATGAAACTGATAACTTATTTAATAGCAATGGTTACCTTCTGCCCTCGGCACTAGAAGTTCTAACATCTTTTTGGCTTGGATAGGCCAAATAGCTTTAATAGTTTCCCTTAGTTCCTCGTCCGCTTGGTCCATTTCGTCGGCTGTGAAAAAGAAAGATCGTGTAGCATTGAAAAAGGAATGATTTTCAAAATAAATTTATGGACTATGACATACCACTTCTCATTTTAATGCTAAGATTTTCCCTGATCAATGCAAACAGAGTTGTGGTGAATTGGACTTTTCCTTCCTCGTCCATTGGCATGTTCATTCTAATAAGTTTTTTGTACGCTAGCCTTGAGGGACATTTTTGACCAAAACCCAGCGGCGGATCCATATTTTTCAGCATATCAAACATTTCTTCCACTGCTATTTTGCCCGTAGCGTTTGGATCGTATTCGGCCCATATCCTGACGTACTCGTCGAGATGATGAGCACCAAGAATAGAAGAGTCACGGGTCAAGTAATCGAAATTGTCCATAATGACAGCGACGAAGAGATTCAGCATGAGGAACGAACAGAAGAAGATGAAACTGACAAAGTAGGCGTAGGCGAGGTTCGAGCCGCATTTGTTTCCCGTCTCCTTCGAACGAGGATCGCACGATGATTCTGCCACACACGCCAGCATGATGTTCGGCCATGCCTCGCCCGTCGCGCATCTTTAGAAAATATCATGTTAAACTCTTTCCCAGTTTAGGTATTTTTTTTATTTGTAATTTAAGTTATTCTTTTTCTCCTGTTTGTATTCAAGTATCAAAACTAGAATCATTAGGCTAAGATTTTTACTGAGCTTTCAAACGACAAGTGGATCGATGTTCTAAGAACACGAGAAATAAAGAAAGATTCTCTTTATGGAAAATAAGAAAGTACAGATATCTAATAAGCCGTGCAGTGGTTCTATAGGCAAGCCATGAACTGGTCAAAGAACAGTTCCCAAAGCAATGTGCAGATTTGACGTGCATCGAAAAGTCCATGTCGGCATGGGGGTTTGCTTGGAAAAATAGAAAATGCAACAGATTTGAAAAAAAAAATTGTTAAAGGAGATCTCATGCTGATTTTATTTTTGGCATTTTTAATTGAAAATAAAGAATAATTGACATTTTCATGGCTTGCAGTGTCTAATACTCTACGTGTCCAGAATGTGCAAGAAAACCAAAGATGACTTTGTTTTCATTCATGAAATTGAACCCACAGAGAGTTTCAAAAGGTGTTTAAAAAAAGTTACTTTATTTGTAGTTTTGATTGGAAGAAAATTAGTCAACACATATAGGCACATATTGTTTGCGGCATTATTAATCTTTAGGTATATACATGATTACGTTTTTCAAGTTCCCGAAGCTTTCGTGCACATCAATTTTTCTGAAGGAGACACCACTTACCGAAATAGTAACATCAGACCTTGAATGAAACTCTGAAAATTATTGTGCTTGTTGATCGCGTTTTTCTCTTGTAGGTCGATGTTACCGAACACCTGAGAGTGAAGGTAAGCAGATGGCCGCAGCGAAAACAGAGCGAAAGCACCATTAGAATGAGTGGATGATCAGATAATGCAGTTTTATCTAATTAAATTTCTTTTATTAAAATGTTTTTCATGAGTTATTTTTTTTTTCCTTGATAGTGCTCTCTCTTTTGCTGGGCCAGTCACTATATACTATCTGTACGTCTTTTTCTGCCAAACTAGCGGTGTGTGTACTATCAGCACTAATTGCTTTACTTGGTATCAATGTTGATAAAAAACAATAATAAAACTGTTTTCTACTGACTATGATGAATCATAAAAATGAGCTAAATACTTTATTGTAATGGTTTGGGGGTATATAATAATCAATGGAATTTAATAATAATATTACCTAAGACTCGTCGAGCAGCTTACTTCTAATACTACATTCACAAGCTATAACTATTATTATCAGACGTTCTTCATTTTACCAAAAAATGACTAAATACAATTGAAAAAAGGTGTACAATCGAAATCGCCCTTGCTTCTCAAGAGAACGATCTTTTCATAACCTTCTAGCTTATGTAATTGTAGAAGTAAATGTAAATGTATAAAATTATAACCTAATGGTCAATCATAAACCTCTAAAAATTATTTTGTATTTCAAAAAGAGTAAAGTAAAAATAGAAAGAGGAAGAGATAAAAAATTTGGTATGACTAATGAAGCAAAAAAGTTACGCTTTTGAGATAAAAAAATGAAGAAAATAAAAAAACGCTGCCAACTGTACTGGCGGAGTGCTTCCTTGAAGAGCGAAAAGAACTATGTGGCTTTGTTCTTTTCGCACGTCGAAAAAAATATTTCCAATTTCAACGAAATATCGTGAAATCAATTTTACGAGATTTCACTTTGGAGCCCATGGAATCAGCTTTCAAATGAGTCCTCATACGTGGAATAATATGCTTGCAATAAAAAGTTATGGTTGCTTGAGCTTAGGGCTTGGAAATTTCATCCACCATACTCGCTTAAAAAATATCTACTTAACAATTTAATGCTTGATTTATGCCGAATATGCACAAAATATTCAAGACCAAAAATTAGGAAAGTTTTAAATAAAAGAAAAACATTTTACTTAGAAAATATAGTAATGTAAAAATAATTATTAATAAATAGCTCTAAAAAGTTTTCTACTCAAACAATCAGTAAGAATTGTATTTTTCTTTCTATTTATGCGAACTTGCAAAAAGTTTGGATTCATTCACGCGGATAGAACCACCGTAGTGCTTTACAACATCTATACACATATAAACAACGGAAATCGCAGCAACATTTCATATTTGACTGATCGCGAAGCCTAATGCCAGATACCTATAGAAAATCAGCAGCGAAAACATTCACAAGCATAAATAGATGCTAGTAAATCATAAATAAAACATAACTGAAGAATTCTGATGACACCATCAGAAACTCCGAAAAAAAATTCCATGAAAACAAAATTTTCTCTTCAAGGAAGCAAAAGGAAGAAAATGAAAAAACAATATAACTTCAGTGAAATGAGTATAATTGTAGAGAGTGTAAGCTCGTCTATGTTCTGTACTTCGTTTATAGCGGGGAGCCAGTAAAAAAAACAAGAACTTCTCTCAAGATATGAGTTTCCTCAATGTTCAGCTGCTCGACTCACCGAAAGAGCAACATAAGACCGCCAAAAAAGGACTGAAAGTTGTTGTGTGATTCGATAGCCGTGGTTGGATCGTTCGCCAGATTTCCAAAGACCTGATGGTTAAACATTGTTATGGTGTGATATATGGTATGATAGGATTTGTTTTTTTCTTTTCATCGCTGAAAAGTCTTGCGATAAGTATATCACCGCTTTATGCGTTGCACGCGCTTGTGCAACCACTTTTCTGACTATCCTAACATTGGCCCGATGTGTTGTATGATTCATGATTTTAAGCGATTTCATTCTTGTTTTGTATAAATACATAATTTCTATAATTACGATTCTACGATTCTTACCTGCATGCCGATTATAGCGTAGATGAAAAAGAGCATGGCTATAAGTAAACATACGTAAGGTAAAGCCTGAAATGAAAGATAATATTATCAGAATTGCTCAATCACCTCTAAAATTGTTAAACGTATGAATTTTTAATGCGGCCGCATTACTTTAAATGACTGAACGAATGTCCAAAGTAATATTCGTATGGTATAGCCTTGCCGCAGTAGTTTGATGAGACGAGCTGCACGAAAAAGCCGAAGGAAGCCGACATTGATGAAGTTCTCCTGCAGGGAACAAAGGAAATTGCACTTAAACACAAAATATTGGTGGTCCCGTAGTCGGGATGAAAATTGGGCTCCGTGCGCGCAAACAAGTTTAGCCAAGCTGAAACACACCGATTCGTGCCTCGAACGATCATCGATGTGACGCTTTATAGGGCTCGACTTTTGTGCGCTCGAAGCTATCAAAACCATCATTTTTTTCTGTTCCCAACGAATTGTCTACGTTTTTAAATATATCTATACTAAAAAGTTAATCCCACTGGAAATATCTGCCAAGTCACCGGTAGAACAGTGCATTTTTCCATTAGAGCAGTAACTTTGTTAAATTCTTTTTATACAATATTTTACAGAGCCGTATCAATTATTCAATTTTTTTACTGGAATAGATAATTTCTTATACGTTAAGCAGGATCGTGTGTTCAAGAGAGCAAAAACCAAAAATTTTTATTTTGCTAACTGAAACATAAATTGTCACATTTACAGCACATTGAAAATTTTTACGCAGCATTGAATAAAGGTACACAAGGCGACTTTGAAATAATTACACTGACATAAAGTTAGCGAGCTTTGACAGAACACACGATCCAAAATTATTAATAATTTACATTATATTTATGTTAGTCAATACAAATAGCGATTTTAATTAGCAAAAATATTGGGGCTAACTCATCTCGTACCTTCTTCAATACAAATATTTTATAATGATTTGTTACAATAAAGTTAGTTCTCTTATAATAAAGCACACTTCTTCAGCTATATGTAATTGGTAATTAAGTTTTTCACTAATTTACATTTATTTGCCAATCGTTCAAAATTTTTGAAAAATACAACGACATGAAATTATTCTAAATACTAACTACGACTACAAGTACTGTCGTTGTTTTTCTTTATTGAAGAAGTATGACATCAGTCATATTCTAACTCTATCATATTATAACTATTATTTCGGGGATATTAATTCTTATGTAAAACTTCTTTGTTCATAACTCATCAATAAACTATACTACTAAACAATAGAAATTCCCAAATCGGAAATACAATTAATCGAACAATTGTCTTCTTTTAACAAAAACATTATTTAATATTTTCTTTGAATTTGAAATATAAATGTTATAAAAACATCGAATTAGCAAATTAAGCTCTTCAAATGCTTGCCAAGCAGCAGCGTAGATAATATACTTATTTTGAAAAAGCAAAAGTATTCTAGTCCCAGTGTTGCCAAGCCAGTGATAAATCTTGAGTCTGTATAGATTTAGTGTTCTCTGAAAATAATGATGTCCATTTGATAGGAACATATAGTGTATGGATAAAAAAGCGTCAATATTATTTGAGTGTATTATTGTATTTATGGTGTAATAGTACTGTGTAGATTGTATTTACAGTCAGCAAAGGAAATGCCAAACAAAAATTATGTAATGAAACAAGAAACGACAACAACACGTAAATGAAACAAACATTTGTACACGTACATTCAGCCACTCACACAATTAGCCGAGGGTAAAGGAAAATTGGGTGCTTCGTTTTTAAAGACTTCTGTTGAATATTTAAAAAAATTAAATCAATTTTAGGTGCAAAAGTAAAATCATATTCGTTAAGGCTCAAAAGAACAAAGTATATGAAGCATTGCTCAATATGTCAAAGATTACACCGAATCAATTTTATTAAAATAGAAAAATACATTTGAACACGTATCGTTAAGTTGCAATACACTAATATTATTATAAAAAAATTCTAATATCGTGGCCAGTTTTATTCTTGAAAAAGCAAAATTGGAAATTTTGGATAAAATATAAATACAGTGGAGAACAATCTTGAATTTTTGAAAAATTCTCGTTTGTAAAACACACACAACAGGGAGCGGCTTACCAGGATCTGGAGTGCATCAGTGCGACGTATAACAGAACATCAAAAAAGGCCAAATCGTCCAATTTTTAGAAGAATTGGAAAAAAAGTTTGTATCAATGAGCAAAATTTTGATCGCAAAATAAAATTTACTCTAATAATATAGAGATTATTGAACTGGTTATTTAATTATGGGTGGCGAGACTTGACATTAACGCAATTTCACTCCAATGCTTGGTTTAAACCAACTCTCAAGTAATTAATGAACAACATTATGTAAATTTCACACATCAACCATCGTTATGCGGAGTGTGTGAATGTGTCTCACCTTCTTACTACCCCTAGTGACGTATAAACTTTCCTTTACACTATCCCTCTGAAATTCAATGCGTTTAAATTAAATTTTACAATTTTATTATTGTTTTAAAACCAATCATAACCTTCGTTGCAATACTTTGACTCTTATTAAAATTACGATATGTATAGAATAGAAACCGAATGCAATGTACAGGGTAATGTTAAAAAAAACACAAAACTCATATAATATCAAGCGCCACTGCACAATTATTTTCGTGTTGGTATATCACTACGTGGGTAGGTGCTTATACACACATAACAATAAGAGATAATGATGAATTGATTGTTCATACGTATATGATGAACTGATTATTCATGAAAAATATTGAGTGTGAAACGATCGAGTAAGAAAAAAGTGTACACAGGATATTTGCATGTAACATTAATTTTTGTGATTGTGTTGTGTACACGTAGACATGAAATTAATGACGGTATTATATATAAGTGCTATATGTGTCATACGTAAAAATTATATCTTAATAGTTTTTCGACCAACACTTACACAAACATCAAACAAAGTATGTGTTTTTCGATGTTGCGTTTGTTTAAGAAATGTTAGTTACAATGTGTGATATCATATGTTGTACGGATGTTTATCTTTGGCAACACTGCTCTTTTTCTCACTCAATAATAACGATGAAATTCATTCGACTCGGCAATTTGTTCGATATTTCTATCTTGTACCAGACTATACAATAATACAGTCTTAACAGTTATTTTAACTAAACGGGCTGTCCAATATCTACGTAGGATTTCAATTGACTTGACTTTCACATGGGATCTCATCAACAAAACGTGGTAATATATATACTAAATTAAGAGAAATGATTATATCAAAAATTTGATGCAGTAGATTCTACGACTGTCAATCATGGATAATATGAATAGTTCATAACTTTGAATTGAAAATGCCGCCACATAACTAAGTATATATATGTATAATAAATATTAAACATATAAAAGGAGATGATATTGGATATGTGGCTAGGGTTTAAAGGATCTAATTCAAACTAATATATAATATCTGCGAGGTTCAAAAAGGAAGGACGATTTTTTTTCGAGCTCCAGCCAGCAACAGCTCCCACTACGGCGGCACTTTGCTTTATTATATCAATACCTATATAGCAACGTTTACATGGTATAGAAAAAAGATCAAACTACGGTGCTATTCCGCTCTCTCCAACGACTTACCCTCTTCTTTGCCCCGGCTTGAAATAAACGCGCGATGGCATCCTAGTTGGAAAAAGAATATTTTCAATATCACTAAACAACATTCATGTTTTCCCTTTAACTCGCGCAATTTCTTTTTCGTTACTCCCTTCTATTGCACCATTGATTTTTTTTATTTTCAGTATATCATTTCACTTTCGAGTGGCCTTGTTCGAATGGTAAGGGCGCTGATATATTATACACGTGTTACGTTAGTAATAAAAAGATACACTAGGACTATACATACCCCGAATTCGACGACTAGCGCATCCACGATGCTACCGATGACCGTGATGAAGTCGAACGTATTCCAAGGATCCTTGAAGAAGTTCTAGATTGGAAATATTAAAAAATACTGAATTAGCTGACTGTGATATAATTATTTGAGACATTCAAAGAGTTAACAAATTTTTATTTTTTTTTCCATTAAATTGCATTGTTTAACTAATTCTGGAAGAAACTTTGATAACTCTTATGAAGCACTAAATTTGTACATATATATAGGCACAATTGAGACTACATTTAAATATAGCATCTTCAACGATCCTCGTAAATTTTAATTAGTGTACCTCATATTTTAAGTTCGGTATCCGTGTAATTATACAATTATATCTATATTAATAATGCGTCTGTAGTGTGTGTCATTAAAAATGGGTGTACTACTATAGTCTGTTTAAGAAGAGTGTTTATAAAAATTATGACATGTATAACGCGTAAATTGTATAGAATATTCCAATATAACAGGCGTGTGCTCAAGTGTACTTGAGAGCGAATGGAACATGGTATCAACAGTTCATTGCTCCAAGTGAACGAGAAAAATTATATAATAAATATTTATGGTGATCGCGCGACAATATATGTGAGCAGGTGCGTTTTCAACTAATGTGTGTGGCCAAAGAATCAAATATATAAGGCATATTTAGGAGGTATACTGTTATATTCGTATACTTTTTTTGAGGTCGTATATAATAAGTATATAAAAGGTGAATGACGTCGATATTACCGACTGTATATATATATATACATACATACATACATACATACATATGTATATATATATATACTATAAAGGATTACTTCTATTGAAATAATAATAATAGATATATCTACGGGAGCATGCCGGTTTATTAGCAAGCATTCTAAAAAAATATTGTCTTGAAATCGTTTCAGCGCGCGAGCTTTGTATATGAGAAATAGTTCTTGTGATATATAAGCTTATCTAAATGTACTTCGGCAAACGACGAAAGTAAATGAAAACAAAAGGTAGTCTTATAATTATATAGCTTTCCTCTAAGACACGTATATAATAAATCTATATATAATAGTAGAATAGAAAACTATGACATTTATGCATAATAGTATATAATATAATTAAATCATCAAGATAATTCTAATAAATAAGCTCTAGGCGCGCTCTCCATTACTTTCCACTCGGATTGATACTAATCATAAAAAGTAACATCAATTTATCGTGCACGCTCAATGATCTACTTATATATAAGACGATTCTCTTATATATATGGTAGGAGGATTATTAAAAAACCAACATGTGTTTTTGCAACGACCTTTTTTCGATTCCTCTCATTAACTTTTTAAATCCGTGTCTTCTTTGCTAACCAAATCCAGATAGAAGATATGCATTGTAACTTCTTTTGCCACGACAATCGTTGTTCTGTTTTAATCATTTTTTGCTCATCTACCGTGATATACATATATAAAGTGACGCTCTTTGAAAGTTTCTAGATATCATATAAGAAATTTCTTTTTTTTTCTTTTAAAATAAATTTATGTGTGATTGGTTGATTGATTGATTGATTGATTGAATGGAGTGATGAATAGAGGCTTTTGTTGTACCTTGCATCCAAAGGCGACGAGTTTAAGGATGCACTCAATGAAGAAAAGGAGGGTGACGACCAAGTTCACGTAGGTCAAGCTGTCCAATAGAACTGGCGGCGCGTCGTGATACTACAAAATACACCCAACACACAGACGTAACACACTCGGCTATTATGATTGATTCCTTATATGATTGATTTTTCATTTCATTGAAACCTATGTGAAATCTGTGTGCCCTTTATACAGCATTATCATTTTTTTTTGCAAATATTACTCGATTTTTAAAATAAGAAACAATAAATAACGTGAACCACTTATATGAGACAAAATCTCATTTTATAAATAAGCATATTGGCTATCTCACAATTAAGTAAAGCTGTAGCTTGCAAATAAAAAATAATAAAAAGCTTTTATGATAGGTTACTCAATTGTGAGCTTTTGTTATTTTTATAGTAATCGAACCTTAACAAAACCTACTTATTCGAAGAATTTGTCTTTATCTCGTTTAGAGATTGCAAAATAATGCAATGAAATTCAGCCATTTCTATTAAAAAAAGTGTAAATTATATCGTACAGAAGTTACAGCATTTGATGAAACGAATTTTGTGCATGCAAGAACAAAAACGACAAAAATAATAAAAACCGTCTCCCACGTATAAAAATTGTTGTTACTTTATTACATAAACCGAACGATATTTATGTATATACACATATATAAAGGAGTGCATGGATTAGAAATATTATAGCACATACAAGTGAGTCATGCACATGCATTGGCAATAATGTTCTAATGCATATAGGATTCGGAGGCGTTGGGGTGTACATTTTGTTTTGTTCTTCATTCTTTTTTTTATCAGGTTTTCAGTTCCAGTTGAGTAGCTTAAGACTCCTCTTCATGTCAACCTAGATAAAAATGATGTAAATCAAGGAAATAATGAGAAATTAAGTGGAAATAATCTAAGTAGCCATAGATAGATAACAGATACAATGAGAGTAAAAGAAATGTAGAATATGAAACAGTAGAGACGAAAAGATAATAAATGTTCAAATAAAATAACGTGTAAATAATACTTTTTGTGGAAGCTGAAATGTAGATTTTTGTCTTTCATATACGTGTACGTGTGTTCAAATAATGTTGAGTGTGTATGTATAAGTGTCGATGAATGTATTTTGTTTTCAATTTTCATTTCGATGATGATACACTATATTTCATATTTCTCATTAATTAAACGTGATAATATTTATATATCGTCATTTGCCAGACACACGCAAACCTTTTTTTATGCATTCTTGATGTATAAGGATACCGAGGATCCTTCCAGTACGCACATTTCAGGTACGCCTTTTATAATATTAATACTCCATTTCATTTTTTTTTCACGGTCTCGTTGTTAAACGATACGCTCATCCTACTAGTATCTTATATTTTAAAGCTATTACGCTCTATAAATCATCTAAGAAGCAAGACTTACCAGGTTTAGGGGTTTAAAGGATATATATATATTTCGCTATGCTTTATTACCAATGTTATCAAATATTTTTGTCTTATTGGCGTAAATAAAGCTTAACGAAAATGGATATTGCAGAGACAGGAAAATAGGGATAAAAGTAGGAGTTTCAGTATTACATGTGCAATTAGAAAAGATTTATCGTTTTGTTCAGGTCACAAGGGTTCAAGGATAAAGGGATATGTTAGAATTTTGTTTGAGGACTATGGAGCTCTTACCCTGACGCCAAACGCGGCGATCTTCATAATGCACTCGATGGTGAACATCCCGGTGAAGCACATGTTCATGTACTTAAGTGTATTCTTGTAGACATCGCTCTGCCGGTGGTACTGTAATGCACACACTGACAAACACTCGGGCGACAACAACATTCTCACAATTTCTTTTCTTTTTCTACAGGTTCTCATATCTTATACTTCTTTTCTCAGATCGAGTTTTTCAGTTCTTTTAATAAAAAATCAAAAAACAAGTGCTCTCTTATTTACCCCGCCTTTCATTAGAAACTTAAAAATTTTGCATTTTCAATGTGTTTTTCACTTTGCTTACCAAGCAATTACTTTAAATCGTTTACAAATTACTTTTTGTAAGATCTATTAATATTCTACACTATGCGACAATAGAATAGCAAATTTTTAAATACTCTCTGATATTACAGAAATGGTCTTACATTTGAATCTAATTATTCAATGATACATACATACGACACATAGGAATAAAAAGTATTTTCAAATTATCTATGGTTTTCAAGTGGATCATATCTAGACAGTGGAGGTCTGTAATATTTTAACGCTATGGGAATCATATACGTGTAATTCGTATATTAGTTTGGTCCTTTCAGTGAACTCGTAACTTACTTTGAAGAAAGGATTGATATCAATGAGATCTTACTGTGTGTGAAATTTTGACAATCTCCAAAACTGACTGTTAGTATAAGTTTTATAAAAAGATTTGATTGGAAACGCAAAGTAAGATTTCATTGCTGACACATAACTAAAAGAATTTTGATGACTGATTTATGAATACCTATGTTCAAAAAAATCATGAACCCGAGAGTTTACTGCAAAACAATCAGCGAGTCGTACGTAAATAATCAACGAAACTTATAGCAATTGGCACTTATTGCATCATGTTGGAAAATTATTTTCTGTGGCAAAGGTGGATAGTCGAGGGAAACGGACGGAAAGACGGGACAGAAAGAGAAGAGGGGAAAAAAGTGAGTGATAATTAAAAGATTTTGTTCAACGTGGTGAAGTGGAACAAATTTCATTTTAAAAGAGTTTATGCGCAGTGCGTCCGGCCCGTGCAACAATGTGATTGAATATATTTAACATTCTTGGTGCTTTTTATCGTTTTTTTTGTGCGACAGCCATCATGCGACACGTACTTGTGTATTGTTAGTGTTAGAATAGTGAATTTATTTCACATTCGACTCGGAGAGGATACGTTTAAAGAAATTAATAATACAGATACGAAACATGAGTACACAGAATACTCTCCGACAATTCGAATGATTGTGTTTGTTATAGGAACACTGTTGTGCAACCGTTTCGTTAATAGTGGTGCAGTGCAGGTGCTGTTAGTACTCGAACATAACCGTTCAGACAAGAAAATTGTGAAATTACGAACAAGATAGGAATTAATTATTCAATAGAACAAAAAGACCGATTCGAATTACGAAACAGACGATTAACAGAAAAAATATACGTTTAGACAAAAGAGACAATGAGTTTACTTTATACAAGGTAAGATGAAAATGAACGGGCTTGTTTGTGTTACGAAAAATTATGCAAAAAAAAAAAACGATGAGGTTCGGGGAAAACATTTAGATTGGATTTGAATATTTATAAAATAATTAAAAAATATATATTTTTGATTTTTAAACATAATTGATTAATTTGAAAGCATGTGCGAAAAACATCGCGTGCGTAATTATCACGGTCGGCACGGTGTACTTCCTCTGCTCTATAGAGGAGTGGCTATAGATAATTTGAAGTAAAAAGAGAAATCTAAAGAGATAGAAGGAAGGAAAATTAATTCGATCCAGTTAAATAATGGCTTTAACAGAGTGCAAAAGCAAAAGTTTTAGCGTGTCAACGCATATAAGTGTTTTCAGTATAGAGTTTAAATAGATTCAAATGAAATTCAGAAAATTCATTAACCATGCAGCCTGAGTTTTTATCGGGAGAAACATTAAGAAGTTTGTTAGAATCTCTAGTTTTAATAGAATTATTAGCTGCATTGCGCGATTATCGAGAAGTACTACTACAAGATTTATACGTTACAAGATTTTTTTCAAATAAATTATTTAATCTTTGGAAAATCTTTGACTTAATAAATTAACTTAGTAATACTGTAGAAGAAAAGCAATAAAAATGCTATTAGTTTGCTAATTATGATTATATCTTACTGAATTATTTGTCTTAGAAAACAGGTATCAAGAAGGAGAAAAAGGTTAGTAAATAAAGGACAAGGACAAATGGAATATAATAATTGTTGATGACGTAGCAATATTGGGTATAATTATTCTTTTTGAACGATAATATGAAATAATGGTATCGACAGTAGCGTTAAACTGACACAACGAATGGTAGGGGAGTAAGGGTTGAAGAAAAAAAAATACGGGGTTACGTGTATTTCATCAATAACAAATAGGGACCACAGACATATGAAACAAATACGTTGGCAAGCAAGTATACAACGAACTTTTTCAACAGATGTGCGTGATTATTTTACAAAATTTCTCCACTATCGATTTTTTCTTTATCCTTTTTCCACAAAAAATTAATATTTTAGAGAAAGATCTCATTTTTTTGATCAAAAACCAAATGAAAATTCATTGCTCGATCTTAAAAAAAATTATTAATAGCACTTAAATGTAAAACTGTAAAGAATACATAAACATTATTGCTTGTAAAAAAACTGGTTTCAAGGATTATAAATCAACAAATTGACAAACTTTATATATTTACAATGCACCACGAATAAAGAAATCTGATGTATTATGATGAACTCTAATATGAAATCGAAAGAGTCACTTTATTCATGGTTATTGAGAATTATCAATAATCGAAACGTGCTGTCATGTTGATCATGAATGAATATGAAGCTTGTAACTTCGAAATAGTACATTTTGATACCGGTGCGAGAATGCGATTTCATCCTCGTGCAGATGTTTGGGCTCTAGCTCAGTTCGCTCGGGCGCATACGTCTACACGAGGTTGAATACACTTTCTCGATCCGACTTTATTTTTCGATACGACGTCTGTGGGACGAGATTTTAAGCATGTTCGATTTCGCGAGCGTGCGTAAAGTCGAGTTCCTACACACGGAGTGTCGAAATACGTATTAATGACAACTCAAGCATACTTTTCGTTTGATAGAGCTAAGAACGCTTACCTTCATCATGAGTAAAAGTGTATTAAGTACGATAAGAATCATAATGAAGTACTCGAATGGCGTTGACATGACTATCTTCCATATTTTGAACTTCATGCTGTTACGCTCTTTCGGCATATACCTTTCGAGCGGTCTAGCCTGTATCGTAAAGTCTATACAAGATTTCTAAAAATAAGAGGAAGATGAAACAACACGTGAGAAAGGGTGAGAAAACGAGAAAGAGGATGTTAATATCGAAGGATGATTGTTTTGTCACCTGATTCTTATCAATTTCCCCGTCCTGGAGCTCGGCTTCGCCTTGCTCTTGAAACGTAATGATAATCAAGGCCACGAAGATGTTGACGAAGAAGAATGGAAAGACGATGAAGTAGACAATGTAGAATATAGACATTTCGATGCGAAAATTTTGTATGGGACCCTGGTTCTCGTAAGTGGCGGCCATGGAGTTTTGCAGGATCTGCGGCCATCCCTCGCCCGTCTGCACAGCGAATAGCGTCAGCATCGCGATCATGACGTTGTCGTAGTGAAACGGCTGCGACTCCCAGACGCGCTCTTTGGCCTGCGGGTGCAGCTCGCCCTCCTCGAATATGAAAAAATAGCCCCTGCGAGCAGAGAAAAGCACACGAGCGGAAATACACGGGTGGCGCTCACGGGCACGCGGTATCTTTGCGAGCGACACTCACTGGCATGTCGGCTTGGTGTACTTGCTCTCGTCCGTGCAATGAAAGAACTTGCCGTTAAACAGCTGTACCGCGATCACAGCGAAGATGAATTGAAAGAGGATGTACACGATGAGAATGTTGATGACGTTCTTCAAGCTGTTGACCACGCAGTCGAAGACCGCCTTGAGCTTGGGCACTCGCTTAATAGTCTTGAGGGGCCTGAGCACCCGAAGCACACGAAGCGACTTGATGGTCGACAGATTTTTGCTCGCGGCACCACCGCCGTCCTCGCCGGCCATCATGTCGAACGCGAACGACACTGCCGCGCACACCACCACTATCGCGTCCATGAAGTTCCAGAACTCGCGCAGATACGAGCCCGGATGGAGTATCACGCCGAGATCGACGATCTTGAGGATCATCTCGATGGTGAAAACGCCGGTGAACGCGTAGTCGAAGTAGTTGAGTATCGTATTGCGCGGGTTCTTGTCGTAGACCGGATCCTCGGCGGCCAGCGCTATACTCGACAGCGTGATCACCACCATTATGAAGGTATCAAAGTAGCGCAGGTTCACCACCCAGTGAGCGCCTCTCCTCACCCTGCGAACAAATTCAGCTTGCAACCGAAGACTTGGCGGCAACCTCGTCTGGCGATTTCCTTTCACTCACGGGTTCGTCGGGGACAGTATAAACATAGAGGAATACGGCAGCATTGGTTTTGGTCCCGAATCGTCTTCTTCCTCCTGCTTCTTCTCTTCTGACGCCTGCTTGCCGCCTTTCCCATCTTTGCTGCAATCGCAAGACAAACGCAGACGCTCAGCTGTAGCTTTCGATCTGCCAGTGGCGCCTGTCTGTCGGTGTCTGTCACACTTACAAATTAGACGTTGGACTTGGAGGACTGATTTCCACTTTGGGCCCGCTACCATCGCTTGGCTTCTGCAACGACTCCATCTCCTTCTCGAGCTCGAGCTGTTGCTTCTCCTTGTCTTCTTCCTCCTGCTCCTCTTCGGCCGCTGTCAACTCTTGCGCGTTCGCGAGATTGTCCACGGCGATAGCCAAGAATACGTTTAGCAGTGTGTAATTGCCAAAGAGCACCAGGACTATGAAGTACAAGGAGTAGATCATGCCTTTCTTGTGCCCACCCTGGGACTGGATGCCTTGGTACATGACCTCGTTCCAATCTTCGCCAGTCAATATCTGTCGGTGAAAAAGCTCGGATGAAAAAACGAGCCCTCGAGAGCGAACAATCGCAAGAGGCAGGCAATTCGTAAAGACTCACTTGGAAGACAGTGAGAAGTGCGATGGGAAAGGTGTTGAAGTTGGTGGGTGGCGTGCCGCTGTCGAAGTTGAATTGACCGCCGAACAGCTGCATGCCGAGTAGGGCGAATATAAGAATGAAGAGGAAGAGCAGGAAGAGGAGGGAAATGATGCTGCGCATCGAGTTGAGCAGTGAGATGACGAGATTACGTAGACTCGACCAATATTTGGTTACTTTGAAGATCCTCAAGAGTCTGAGGGCACGTAGGACGGAAAGGCCGAACGAGCCGGATTTTAATGCCGACCAAATCACCTCGAATATCGAGCCTGATATCACCACGCAATCGAAGCGATTGAAGCTCGACTCGAAGTAGATGCGTGGCCCCAGAGCATACATCTTGATCACCATCTCGCACATGAACAGCCCCAAAAATATAAACTCGGTGTAAACTGCAACCAGAGCAAAGGATCGTCAGCGAGCCGCGTCCATTTCATTCATCCCTCCGTCTTTGTTGCCCCACTCACAAAGAAAGTCTGTGAGCCATTGGGGCTGGCCGTAGTGTTCGACGGCCACGGTCACAGTGTTGAAGAACACGAGGACGATCACGAACCAGTAGAACCATTGAGTCTTCACCGTTTTCCTTATCCAGAAACGGAACCTCTTCTCGTTGCGCCAGAATTCCGCGCAGGCTCCTTGATTTTTCACCTTTGATTTGAGATACGAAGCTCTGCCGAGTCCTAGAAGAAAAACCCCAATCGGCAATTAGCCTTGCTTTTTCTTGCTGCTTCGCTCCAAGTCGAGCATATTAGTAGCGCTCTGCATAATCGTGACATTCAATGGCCAACATATATATTGCTCAAAGATACGCCTCTAAGCGCAAAGCGCTCATATTCAATTTTTTTTCTCTTTTACTAAACGTCAAAATCATATCGTATCGATAGCTGCTTGTAAAGATGACGCATGTTTCTAAGCTAACAAAGGGAACTGCGCTTCTCTTCCTATTGAAGAGAAAATCTTCCGGATGTGCTTGGCAACTGGATCGTAATAACTGAGATTGTCGTCCTTTCGGAATATTTCATTTGAATAACGACGAGGGCCGAAGAAGCCGAACGAGTGAAAATAGAACGGGAGAAAATTAGCTTGATCAGTTGCAGAAATTTCCTTGTATGTATAAATTAAGCGACCGCAAGTGAGCAGCCCTCTTTCTCTCTCGGGCTGCTGGCGTAATGAGGTTAAGTGGACCGAACGAATGATTCAGAAGTAGCGCATCCAGAAGATTTATTTGAGAGGATATATATAATCGCTAGATATTGATATGTATATACGATGCGTGATTAATGAATGATTAATATTAAAAAATAATGTTACTATCTCAACTAGCTAATTTTAATCATAATCTGGCTAAGCTCGATATACGTATACCTATCAACTAATCATTACGCTAATAATTATAGTATTACAATTTTACGATTACGAGTCAATAATAGTAATAACAATGTGTCGCTCACCTAACGCAAGCCACTCTTTGTTAATTTTTTTATTATTTCACATAGCTTCTAATGGTATTTCATACACAAATCTACACGACACACACTCCTGTCGAGCTCTGCACGCGATATTTATAAAACTACTTTGTTATAAGCAGAGGGATATATAGTGTGAGAGACGCTACATGTACGTATACATGAGTGTATGGGTTTTTTCTTTTTTATTTTTTATTACTAACTAAGGTCTAAGCCCGAAGGCGAGGAAAGTATTTCAAAACTATAGAAGAAATAAAGAGGGGAAAACTAGTTTTCTCCCTTCACCTAAAGACTAGCAAACCCCGAGACCTACGAACGTTATTATTATCACACGTACACACTCAGAGCAACGATGCAGCTAAAAAGATTTTTTGTTATTTCGAGATTAAGTGAAAGAAAAGAAGAATGACATGAATAATATCGATACACACACTATGCATATGTATATACGACTAAAGTCTGTCTACGTGTCCCGAGCATATCGAGCTCTTTTTTTCTATTGACTATATATGCAAGGTACATGAATGAACGTTGCGACGCTTAATGGCTGGCCAGATATGTATTTGCACATACACGCACGTGCCTTTCCGACTGAAATTGCGAGAATAACAATTTTGCTTGCGCCGGGCAAGATTTCTTTTCTTTATTCGCTCTGTTTTCTCGCAAAATTGAGACGATTTATATATAATCAATAGGCAATGTACAATATAGTCAAGCAATATCTAAATAAATATTCATCAGTCTTATATAATCAACACTGCATAAGGATTGGAATGCATAGTGATGGAAAAAGAAAGGGAAAACAAGAATAAGTGATGAAGAGAGCGAGTGAAGGAGCAGAGAACGAGAGAAAAACAAAACGGGTGAATCACCGAAACGGAAAGCTTGCAGGAAATGGACAGCGGAGCTGTATCGGTTGGGCGGTCCAGCGAGCTTTCATGGCGAAAAAGGTGTACAACAAAAATAGACAAACAAGAATTCTCGCGCTCTTTACGTTTCCTTTATTATTTCCTCTTTCTTCGGTCCTCGTTTCGGTTTTCCTCCGATTATTATATTTTAACCAACTTTAGTCGACTGGTGCGTTGCACACAATATTACAACGTGCTTATGTATATATAGAATAAAAACAACAACAGCTTACTGCACACGTTCTGGGAAAGAGATAGATAGTGAGAGAGAGAGAGAGAGAGTTGTAAAAGAGATGGTGATTCTGTCTGCTGAGATGCACGTGTGTATAGTTTTTTTATAGATATTGTATGTATGTGCAAGTAAGTGTGTGTATATAATATTTTTTTCATTCGCCCACGTGATTTTTTAATAGCTCGCGCTTCGGTGTACATGTATATTTATTTGACTCTTCACTCTAATCGCGATTAGTGGCGTGCGATGCTAATTGCAAATTTCACGCATAAAAATTCGCGTCTTCTCCCATTTACTACGTTTAATTATTCTTGCTTTTTTTCGCTCCGGCATAAATAATCATAACAATAATAATAACAATAATAATAATAATAATAATAATAATAATAATAATAATAATAATAAAAGTAATGTCGAACAAAGAATATTGCATGAAGCTTACTTATGCAAGCAAACAATTTGGATGTTTAATACTTACACGTGAGCGACTGTGAATGTGTATGAGTGTGAATGTTGATGGGAATAGCAAATGTCGTATGTAGGTGTATATGGGTAATGAGATACGCATAACAGTACCATACAGTACTTTGTTACTTCCAACACAGACAGTAAGAAAAGAAAAAAAAACAACGAAAGAAAAGAACAATATAGCTTTTTTACTTGTAAGAAAAATAAAAAAAAATATAGATATATAATGTAGTATGACCTGGGTTGTAATTACCTTTCAGTTTTTTCTTAGGCTCTGAAACAAGAGGATCATCTGATAGCGTGTGTTTAGAATGCTTCTTGATAATATTAGAGGGATATGGTACGCGACATTTTTTCTTTTCACCTTGCGATAAGGTACGTGCAAACAATGTTATGGATAGGGGATAAATGTATAACAATAGAACGTGACAAGTACAATAACATTTGAATTTAAAATGAGACATAATGAAAGATCGACTGATTTTTCAATTGTTGCACTAAATCGCTATACAACTCTGAAACTTTCAAAACTCTCAAAAATAGATCTTTACTTAAGTAAGTAATGTAACAAGAATGGACAATGTTCAAAGGTATTCAGAAATTAAATGAAATCATTACATTAACAATAGTATAGAGACGTAACGGCATACATAAGATGAGAAAGAGAGAGAAAGAGAGAGAGAGAGAGAGAGAGAGACAGACAGAGTCGAAAGTTGCTAATCGAATAATAGACGAATGGGAAAAATACAACTCACCATCTTCCTGTTCATCTTCGGCGTCCTCCTCCTCTGTGTCCGTGCTTTTGCTTTTGCCCAAGTTTTTCAGCCTTTTCTTTTTGGCCGCTGCTCTCCTTCTCGCTGGATTCGGTGACAAATAGATAACGGTCAGTCGAAACGAATGTTGGTTAACGAAGAGTCGCGGTTCAGCGAAATTACCTTCAATGATGTGCATTTTCTCCTCCTCTGTCGTTCGTTCCTCGGCGAGTATGACTTCCTCTGCGGATAAAGAGCAATGAAAGTGTAATAACGCATGCCTGTGAGGCGCGATAAGAACTAGCGCGGCGTGTGTGATGCGCGACAAAGCTAGCGAGCAACGTCTGGATTATATAGTCAAGTCCAAGCGTCGTCACGGGAAACGAGAGAGAAGATGACACGGTAATTGCTTGCAGCTCTTTCGCTCGCTGCGTAAAAGCTCTAACCTGCTTTGCAGATCCACTCGACGTAGCCGTTGAGCTCGCGCTCGAGCTGCTGGTGCCTGCGCATCTTGAGAAAAGTCTGCCGGTTCTCCACCTTCTCCCTCTCCTTCGCGAATTCTCTACAATGAGCGTGACAACAAGAAACCAAATGAAAATAAACGGCGACAATCTCGGAGGATCGATCGAGCCGATGGACGCGAGCCATCCATGCCGACAGCCGTGCTCATCTCGTTTCGCATTTAGTTTTTCGATTAGCGAGTTGGTTCAGCGAGCCGGCCTAGCTTTAGACGACTTAACCCTGACAATCAGAACACAGGTGCGCGCGCGAGCGCGAGCGTTGGGTTCGTTAGACGTCTCTGCGATATATAGCCAAGCATATTTTGAGAAATATCGATTATCTATTTTTACTCTGGCTGGCGGCTGTTGCTGCTGCTCGGCCGCAGACGGGCAAGCGCAACTCTTTTTAATTTCCAACTCTGCATTGTACACACTAGCTTACGTTAATTGAGCTCTGCCTTGTACGGGGAACGCTTCTACAGAAATTCATAAACGCATTGAACCTGCTTGAGTGATCCAGTCTAAATACGAGCTGAAGGCGGTCGTGAAGAGACGCTTCATTTTAGCTTTCTGATAGGCAGCCCGCCTTTCCACCCGCGTTCTCTCGTTCGAGAACTCCCTACGTATACAACATCACATCGTCATTGTTTAGTCTTCTCGAAAGCTCTTCTCTACGCTCAACTACTTTTGCTGTTTACCTTCGTTGCTGGCGCCCATAGTTTTTATGATAAATGATAGTGTGACGTTCATGTTTCATCGATGACAAATGAAGTGAAAAAGTAGTTAAGTCAAAGTCTTGGTACACTTACCCGCTCAACACACCGAGAACTAGATTCAGCATGAAGAATGATCCGATGACGATCAGCGGTATAAAGTATATCCAGTTGAACGTACTACCGAGAGCGTCATTCGTCTATAAAATTTTAGATTAGAATTATCGTGAAATCACATCCGTGGTGTATGTACACGTAATTGGCGGCGGCCAACAACACAGCAGACATATATACGCCTATATATATATATATATATGTATATATATATCTATATATATATACGTATACGCACAGATTATACTCAGCAACAATGAGATTTCAATTAACACACGTAGATGTATATACTTATAAAGATAATATTGCTCCAAGAACAATTCCGTCGGCAATTACTGTCACAGGCGGAATTCTTCTGCAATGGTGTAACGTTCAATATATAAAGACACTATTTATAGATAAGGAGGTGTGAAAGATTGTCGATAGAGTGGTATGAACAGTATATAGTAGTGGACTTGGGTTGTTAATTCATTTGTGCTACACAGAAGTCTCTCTTCTACTCATCGTTTACGTTTTTTAAACAGTGCTCTGCAAACTATGTACTCAATTATATGCTACCCGTTATATCAATCGAATCAATGATTTTCGCTACGATGAGCCGGAAGACATTCAAGTGATTCAGATCTGAACAAAGTAGAGTTACACGATGGTATATTTAAATGTATCGAGGGAAATGAAAGTGTATAGGTTTCCGTGTATGATTCACACCCCCTCAAAAGCACAACCTCGAATTGGCTTTTCAAGGCTTTTTCTTTTTTTCAAGTAGCTCTTTGAACAAACATGATTTCGCCCTCGGCGTCAAAACACACTCCAGGCTAGAGTGTCCGCGTGTGTTTTTACGTGGAGAACTTTCAAGCTGACCTTTGAAAGCGGATTCGAGGTGTCTGTAAATGTACATTATCGTACAAAGTTTGAGCGATGCTGATCGGATGATGAGATAATTATATGTAACACTACTACTGACAGTGAGGACCGGAACTGACAGTGTCATACTGAGCAAAGTGAATATATACGTCAGTGTTAGTAAAGATTCCGCTTATAAATAGATCCGCGATTATAAATCATGCTTTTTAGCCTCGCATTACGGCGAACAACGAAAATACTCGACGGGATTACATCTGTACATTAAATGAAATTTACAATTTATGGACCGAGAGACAGAAAAAACAATTGAACGGCAGTCGTTACGATTTTGAAAAAAACGATCAACACACGTAAAAGGTGATGAAGGAGAAATCGTGCCTGTTGAGCCTCGTAGCACTTGCTAGGAATATCATACCTGATGCGCGCGAGCGAGCGAGACTCGAGTCAATGAGGGATCGAAAGGTTTATAGCTGTGTATATAAGCCGGTTTGCAACGTGGGTACGTGTGCGTGTGTGAATGTATGCACACGAGCGAAATCGATATACGTGGAGCGCATGCTGCGCAATACCTTCTGCTTTATATCTCTATGTGCGCGTCGAAGAATAAGGAACACAAGATCGTCCGTCCATTGTGAGCTGATATGTGTATGCACGTACGCAAATACTTTGAAAGCTAAGCCGAGCGAGAGAGGAAGAGAGCTCATTCATCAACAAGCATTTTGCGCGTGTTCGTGCGTGGGTGCGTGCGTGCGCGCGCGCGCGCGTGTGTCGAGAGGGAACAAAAACTTTTTCCTCTTTTTCTCTCACGCTCTGCCTTTTCCCGTTTTTGTTTTCTGCTGAAAGCCGAGAATCAATGTTGCGAGCTTCTGCCTGTTCAGTAATAATTTTAATCGCGCGAGAGAAGCGATTGAATTTATTCTACCTTGAGCGTAGAATTTTGCAGCGACACTTTACGACGAAAGAAGAAGCTTGCGAGCACTTTACAGCGAGCTTCGTAACGCTTGAAAAATGATAAGTTTCACGTTTCCTCTCACTCGCGCTAAATGTCTGAAAGCATGTTCGCAATAAGTGTAGGGAGTTGAGAGCTCGTTTCACGTGAATTATTCAGGTTCGTGTAATTCGTCTGACCGCTCGAAGAGTTGCTGTTCCATTCGTTCCAATCATTCATCGAATATAAATCAACTTATTGTCAATGTCGCGTGAATCGAGAAATTAAGAATTTTCGGCTAGTGAATGATGGACGCTTGGAACCTCATTTGAAATATACTTTGATAAGTAAACGTCACGTTCAACGCTCGAGCCTTTGTATTATTTTTATCAGCTTATAGCTTTTGAATTAGTTTAAGAAGCTTTCAACGGCTGCGCACTTGAAGCAAGAGACAACTTGCTCGCGCAAATTGTATAGTCATTTTTCCCCCTTGAAACGAAAGCTAAAGTAAATTGCGTTGAATACGCCGCCCCAGCCCGCGCCACCGAGTATGAGTAAATATTCAACGTACCGCGGGGAAAAAATATCTGACTTCTCTCAAAGTCACTCAAACTACGCGTGAATGAGATGGTAGCAAACAAAGTTACTGAGTTGTCTAGCAGCAGCAGCAGCAGCTTCGGGGGTTTGTGAGAAGACAATTTGTACACAGACAGAGAGTGAGAGATAGAGAAAGAGCGTCGCTGCGAAGACACATGCAAGTTGGTGTCTGTGTATTTCTATGTACACGGAACCACATGCACATATGTAACACGATTATAGGAAGAATGTATGAGTAGAGAGTACTGTATACATGGTGGAAGCGGCGCCAGGCACGAGTTCTCGCCAGAGAACAAAAAGTCTTCAAAAAAACGCTCTTAGCCAAAGTATCATAGCACCATTGAGAAATTGATTGATAAAACAAAAACTGACATTTATACATCAAAATCGTAGACAAAAAGAACACCGATATGTAAAAAAATACACGAGAAAAATATTGCCAGAAATACATACGTCCCATATTATAAATAAACATCGAGTGCACAACATGGAACAGCCGCCGATACACGTTCGCGCATTTGTCTCTCTCAGCCTTATGTTAATATTAAAAAAAAACGTAATGTAATCTATACAAAAAATCCAATTTACTATAAACTATATTAAAAAATGAATTCTATAAAGTATATTCAAAGTAACAGCTATATTGGAAAGTATATTCTAACGTGAAATCAAGACGAACTATAAACTAATTTTCATCTACAATGAAAAAAGAAATTTAACTCATAGATTGGTCGAAGAGAGCATCTAGAGAGAAAAATGCACGAAAGAGAATAGAAAGAGAAAGAGAGAGAGAGAGAGAGAGCCGTTAAAGGAAGAAAATTCCGTGGTTATATTTTTTGCTGGTTATTCGTCGATAACACTGATGAACATATTTCTCTTGTTACCCAGTACAATATGGCAGTCCAGCCCTCCATGGTGATGCACTGGAAGACGGTGAGCATGGCGAAGCCAATGTTGTCGAAGCTGGTGATGCCGTTGTTTGGTCCCTCCCAGCGATCAGAGCACTTCGAGGTGTTAGCGTTGCATACGTGCGCACCCGCCGGCGCCTCGTCCTGGATGTCTGTGTTGCATGGATTTGGTTGCTCGCCCTCTTTCACGATCTGCACTGCAAATCACATTTTTTTTCGCTCCCTTTACTGTCCTTTCTCTTTCGTCCGCGTTTCGGCTCCCTTTCATATTTGCGATCAAGCCCACTGACTAAATTAAAATGCGAAATAAAAATTACCTATTCAGAAAGCGAAAAATACGAGCCACGTTACAATGTTACTAAAATCGAAATTTCGTAGGAATGATTCGGTGTAAATTTAAAGTTGAAAAAAAAACGCTCGAACAGCATAATTCATCCATGAAATGGATTCGATAAAACGAGGTTACGCCACTCGTCTTTGTAAACCCAGTTTTTCGAAAAAATGGATTGGCGCCAACCAGGTCGATGCACTATCTCGGAGTTTCTCAAACATTGCATAAAGTTACTTGGCTTCGAATATATCGTTTTATATCGTCGAAAAAGCTCTGACGGCATTGTTTTCTTTTCCGTGCTAGATATTCCACCTGCAAGTTATCAGTTGAAGATAATACTTACTTGCGTTTTCGATGCTGTAACAGGTCTTATGGAGAGTCCCCGAATAAAACTCGAGTCCGATGATGGCGAATATGACGATGGCAAACAAGACGAGCAAGCCGATCTGCAAGAGCGGGGCCATCGCCTTGATGATCGACTTGAGCACCACCTGCAGACCTGTAGCCGATCCATTGATTAGCCTTGTTCCTTTCTTTTTACCTCTTTAACTCGCTTCATCCTCTCCAATTTCTCGATATACCTTTGACTTTCCTTTACCTTCAATGCCAACTACATCTAAGCTCTATTTCCAATCTCAACAATATTCAAATAACAGATAGACTATGTATATATCGAGTTATAAAAAATCTATAAACTAATGTTAATCTCGAAAAATATTGATAAAAAAGAGAGACAATCACACTGAAATGAGAGGAAACTAAGATGTGTTAGTGGCATTTGGCGTCGTTACGTTTTTTAGGGATTAATTTGGAAGCTTTCTACTCACTTGGTATGCCGGAGACAAGTTTGAGCGGCCGTAACACGCGTATCGCACGTAAAGTGCGCAGATCCATATCCAGATTAATGCCTTGCGGGAACGCCGTGATGAACCTGCCCCAAACATACCAGCACAACCACCACCACACTTTACTACGGACTACTCTATGCATTAACGCTAGTTTTTTGATAATCATAATCTACTTGTTCATATATATATATAACTATGCTTAGATCTCGCCGCTAGCTATTCTAATGCTTTTTCTTTTTTCCTCTCGTGAGGAGCACTAACTAGCCTAGTGATTCTTACTTCTTTCTTTTCACTCGAAATGCTATGCTACCCAATTTTAATCACACATTCGGCCCAATTCAAATGGCACAGGTTAATGCTATGTTCGCAATCTTCTGATAATTGCATACCATTTCGTGTGCTACATCTAAAATTTATTATGTATATATCTAGAACGTTTTCTAAATATTTATATTAAGTAATTTAAAGATATACCAAGTATATAAGTATAATAATTTGTGAATGTGAATATATTATGTCGCAACAGTGGAAAAAGCTTCCATCTATATTCCAAGACGATAATTCTAAAAAAGAAATGTTGAATGTTCAACAGCATATAAAACTATTCTATATAACGATTATAATAATAAAGATACACTATGTTATATATCTAAAAGACTATGACAGCACTGGACGTAGACACGCATTTCACTCATACATGTAATAAAGACAAAAGCACCCTCCCGCACATTGACTTGCCATAATATCTTGTACTCGGAAGCATCCTTAGACATATTGTAGGTATCGTCCATTTGTAATTAAAATATTAACAATCTATCCGAAGGGAGACACAGAGAGTGAGAGAGAGAGAGAGAGAGAGAGAGAGAGAGAGAGAAAGAAACAGAAAAAGGGTAGATATCACTCCCTGAAGATGACCTTATCCTCCAACGACAAGATAAATCGATAAGCTTGAAATCTAGCCTATAGGTTCTAACAGCGGGAGCGCGCTAAGATTTTCGTTTGTAGACAAAAACAAGAAGGAAAGGGATGGAGTGACACTCACATAAACATATACATACACATAGAAGAGAGGCTATATATCGTGTTTTAGTGAGACACGCGCTAGAACTTTTTTTTTTTCAGAAGGACGAAAGAAGGAAATTTGATTGGGGTGGAAGAAATAGAGTATGTTCTTGTTTTCTTTTCGAAACTCGATTAATATATAAATGGTTTTCTGTCGACAGCTTGTGTAAGGGACGGTGTTGCCTAATTGAAAGCGATTTATTTCTTTGATTAAACTCTAAAGTACATTCAAAGCTGTGAGTTATGAGCCGAGTAAATAATCAGCTTAAAAACTTTTAGAAATATATTGGCCCGCTGCACGAAAAGCGTATATCTATTAACCTAATTTTCTTCACGGATCAATCATAAAAATAAAAAAAAACAATCAAGTGAATTGTTTGGGTTTTCATTCTTGCACCTGTGGTCAATTTTTTTAATTTCAGATAAAAGATGACGTGTCTTGGATGACGATCAATATCTAGTTGTCGATAAGGTATAGTAGTGGTACAGTTTTTATGATCTATCGGTAGTTACAGTTAGATTTAGCGCAGAATCCTACGCAGTCTAAAAGGACAACTATGTCTACAAAAAAAGAACCAAATAAAAGATAGAGTTGGAATTGGCAAAAAGTGAAGAAACAAAAAGTTTCTCACTCTCGCGAAAGTTTCTTTCAAGAGGAGTAAGATTTATCTAAACATTATTTTATCTCGGTGCGTGTAATGCCGAAAGTAATTCTACGGAAATTGCCAAAAAAAGCATGGTTTCTATTTGGCCAACTCTCTCTCTTTTATCTTTTTCTTCTTTCCTCTAAGAGGCAAATAACGCACACATGCGACAATGTTATATCTTTTGGTATTCTCGAAGAGGGGAAAGGATATATATATAAAATAAGGAAAGATAGCACACACATACACGCATACTTCAACTCTCACTCTTAGTCTCCCTCATTGATTTTTTCTCAGGCTGCACTTTCATCTCTCCCGAGCTCTCACTCGTTCATTTTGATTTCAGAATAGAGCCTAATGATGGCATCAAAGAAGGCACGATGAATGTTTCGTTTTACGATGGAACAATTTGCATGTACTTTTACGGCTCTCTAGATTCTATATTTATAGATATATTATGTTTTTTTTTATTTTTCGTTCAAAATTCTGTTCATCGACTTGTCATCTACTGTATTGACGCCGATTTAGGTAGCTAGAGAGTTGAATTAGTTTTAGCATGGCTCTAGATATATAATATTTCGATCGACAACTCGACACTAGAATAAATGAGCACTTGAACGCTATGTATCTTTACTCTATGCTTTTATCAATACACTAACCTTAAATGCCTACATATACTTACAATCAAGATATAGAGATGTGAAAAATGTTATCGTTTCATTTTCATTTTTCCTCACTTTGACGGCAACTAAGTTACAGTACTCGCAAACTTATGATCAGACGCATAAGCAAGGAGCTTCTCTAGCAGAAGTCTCTCTCTCTCTAGCACTCTGATAAGGTCTGGCATAGCTTAAGCTACGTCGATATTTCATCATCGCTAGGCTTGGAACCTATCGACGCGATCAATCGGAAGTCGAAATAAAAAAGCTTAGCGAGACCTTGATCGAAAGGAGATCGAACTGTCTGTGGATGATTGACACATATAATGTTTTTACCTACTATTTACTCGGACTGTCTAGAACATCAACGCATAAGTTTTGCTAAAAAATAATAAGAATTAGTCCTATTCTAGAGTATAAATAACGATGTTACACAATGAATCTAGATCCATTATTCTTCGAGGATTAGTGCTATAGTTAGGTTCGTTAAAACAGTTAGTTATGGATATAGTGAAATTACAAGTTAGTAATATACATTTACTTAGAGATTGCCCTACGCCCTATATGGCTTCACAGCTGTATAAAAAACTGGTACACAGCATCTAAGTTTGTATATAATTTATAGTTACAAGTCTCTATGTAGACTGACGGGCTACGGACAAAAACTGTTAGCATCAAAAAGAGACAGAGACAGTTATAATTCTAGCGAAATACTTGTTCCGACTGGCGAGGAAAGAAAGGGAATGTTCTCTCTCGCTGCTCAGCGGAGTGAGAAAAAAAAGAAGGGCTCATGTTTGTCACACTCACTTGGAATTTTCGAGACGAGCTTTAATGGTCTCAGTACCCTGAAGGAACGAAGCATTCGCAGGTCCACATCCACATTTGTCTCGGCGAACACGGTCATTGACCTAGCATTTGTGTTTCTTTTACCGTCAACGTCTACTCTGTTTTCCGATCTATTTGAGAAAGCTGTCGCCGGCGCCGCGCCCACTCGAACTTGCACGAGTATCGAATGTCAAAGTCCGTCAGGGGCCGGCGGCAGCCTCCTCTCTGACTCAACGGTGCGTATGCGAAACGAACAAGAGAGCGAGCGAGTGCGCGGAAGGGGCGAGGGGAGAGAGAAAGACACAGTAGTAGTTGATAGTCCGCCCTTGGGGAACGTGGAGCTTGCTATTTTTAGTATCTTTAATTGGGAAAAAGTTTGCTTGAGAGAGAAAGAGAGAGAGAGAGACAGAGCTGGATTCGCGCGGGCGTGTCCAGGTAATGAAAGGTCTTTTTCTCTTCCTCGCCTAGGCGGCGACTCTCCGCTCTCGACTCGCGGCTTCTAGAAGAGTCATGAGGCTAGATAGTGCGTTTGAGGGAAATACCCGGTGACGACTACGAAGAAATCCATGATGTTCCAGACGTTGCGCAGATAGGAGCCACGATGGAGCACGAAGCCGAGCGCCAAGATCTTAAGGCTGGCCTCGACGCAGAATATGCCGAGGAAGTAGATCTCCGTGGTCTCCAGCTTTTTGGCGAGGATGGTCTTGTCGTGGCACGGCAGATGTTCCTCGAGGGCCAGTACCACGCAATTGGCGATGATGGTCAGGAGGACGGCGTACTCGAAGGGCGGCCATTCGATTATGAAGCGCGTGTGTTTCCTAATGCAGTTGTCCTCGCTCAGGATGAACAGGGACGAGGGGCCCTTGCCGCCCCCGTCCCCCGAGCCACCCTGATCCCGGCCCGGCGCCATTCCTCCTAGACCTGTTACCTATTGCGCCCAACAAACAATTCGCACTTTTCAGCGCCTCGCAAACTAACAAAGTTTCGCTGCATTTCGCTCTCGTTGCTCGCCAACTTTTAACGAACAATTATTATGGTTCGCTACGTCCATTTAATTGCCATGTAGCATCCCGCGCAATGAACCACCCACGGAATCAATTCTTTCGAGGCGATACCTGCGCGGGCTGCCAAGCAATCGTCGACGACTCGAAGCACAAAAAGTAGGCGCGCGCGAGTTTACCGAATTGAACGAACGAGTAGTCTGTCGTGGTGTGCGTACCTCCCCTCCAGCGCCGGCCCAGTCACCGAGACCGCTCAGACCGATCGCCCTCTGCCGCCTCCTGTACTGACTTGTATACGCAGAGTCCCTTTGTGCCGCCTCTTGCGCTGCCAACCTGCAACAAAAGTATATTTTATTCAATTTAGAACATCGAATTCGTCTGCGTTAATTAGGTGCATTAGTCTCATTTAATACGGTGACTTTCGCGTGTATATATATTCTAATTACAGTGACAATAAAAAGCACCTGGGCCTAATTAGGACTTTTGTAATGTAGAACGCCACCACTTGTCCGCTTTTTTTTTCGGAGATAAATTGAAAATTTAGCAGTCGCTTTTTTCCTCTCTCTCTCTCTCTTTCTCTCTCTCTCTCTCTCTCTCTCTCTCTCTCTTTTTCGATTGATTCCCGTTTTCATTAAAAGCTTTGCGTCTGCTAAAAACGAACGCTTTGTTCGCTGTTTTGTTTAGACTGCGTTAACGTTGCACTTGTCACGATGACGCTGGCTTTTTATAGTTTTAATCAATCTTGAAAAGTTTGCTTGAAAAAAGCAAACTTTTCACTCTAATTAGATCATTCTTCTATGATGGAAATATCAGAGGTTCTCTTAAAGAGCTCACAAGTTTGCTTTCTTTCACGTGGCAAATTATTGATACAATCAAGCGCAACGGACTTGGCAATTTAAACACTCATGCAATAATGGGGTTACACCACTGGCGGATAGCATTTCTACGGATATTATTTTTGATGATCTATAATTACGTGTATGTTATCGACGTATATATCTTAAAAGGATTCTATTTTTGTAAAGAGTTAAGCTTACTTTGTCGGTAATCAGAATTGTTGATGAGTTCTACTTTATTCTGTGCGCTGCATTTTTTTACACGCCAACTAATTTCCAACAAACGGAAAAATTCTATTTCACTACCGCTAAACATAAATGACACGTAAGCTTCGACTGAGTCACCCTCTTCATTCGAGGAGAAATTGTCTTATTTACCAAGTGTTTACCAAGAAGGTCGAGCGATCGTCAACGTAAGCCATACGTTCCAGCGCGTATCGTCAGCTGACTTGGCGCCCACCCACGCGATTGCATCACGCACTTAGATTTTCCCCATTACTCGCCGAAATGATCCCTCGTCCTCTCGTTTTACGCGCATACACACTTTCTCTCGCTGACGCACACCAAGCACGTCCGAGTGATTCATCGAGATGGCGAAAAAGAGTCAGCCGCGGTAATAAAACCATAGAAAATGATTTACAAGCAACGCGTTTGTAGTAGTCGCTGCGGAACACTCGTAGAAGGGAGTGATGCTATCGAAAATGCTCGCGCGCATTTGCTTAATTAATCGGCTCCGACCGATAGCGCGATCGATATGCGCGTGCGACCCGAGAATAAGAGAGACTTCGATGTATGTACATATACTCGTTTGCAGCTCTCTTGCTAATGGGATACAATGCTTAACGGCGAAATCAGGTCACGCTTTGCGTTTTGCAGGCAAACCAACAAAAATATATGCAACAACTGATTATGAAGTTACCGTATTTCTCATTTTCGAAAGATTTGGGGGGGGGGGGGGGGTGTGTTTAATTAACCATGCTTAGTTTGCGAAAAAATGTGAGTAGGCGGTATGCAATGGAAAATTCCACGAGCGCTGTGTACTGACTAGTTCCTTTTTTCCCGTGCACGTGGACGTTATTAATTTCACGTTTCGTGCAATTAATAACGTTGATTTTCAAAGTTTGAAACTATTTCAACGAAAAATATGTGTACAGCGTTGCTCGGGCTAATTAATCTCCTTTCGCGTTCGAAAAAGAGTGAGTTGGCCTTGCGATAACGAGTTCTGGCAATTTCTATTGTTTTTCCTATATGCAATCACGTATGTTAACGCAATTTGAAAAATTTGCGTTTCGTGGCATGTTTCAACGACAATTAACAACATGCCTTGTCTATCAGATTCGGATAAAATCGCGCATAGCTAGAGAGAGAATACGTCGTATGAACGAGGTGTCGGAATGCGTCGCCGCTCTCAGTATCAAAATGCTCCGCTAATTAATCAAGCCGACCTGATGCATAGTGTGCAAGAACGGCAAGAAGCCGAATATTATGCGAGATGCTCGGGCTCGGGGGACGAAAGCTGCGGAACGCCGCCGCTGCCAGTAAGTAGTAGATGTCACGCAATAGTCCACCACCGCGCACCGCATTCGTGAACTTTTTTCCCTTCCCTAAAAAGAAAAGTAAGCCGCATTCGTTCTCTGTATTTATCAATCGCATGATCTTTCTCTTTCGCGTAATTTACTTTTTAGCGTAAAACGCACACTCGTTCTCGTGTAATTAGAGCTTGACGCCTCCCCCACTTTGTCAGCGACATTTTGCGTCTCTCGTTAGTCGTATAGGTCATGTAGACGTCGATTAGTATTTTGAACACACTCTCACGTATGCGTATGAACTTTCTGACAATGAAAAGACCTGCGAATGTATTTTCAGTTTATTAGGCTAGCGACTGGACAGCGTGTTACGTCGAAATTATTGAATAGGCGGCAGCGCGCTCGTTTATTACTACAGACTTTCGAAAGCGGAAGGCTGGAAAAAACGCTCGTCGATGGAATATTTAACGTACATTCCTCTTAATATAGGAAAACTTGCATCGCCGCGGATGCGTAATTGGCGCGCGCAAGAATGTCCAAGCACGTGTGTGACCTAATAGGTATCGGTAAAAAAAGAAGAAAGGAAAGAAAGCGACGTGTTCATCGGTTTATCGAGTTGCCTCGGTCTCGAGCTACGCCTCTCACGCGAACAAAATTCATTGTTCCCAGTGATAAATCAAAACACCTCCGAGCCGCGCGCAAAGCAAGAGAAATAAAAGAAGAGAACTAATAATCCCGTAGGTCGGGCTCTCTCGTACGCGAGGCATTGTCGGGTGTATCGCATCACTCGAGTGCCGTCTCAAAAAGCTCTCGCTTCCGCGAGCGCCGGAGAAAGGTAGGAAAAAGCATGGCCGCGAGAGCTACACAGCGCAGACACTCGAGTGGGGTTTCCGACACTCCGCGTGACGTCAGCTACGCTCTCTGGTTAGGTGTGCTTGGCCCCCGCCATGTTGTCCGCGTGACGTCAGTCGACGACGACAACGACGACGACGATATATAGTTTTCGCGACGACGCGTTTCATAGACACACACATGCACCATTATAGCGACGAGAAGAGAGACTAGACGGCATTGACGCTTTTTCTGTAGCTCATTGTTCCACGAGAGGTACTTTCTTTTCGGATATCGTTGAGAGCCGAGGGCGGATGTACAGTGCGCGCACAATTGTCACCGACGCGCGATTATTAGCCATTTTTTCTTGTCTTTTAGGATTAGTAGGATGCCCAGTCAAACGAGCTCCGTCGAGTAATGTTCTCGTAGAAAACCGCGCGAGCATATTCATCATTTAATCTATTTCGAAATAGAATTCCAGCAGTCCATCAAGCTCAAGTTATACGGTTTATTGCTTTTTTTGCGCACGTCAGAATGAGAAAGCAGTCGAGCAAGGCGGCTCGTTTCGTATTAAAGTATAACGCCGCATTACATTTTTCCCGTTCTCGAAAAACTTCTTCTCAAATTTTCTCTTAATCCATAGTGGCATCTCGACGGAATTGTAGTCACCGACGTCCCACTACTCGTAATTGGGCTTGGCGCGAACAGCGACAACAACGCCCACGCACATAAATATGTTACGCGGACGAGTGGACGCTGTTTTTAACAATTGGACGATCAATATATCTACAAAGTGGAATGGATCATTCATTTTAATGAGCTTCGATGACCATTATCTGTCTATTTTTAGTTCTGCCTTTCTCTCCCAATCGAAAAATACAAATGATAGGGTTGGAAGCGAACGATCGATAAATAAATGAATAATGCTGCTTGCGAACAAAGAAGGATTTCATCGAAATCCATTTCCGCAGACACCTCTCCTCTTATACTTATATTCGCGCTAACAATAGGAACTTTGCAAAGCCTCGAGCATCTAATCCGATAGTTGTTTTTTGCCCCATTGAAAACGTCTTTATCTTTATCGCGCACGAGTTAGCCTTCGTCGTCGTCGTCGTCGTCGTCGTCGTCATTCGTCAAGTAGTTCGAGTCCGTGTTGAGTCAGCCAGAATATTGCTCTGGCAATCATCCAGTCCGCTCTATCTCGCGGCAGCTAGCGCACTGAAGACGCTCAACGCCTCTTTTTACAGGATTATCGGAGATCCTCACAATTTTTATGCCTACTTTTGTCAACCCGCGAACTCATATTGTCTAAAGTTGTACAGCGTTGTCGGAGAAATTTCAATTTGTACGTAATCAAAAGAAAAAGTGCTAACGATGTTTTTACTGTTTTCGAGACGAGTTGTACGACTTTCGCTCTTAACGTTATTCGAGAACTCAATTCGAAAAGTTTATTAATCGCAACGCACGAATGCTCGTCATATATAACGATGTATGTAGACAAAATTAATTCATTGCGCTGGCTCGCTATCGAAGTCTCATTAGAACGGTCTCGCCGCATTGTTACGCGCATAGACATACGCACTGGAGTGCAGTCCATGAATCAAGCTCCAATTTCAAACAAATATTGTTACGGTAAGCTTACGTGTGTGAAATGTACTCGATGTTACCGTATGCAGAACTTTATTAATACAACGTAGCGAGATGCGGCGGCGTTCCTCTACGGCAATTAGGTGTCGGCAGCAGCACCGGCTATTCAAAACGAATATCAAATCAATTAGCGATACACAGGAACACCCATCGAGCAAACACATTTGAAAATAACATCGTCCATCCTCTACTAAGCTTTTCGAGGCGGATCGACAAATAAGGGGAAAAAGAAGATTCGCCTCCGATTTGCGTACAAACTGACCCTTAAGAATTGTCTAATATAACGTCGACTGGGTGCGTCATCGTCGTCGTCGTTGTCACCGTAATAAGCCATCGCTGCAAGATTATACGCGTCTTGGCACCGCGTGCTCGAGCGCCGCCGCCACGATCTGCCAAAATAGAACGACGACGACGACGACGACGACGACGAGTGCCCTCGCGTTTTCTGCGCGCGAGACGGCAGAGACAAAAAGGAAATGCGTGCGACGCGGCC